GCTTGCCTTGTTGCAGAATCATATCGCCCAACTTGGAAGGCGAACGCTGCCCTTCCTGGACAATAACGAGGCGACACAGGACGGGGCAGCACGCGACATCGCACAAGAGTCTTTTCCTCTAGACATTCCAGCACATTGCAGCGAGTGAACAGCCGAGGAAACGCACGTTGAAGAAACGAAGCGCACTTTTTTCTCTTTTTTTTTGGTAGTCTGTTTCGCTTCCTCGGATCTCAAAAGACTTGGGTGTCGTTCTTGCCCCATAATACCTGAAGATCATACACGGAACTCGGCCGGAATACAGTTGCAAGTATCCGTACATTTCCGGCACATATCGCCGCCCCCTGGCCTCTGGAGTCGCGACAAGAAACCAAAGGCGACACGGCTCAAAGACAGCAGGATGGCACTGGACGCGCGACCAGGGAAAAATCCGGGGCCTGGGCAGTTGGCGGCGACCTGCCAAATTTCAGGTGACGGCTCGCCTGGGTTGCCATCATCACCAACCGCCGTCAGGCAGTCAACGACAAGTTTGCTCGCTGTTGACGAGGCGAGTAAACAAAACATCCAAGCCCCCCGGCTGGCCGCTCGTCTTTGAGTACGAAGTAGTCTTCTCTTACACGGCGATCCACCCGGCTGCTGCAGACTTGTGGCCCCCTCCACACCCCTGGTCCAGGCTTGTTCTGTTCTCTACTCCGTGCCTCGACCCTGGTTTCTGCTCGGTGCCGTTGCCGTCCTGTTGAGAAATTGAGCTTTCTTTTTCAGCTGCGTGTGCTGCGCGACAACGACAGCGGGGAGCGAGTCAAGCGACTTCGCCAGGTTCGTGTTGCTTGGATTGTTGATTACATCACCTGCGGATTACATCCAGGGGACGATACCACGCAAACCGCGGGCTGTAAGCAATCCATCACACGCGCATTGTCCAAGTATTGTCTCTTAACAGTCCCCTTGTCCGTATTATCTCGCCTGCATTGATCGTCGCGCCATCCGTCCCGGACCCCCCCCATCGACATCAGCCCGGCTCCAGCTGGTCGGCGCAGGAGAGGGAGGTCTTTGAGAAGTTTTGAAAAAGGGCAGCACCCGTTTGCTCGAGACGCACGCCCTGAAGATGAGCTTCATCATCTGCTGATGCCCTCCACAGTCCACTGGAAGAGATTTGTGTGCCGCGCGAAAGAACTCACTCTGAGAGGCGGCGGCATCGCATCCCAGTTGTATCTCTTATGGCTCCTCCGTCCACGAGGAGTGCCCCCGAACAAACAGACCCCCCGTAAGACGCTAAAAAGGACGGCAGACCCCCTTCTCTCCCCCTCCCCCCCACACCCAGCAGACGGGGCTTTTTTGTTCTTGACTCGTCTCGTCCTAGCACATTCCCGTCCGTGTGTCTCCCTCGATTGGACTCGCCGCCTACTGTCCAGCCCAGATTCCTGCAGAGGTCGAAGACTCTGGACCCAGCTCTCGGACGACCAACGACACGGCACCTCACCTCGAAAGACGAAGAAGCCTGCTGCCGCCTCGCCTACTCTGTCTGATCTTGGGGCAGCATCCATCCGTTGAGGGCAGATTGAGAGTGAGATCACGCCGATCAACAGCGACTCCTGGCCCAAGGGTGCCACTTCTTCCACGCTCACCTCTCTCGTCGCCCTTGGTCTACTCGTACAGACTCCAGAGCACCACAGTCTCTGCTCCGCTTCGTGTCTTGAATGACCTGCAGCTACCAAGCTCTGCTCGTACGTACGGATGCGCTACAAAGTAGAGCTACCAGCCAGTGTCTCCCGTGCCTGGCCTTGTTCCCGTCTGTCTGCCTCTGTCGTCTGCTCAGCAGTGGCCCACACTCCCGGCCCTGCGCGCTGCGTCTGCATTCTCTCATCGACGAGCCAAATTGCATATCCGGCGCCATCTTCCTGGTCTGAGGGTCTCCGGAGTACGAATAGATAGGCGTCGACGCACCACGACGGCATCAGATACACGTTCCCAGGTACCCGAGAGACCAGGCCTGTGTTGTTCTCTTTGCTCTACTGCGTACCACCAGCGAACAAACTGCACAAACGGAACGGTCCCGGTCCCGGCCCCGGTCCCGGCTCTCTCGCTTTGCTGTGATTTGGTCCTCGGGCAGCTGTCCCTTTTGCCGTTTATTTATCCCAAAGTGCAGCATCTGTATCAACAGTAGTGCGGCACATGCAGCAGCAGCAGCAGCAGCATCACCACGACCATACCCACTCGGTCTCGGTACACGCAGTCTGCGAGAACCTTTGACCATTCAAGGACGGCCACTTTCTGCTTGTCTGCTTTGCGGTTTGCCCTACCCTGGCCAAGCCAAGGCAGCGTAAAGTACCTCCTCGCCTTGGGGCTGGAACCATTGCAACATCAACGTCTCTCCCTGTCGTGCCTGTGGCCAGCCGTCGGAGGCCAATCGCAAAGCGCCATTTCAGTCCAAAGGATCCAAAAACCGAAGGGCTCCAAAGGCTTGCCGCACTTGCACACCCATCTGCCATTTCTCAGACTCTATTTTATCACTGGGAACCACCACGCCTCGTTGCAGTTTCCTCGCTCTTTTTTTCCTTCTGCCTCGTCTGCCTGTTTTAACCTACTTTTTGCTTCTTCTTCTTCTTCTTTTGCCCTTTCCCTCTACAGCCTATATTCATCGCCTGCCATAGTCATTGACTGTCTGGTGGATTTGACCCCAGGAACATATATCTCTTGGGGCCCCCAGCGTGGGTTCACTACCCAAAGTAATTACACACACTCACACGAGCAACGCACACACCAGCCGAGGTACCTACCGAGGAGCAAGAAGCACACACGCGATAGACTGCATACACGATTCGTCCCGACTGGTATCGACGTTTCGAACCCCGGAGACTCGTACATTGCTTCCCGCCACGCACTTGATACCTGTTGGCCCGCCCGTTTCCTCTCGACACCTCCTCACCCAGGACAAGCAGTCACTTCACTCATTGTACGGACCACCGTCTCCGCATACGGATACATTAGGTAGGTTGATTGGACGTCGGTCCTGTTTGCCTCCACCGTCGATACCTCTTCAGCCGTACTTTGTCAGAGTACCTTGGCTTTTCCCCCGCCAAGGTGCCCGGTACCTCAGCCTTCTGAACGCACGCATAAACCGTCCACACGAGACGGCTGCAAACGAACATTTAGCTTTTTTGTCAAGCCGCACATCACATCATTTGGAGACGAACGCTCTTCGCTCGCCCACATACGCACAATCCCAAAACGACGCATCACCCTTTGGGCACTCGTTTCTGTCGTCACCACCTGTCCGTAAGGTACCTACCTACCTTCACTGAGAGGAGAGACAGCCACAGGCAGCCAAATCAGACCATCGACGAATAGAGGAACAAAATTAGGCAAGGCAACGAAAAAAAAAAAGGCAGCAGGGAATTTGTAACCCTCGCACACACTCCTTCTCTCGCAGGACAGGAGCACAAGATTTGGTAAGTTCGGCGCAAAGTCTCGTCTCTCTTGTTGGATCCAATAACAGAGCCAAACTATCATTGCTCCCTCCCCCCTTGTCTGCCTACCTGCTCTGATCTTTCCCATCTCATGCTCCCGTCCTTTCGCCTCCCTCTTTCCCGCCTTCATTGCCTGTCTACCTTGCCGACTTGAGCACCTTGGCACCCCACAGCAAGAAAGAGGTACGATAATTACCGGCAAGAATGTGTGTGTGTTGTTTCCATCCGTACCTGGCCTTACATCCCCATCCCTCGCATGGCTGACCCCTTCCCGTCTGCCATCCATCAATCATCCTTCCCGCCCGTGTCTACCACGGTGTCTGTCCCCTTCTTCCCACGGCTCCATCTCCAGTCCCGGTCCCAGGCTTGCCAGTGTTGCCAGGCCCAGTCCCAGTCCCAGTCCCTATGCACCCCCGGCCGCATCCTTGACTCTCGAGAGAGCAGAGAGGACCACTTGGGGCAAATGGGCCACACCCAAGACAAGAAAGCTCCATGTCAGCTCCCCTTCAAACCCCCCTTCTCACCCTCCTCCTGTGCTTCCGCCCCGTCTCCGTCTCCCCAGTGGATGCCTCCTCCGTCTAGTCCGTCTGCAAGTCGCAGCTACAGCTCCAGTCCTAGGTCTAGTCTAGGTCCAGCTGGTAAGGTCGACCTCCAGAGGCTCCAGGTTCAGGTCCTCCTCCATATTGGATTGCGCAAAAAAAATCTCCTACAAAGTTATTAGCTGCCCGCTCCCGTCTTGTCCATCGCCCCAGCCGACCGCGGGCGCTCCATTCAGCAATCAACCTAATCAGCCTTACCAGCGACGCTTGTCCTGTCGGGTATTTTTTTTTTCTGTTACTTCTCGCTCTCCATCGCTGTACATTTTCTCCCTCTTCGTCATTCTCCTCACATTCCTCCATTCCTCCATCCCTCCCATCCCGCTATTGCTCTCCCACATACCTTGCCTCTGGAGCCCGCTCGCTTTGTTTCTTTCTACATAATCAGTACCTGCACCCTTATCCCTCACCTTGTTACTCCTCTTCTCGCCTCCCTCCCTCACAACCAAAGCGGGCAAATTCTCCTCAACAATCAACCCTGTGCTTCGCGCTAGAATTTCTGCCCCCCCCCCAGTCTGCCTGGTTTTGCTGACGCCCGCCGTTCTCCCTTCGTTTTTTAGTCCGCGCGCCATAGACGATTCCTGGAGAAAGTTACCGTCGCAAGAAAAAGTTTACACCTACATCGTATATAATTCACCATCGGAAAACCCAAACTGTCCAAAAGCAGCCGCGCCCTCAACGTGTGCAGCCACATAGACGGCCCTCAACCTTTGCGTCCTCGCTTCCCGCCAGCCACCGCAGTACCTAGGTGTGACAGACCAGACTATAGCAGCAGCAGCAGCAGCAACCTGTGTCCCGTCTCGCCATCGCAACCGCCAACTTCCTCCCCTCGCTCTCACAACCAACCTCCGGAAAACCCTCGCTCCTCCTCTCCGCTTCCCCCGGACACTCGACCGCATCTTCTGCGACCGTCTCTCCTGCGCAGAGACCGACCACGAACATGACCACCACCGTAAGTCGCTGCCCCGTTTACTCCACGTGAGGTCCGATGGGGGTGAGCCCCGGGTCGCGAAGATGCGAGCGCGCGGCCGTGTGTGTCAAGACTGCGCTTGACTAGCGCCCTCATGGCCTCTTGGCCCGAGTCACCAATTCGGCGCTCGGAACTTCGCCTAGACCTGGCAAACAGCTCAAAAAAAGCTTGCCTCGCGCCTTTACTTTCCCTTTTGCTGCTCCCTCTACCCTCCACCCATGGCTGCCACTCTGCTAACCTACCACGTTCGACAGGCCCGGCCAGGAGGTCGGTACGGAAGCTTCCCCATGGCGAACGGCCAGAACGAGAAGCCTACTCCCGGGGTCGCCCCGGGCTTCGGCAGCTCCAACTTGTACACGCAAAACATCTGGAATACGACGTACACAGGAGGTGCAGGAAAGAGAGATCCTAGAGGTACGTCTCGTCGGGACGCTGGTTGATGTCGTGTAGACCGTGGTGCTGACTCTGTGACTCGCCAGGCCCAGAAGACAGCTTTGCCGGACAACCATCAGGGTCTGGTGCCCTTGCTGCGAACTCGGAGGCGGACACGTGGACCCAGAATCCCTGGAACCAGGACAACCAGACTCGATCGGCCTCGGGCAGCACCTCGCCGAATCGCACGCGCGACAGCCTGCACAACAGCAACTCCTTCTTCGAGAACAACGCCGTCGGGCAGGGACGCAACCTCATCAACGGTCGGCCAAAATCATACCTGGAGGAGGACAAGGAGAACACGGGCTTCGGAACGAGTTACGGCGGCGCCTTTGAGGGCTCGTACACGAGGCAGGAGAAGCGAGGTTCCAAAGACAATGCGTACCTGAGCCTCGGTGTGGTGGGTGCTCCCTCGAGAGACAGCAGCATTCCTCCCTCGCGCCAGTCGGACGACTCGCACCATTCGCCCCCTGCCTTCCGAGACAACTTTGGGTATGGCCACACTCCCAGCAACTCGATTGCCTCGAGCCGTCCGGCCATTCCCGGCCACTCTTCCTCCTTCCCCACGCAGACCACCAACAACAGGGCTTTCATAGCCAACGGCAGACAGATGGACGAAGCGGACCTGGCTCCGCAGTTCAAGAAGAGTCTCACTCTGGACGAGGCCCAGAGCCTCGCCGCCGGTGCGCCGAACTTCCAGTTCAACCCCGTGTCTCAGCCCTGGAGGGGCGACATCAACGCCGCAATTACTGGCGACGTGTACGCCGACGCCATGGCTCAGTACCTGCCGCATAAGCGTGGTTCCACCGATCGCATCGCGGGTGCCTCTGGTCAGTACCGGGTCGTCACGAGCCCCAAGACGTTTGCGCCTCAGACATCCGACCCGTGGACCCAACGACCGTCATCCCGCGATCTGAGAATGATCCCGGATGGCGACCGCCGGACGCCCGTCCCAGCCTTCATCCAGGCGCAGGCTCCTGCTTTCTACCCTGGACCCTACTACACCCCCAACTTTGCAGGCCAGTATCCTCCGCAAATGTTTGACCCGTATGGACGGCCATCGCTTCCTCTGCCCGGCTACGGCTTGCACATGTCGCCGTATTCGATGCCGGGAGTTATGCCCATCCGGCCTAGCAAGGACCAGGACCCTGGCAAGGGCGTCCGGAGCCTGCTCCTGGAGGAATTCAGGTCGAGCTCCAAGTCGAACAAGCGGTACGAGTTGAAGGACATTTACAGCCACATTGTCGAGTTCAGCGGTGATCAGCACGGATCGCGCTTCATCCAGCAAAAGCTTGAGACGGCCAACAGCGACGAAAAAGATCAGGTATTCCGCGAGATTGAGCCCAACGCAATCCAGCTGATGAAGGATGTTTTTGGCAACTATGTCATCCAGAAGTTCTTTGAGCACGGCAACCAGGTCCAGAAGAAGGTTTTGGCGTCGCAGATGAAGGGCAAGGTCGTCGACCTGTCAATGCAGATGTACGCTTGCCGCGTCGTTCAAAAGGTGCGCATATCCTCCATCCTACCATACTTGGCGAAGCTAACATTTGCAGGCCCTGGAACATGTTCTTGTCGAGCAGCAGGCCGAGCTGGTCAAGGAGCTGGAGCCCGAGATCCTCAAGGTCGTCAAGGACCAGAACGGCAACCACGTCGTGCAGAAGATCATCGAGCTGGTCCCCCGCCAGTACATTGACTTCGTCATGGACGCCTTCCGCGGCCAAGTCAGCCAGCTGGCGGCTCACATGTACGCTTGCCGGGTCATTCAGCGTATGCTGGAGTACGGCACAGAGCAGGACAAGGAGACTATCCTGGCTGAGTTGCACAACTCCACGCAGGTTCTCATCACCGACCAGTACGGCAACTACGTGGTGCAGCACATCATCGAGCACGGCATGCCCGAGGACCGATCGAGGATCATCCAGCTAGTCATTGCACAGCTGGTCACCCTGTCCAAGCACAAGTTTGCATCCAACGTTGTGGAAAAGTGCATACAGTACGGCAGTGCGGAAGAGCGCAAGGGCATCCGGGAGCAGATCATCTCACAGGCGAGCGACGGCACGAGCTCGCTCCAGCTGATGATGAAGGATCAGTACGGCAACTACGTCATCCAAAAGCTGCTGAACCAGCTCGAGGGTGCCGAGCGCGAGGCCTTTGTAGAGGAGATGCGACCTCAGTTCAACACTCTCCGCAAGACCAGCACCAGCCGCCAGCTCGCCGCCATTGACAGGCTCATCTACGCGACGCAGACGCCGCCGTCCAAGTCTGGGGGATCCCAGACCGACACTAATTCGGCGGCGCCGACCCCGGTTCTGACGATGGAGCCCAACAGCCCTCAAAGCAGCAGCCCGCCCAGTCTCAGTGCCAGTGCCGTTGGTGAAGTTGCGGATGACGACAACAAGTCCAGCGCGCCTGGAGGTGTCAGCCTCAAGGTGCAAGTGGAGGAGGCCTGATAACAGTACACGAAAATTTGCGACGAAGGCGTCTATGGTTGCTTCAGACATGCATCACGACGCCAAACGGACATGACGATCGCGGCCGTGGACAATGCTTCCCACGTGCCGGATTTGTTTCAAGAAAAAAAGATGACGAACACTACCTAATTCTGTTTACACATAACTGATCTGGATATGCAAACCCAAAAAAATCCCACATACACGGCTGACACGGTCACAACGGTAGAAAAATTGCTTGGACAAACATTCGGGGAAGGCGGGGTTCCCAAAATGGACATGATTCTCTGTTGTTTGGTTGCTAGTTTTCTGGTGTTCTTTGCAAAGTAATGAGTCCGAAGCGATTGGAGGGTTTCCAAAGAACGATGGCCGAGACACGACCTGGGGAGGCCGGTGAAATGAAAGATTCCTATCGGGGTTCTCGGGTTCACAAAGGGGCATCAGGGGGCCGGTCATTTGGGGCGCAGTTGATTTTCAGTCTTCTTGTATTTTATTGAATTCTTTGTGTTTAAGCGATACCAGTCTTAGTCTGACGGATTAGACCTGTCAATAGACGTGAGAGTATGGAATGTTTCGGCTGATCTGCCATGGTGAGTGTGAGATGTGAACACAGAAAACGTTTGTACTCGTTCAAGGAGTCGTTCGCTGTGTTTAGAGCTGTGTTAAGACAGGCTCGAGCTCAGGGTAAGTCCTCGGTAGATTTTCCGTGGTTCGGCAGTGGACCCGACAGTGAGGTTGGCACCGAGAATAGATAGACGCCAGGGACCCGCCCATGACATCAGGGGACGGGTATTAAGCGTCGGGTTCCTGAGCTTAGCCTCCGACGTTGGACCCCGTGCCCCCACGTGTCTGGGCATCGTGGAAATTAATGGGCATCCGCTACTTTCCTAATTCCCCAATTTCCTAGTTCCTTTCCCTCCTCCACACAACAATCGATGTAACGACCGCACACACACACACACACACACACACACACATACACACAATGCAGCCTGCACGACTGACGTTTCTCTATCCGCACCTGTTCCGGACGATACGCCTCGGCGAGACGGCTGCGACAACGGCGACGAGCCGCACGTCGAAATCATGTCGGAGACGGGCCACCGCCGAGATTCGGAGACGGGGATACGCCGCTTTCGCGCCCACGCCTGGGGCTCAGCAGTCGGGTTTCGCGCCGAGACACGGAAAGGGCATCGAGCCCGCGACAACGCCCGTGGCCGCGGCGGCGCCGGCGCCTGATACAAAGGAAGCGAGTCCTGGGCAGGCTGCGGTCGGGGCGTCCAAGGGGGCGAGCGACGATGGGGTGAACCCGCAGCCGGGCGCGAAGGCGGCGACGACGGCCGCGACGGACAACACGGCCAGCACGACGGCGACATTGGCGGCCGCGGGTGAAGGACAACAGCCCGAGGAGGCGGAGGCCGCGAAGCAAGAAGCCCGGGACCAGGCCAAGAAGAGCGGCCCCCTGGAGGCGATCCTGCACATGGGCCCGCCCGAGGAGGTCGCGAAGCAGCACCCGCACATGGCGCCGCCGCCGTACGTGCACCATTTCGACAGCTACTCGCTGGTCAAGGACCTCGAGGGGGGCGGGTACAGCAAGGAGCAAGCGATTACGCTGATGAAGGCGATCCGGGCGATCCTCGCGCAGAACCTGGACGTTGCGCAGGAGAGTCTCGTGAGCAAGAGCGACGTCGAGAACGAGACGTACCTCTTCCGGGCGGCGTGCTCGGAGCTGAGCACCGAGGTCAAGAATAACCAGAAGCTGGCGGACGAGGAGATGAGGCAGAAGAGGACGCTGCTGCAGCACGAGGTGGACATACTCACGCAGAGCCTCAACCAGGAGCTGCTGACGCTCAACGATAACGTGCGGGGCATGTTTAACGATCGCAAGATGGCGGTCAGGGAGGAGCAAAAGGCCGGAGACAGCGTCGTGAGTTTGTCCTCCCTTTTGGTCACAGTTCTATTCTCGTTTGGGAGTGCTTTTCCCTTATGCTACAAGCAAGTTTGGTCGGGCTAATGGCACCTAGATCCAACAAATCAACTACAAGATCAGCCTGCACCTCAGCAGCGACGCGAAATCCGAGATTGAGGGTCTGCGGTGGATCCTGATCCGGCGGTCCGTCATTGGGATCCTGTTCATGGCGGTGTTGACGTTGGGGACGCTTCGGTACGGGACGTACGTGAGCCACTCGAAGCAGGCCGAGGCCGAGCGGATCAAGAAGCAGGCCGAGATGATTAAGATGGCGGACGGGAAGAGGGACCATAGCTCTGCGCCTGATGCGGCGGAGATTCTGGCGGCGAACTGAGGTGGTGGGAGTGAGCGAGGTGGGTTGGGAGAGGAGGAGTGGGAGAGGAGGAGGAGGAGAGAGGAAGGGTGCAGGAGATGTGAGGAGCGAGGGGGTGGCGTTGCCATACGTGGCTGTTGAGATACCCCATAGACCTGTGTCTGGGAATGGACTAGACCGGCACAATCATTGATTGGTTTAGTTATCTGAACGAGAAAATTCGGCATGGAGGACTTCGTTCCCTCTTGACAGTTTTCATTCCACCGCGGTTGATGAAGCCTCAGTTCATTTGACTGAACGCCAATATGTACCACCATTTAGACACACTGCAGGCCTGGAGCTCTTATTACTAGCATTAATTTCCGATGGTCGGTCATCGAGCGGTTTGCACAGTCCAACAGAGTGGGACGGAACTGAGGGTATGAAGAAGGCAAGTGGCTGGGTGACAGACTAAGGCAGTTTTCCGGTCACATATCCATAAACACCCTTTTTCACCGCTATAACCACTACTACCAACACCCTTTCTGATTAATGTTCTTATTTGAATGTGTATGGTATGAGACAAATTCTAAGGCAGTGGTTTTTCAACAATTAAAACAGGTTGGTTATGGATGTATGAGTAACTGGTGTGCTTGTGTACTATGGTATGATGGGGAAGTTTAATTCCTGACCATGTATCTGCGGGCAGTGATCCACTTTCGTACATGAGACGCCGCGGCTTGCATACTATGTACATGAGCTCCACGTATGTACATTAGCTTGACATTTACTATGTACATGAGCTCCACGTATGTACATTAGCTTGACATTTACTATGTACCCTTACCACTTTGTTCCAATTGGAAGGCGAAGGCCAGTTTCCTGCTTATATGATGAGTTACCCTGTCGCTACACCTCAAGGTAGTAAATCTGGAAAACGGGCGCTAGCTCTTCAAATGAGGCTCGCGATTCACACTCATAGAAAGAAGTTATGTATAAATGTTCGCCATGTCATCAGCTCTACCGTGGCAAGAGGTCAGATGTGGAAATAGTGTTCCTCAATTCCGTCTTCCAACTACTGATTCAAAGTCTCCGTGTTTCATTTTCGGAGGACAACTTGGTGGAAGCGAAACGCAATGACCAGCACTATGCCCGTCACGAGGACAGAGGCACCTCCCAGGTTCCATTGCAACGAGCCCGGCTGCGAACTCACCAAATTTTCCACTCAATCCAATCTCAACAGGCACAGCCAGTCCAAGCACGGCATAGCGGTTCAGATGCCCTGCGGCAAAAGCCTACCAAACCATACGTCGAACACGAAGCGCCACCAAAAGTCATGTCGGAAATGTTGCCCGGCTCCGGAGCAGCTCCCGAAGTCGACCCCCGATGAGCAAAGCAAGTTCAAGTCGCCTACCAGTGCAACCGCCAATGCCACTGGGCTGCCAAGCTTCGATGGGACCTTCGACGGCTATTCGGAATACCTCGGCGACATGTACAATCTGGAAGAGCGCTTTATGTTTGAAAGTTTTTAGCCAGAAGCTCCTCCTTATGACGCGATGCATCATGAGCGTGTCTCATTTATGTCGGTGTGGCTGTCGGCACGGAGATTTCCTTTGAGATGGAGACCTTGGTAATGGTTGTTTTCTCTGCTTGGAAATTTTATTGGGCTTCTCACAGGTACTCGGGGGGGAGCTAGCCCATTCTTGTGTAACGACCGTATGTGAGAAGACTCGAGCATGGTCTACCTATCATTTTCAATACACTTCATGAGTACACTACATGAGTACCCATCAAGGCAAATCACCAAAAAAAAAAATCAAGTCAAAAAGGCTTCAGCTTTGTATGTTCGACTCCCGTGTTGATGAAATTGCCTAGAATGAAAAGCATGGCCAGCAGCCAAACGGACCAGTGAGAGATGCGCGCACAGCGTGGCTGGCCCTGACCGAGACCCGTGTAAGTGACCGGTGAAGTGCGGTTTGGGTTCGGTGAAATTGCGGGTACCATTTCCGCCGTGGTAGTTTATCCGCACATGCGCCCTGAATTACGTACACCGGACTTGGACGACCACCCGGTAGACGGGAAAAAGCGTACAGCTAAGACGCCAACGATACCCAAATTTTGATGAAAAGTATGTAGAAAATCGAGAGTGTGTAGTACAAAGTGAGCTATTCTATGTACTTTAAGTATAACTTTCATAAGGTGTATAATACAGCATCGCTATTGTAAACCTGCTGGTAGAAGTATACTGTTAGTGCTCGGTTTAAGGTGTGCGCTTTTTTGGTCCCCCGGGTGGACCACTTACCTGGTGCAACGAAGGATTCTGAAGAGAAGGGTTTCATTGCTATTCGGTTCCGACCAATCGGAAATGAGACGCAAAGCATCTGTATCACTTCCTCTTGACTGGCTGCAAGAGATCCTCTATGAAGGCCAGGTAATTCGTACAGCAAAAAGCCTCCAAATTGTCGAGCTGAGTAGTACTTTTGCAGCATTATTTGATACTTACAGCAGATTCAAACCCTGATGGTGATTTCAGTACTCGATGAATAGAGGGCGCCAGCGCCGGCACCTCATTCGACAGTGTAGGGTTGCAGGGCTTGCTTGAAGGGTGATCTATCAGGTACCCGTACCGTCTGAGGAAATCAGGTTGATGATTTGGACAGGTGCAAATGCGCTATTATCACTGACAGATCGATACAGAACTGTGCCATTGATGCATTCATCGTTGCACAAATACACGACCATGGCAATAATATCCTAACGGATAGGGTGATTGCCAAGGAGCAGAAGTGCAATGTATTATTTGTCAAGCGGCGTTTATTAGGATTATCTATTGAATTTTTTGTTGTACCCTGTCCATTAGAAATGTAGACAGCCATCATCCATCGTGTTGAACTTCAGACATGGAACAGCGCCAGGACAGCAGTGAAGGTCATCGAAGTAGGGCGTCAGACCGGATCCAAGTATGCAGCTAGGGCTTCTGCGCAATGCCAAAGCCGTGAACCGATGCTCTCCAGCCAAACACTCCCTAAGCCCACTCTCTGTACACATCGACGGCGGCACAGGTGGGGTTAGAGGCCGGGCCGGCGGTGATCCAGACGAGGGAACGGTAGTAGTAGTTGCCGACAAAAGTGTAGCAGACGTGCCAGCGGTAATAGGCCTCATCGACGTAGGGGGCCTGCGAGCCAGCGACGGCCTTGGAATCGTCCTCGCGGGAGTAGATGAAGAGCTTCTCGTTCTCGTCGAAACCGAGGTTGAAAAGGGCGCTGCTTCCGGGGGAGAAGATGGGGATGGCGCCGTTGCTGACGATTTGCAGGTTGAGCAGCATCCCGGAGGATACGGGGTCGCCGTTGCCGATAGGCTGGTTCCAGGTCAGGGCGCCGAGGAGGTGGCCGTTGTAGTCGGACTGGGTCTCGTTGAGGAAGTAGTTTGTGTGCGTTGTGGTGCGGTTGGCTTCCTCGACGGGCTCCGTAGTCTCAGGGCAGAGGCCAGCCTGGCCGGCGCCGGAGTGGCAGGAAGTGAGATAGGTCTCGCCGGAGCCCCCGGTGCAGGAGGTAAACTTGAGCCAGAAGGGGCTGGTCTGGTTGGTGAACTGAGCAGTGGTCAGGGTGGCACCCAGAAGGGCGATGGCGTAGGTTGTCTTCATCTTGATGGGTTGGAGAGGTGGTGTTGAAGTGTATGTCGATGCTGATGAGGACGAGATGAGCCCGGTATTTATACTGAAATGCCGGAGACTTTCATGTACCTTGAAGATTCGAGAAATGATGTTACACAGCTTGAGGTTTGTGGACAACGTCTGATGATACGGGATCCAACCGAGGACAAATGCATGAGGGGTGTGGAAGGGCGGGGTGTCGTGGTTTATATTTGTGGAGAGGCAACTCTGGCGTCTCTCTGGCTACCTCCGGCCCAGCCTTATTTCCCCGGGCGATCCTGCTGTCTCTCGTATTTTTCACTAGATGGACGACCATCGTGGAAGGATCTGGCGAGAGAAGAGAGAGCGGTGCGTCGGGGGAAGGCGGAACCCCGCTAAACATACACGAGGCCCTAGCCACTTCGTAAAGTTCGTGTCACTCCCGGGTGACATGGGCGCAAACTAAGAGTCTCAAAAGAGGTCAAAAGAGCGTCGGTAACGTGGTGTCGATCTCCGCCCACAATTCGGCCCCGTTGATGAGCATGGAGCTAGTGCGAATGGGCCAGTAAGGGAGGAAGCCGATGCCCTCGGAGCAGGGAGAAATATGGAGAAATAGCTGGTTCGTCTGGTTTGGATCGTCACTGTATTTGTCCCGGGTTACACCGGGGCTGTCACTTCAATCAGCCTCCGCCCTCCGCCTAGCAGTGACTAATTATATTATCCAACAGCACTATAAAACAGTCCACATCACCTAGCGATGTTCACGCTTGAGTTTGCGGGTGCAGGATACCACACGGCAAGCCACGCAACTCTACGCGGGTCCGATTTCCGATTTTGCGGCCTTGGGTCGGTCTGAGGTTAATGAACAGGCAAAAGGAGCACACGTGGGCTAGAATTGCGGGCAACAACGCATGGGAAGCAAGTTTGCTAAGAAGCTAAGAAAGAAGCTTCAAAAGACCCCACGTTTCCTGCATCGTGGGAATTGAGTTGGAAATGGCGCTCCCAAGCCGGGACGGGTCGACGCCATCTGCACGTCATCAATGACGGAGGTACGGGCGGGCTTCAAGGCTGAATGTCAGATGCAACCTGATATCCATGTTGTTTGTTTCAATATGGTGATGCGAGACATTGCGGAAATCCGCTTCAGTCCTTGCTTAGGGAAACAGCACAACGTCCCGCAAGAGTCATGCGAGGGGGTTAGTAGGAGCAGAGCTGAATACCATATGTGAGTGAGACATGACGTTGGAGACAACGCGCTTGTGCCGGCGGGCCGGTTGGGCATCTTGGCACAATTCTTTGACTTGGTGAGAAAATAGTTACGATGGAGGTCAAAAGATACGAGAAAAGGCCGCTTCCAGCTGGGCGAGATCAGCCTGCTTCAGGCTGAAATAGAGGGACTTCCACTGCATGGTCTCCCGTGTAGATGGCATTTTGCCATTCATCCTGCACGCCGGCAAGGACGATCTCGAGGCCGTTTGCTGACTGAAGACTAGCGGGGGTTGAGGCTTTACTGGATGCGGACGAACACCAACGCCGCCGTGCTGGTTAGGGAATACTGCATGCCGAAAGGGCCGAAGATGGGGGCCCTGGGCGGGTTTTCACAGGTTACATTGCTTTGGGACAGGCTGCAGTGGAACTCCGATATGAGGTCAGAACGATCACGTTGACGTGTATGATGGTCGACTGTGTAGGAGAATATATACAATGAGAATGCATATTGCGTCAAATACTCAATTATCGGCAGACATCCTATCCTTAATGTCTGTCGTGCGGCCAAAGAGCCACCCCTAACCGCAGACACCCGAGCTGGCGATCGAGTTCAGGTCTGTAGGAATGACTCCTGCAATGACAGCGTCTGCGACCTCGTCAGCATGCGCTTCTTCAGACACGTCAAGGGGACTCACCTCTGTAGGACCACCGGTAATCACCAAGCTGGGCCTTCCAGGTCCAAAATACCCACCCGGCGGTGTTCTTCTCGTAGGCGTGGACTTGCGCCGCGAACCACTTCTTGTAAAAGTCCTTTTGCGTGTCGCGGTCCCAGTCGGCCGAGTTCTCAATCTCGTCGGGCGGGCTGATGCTCCACTCGCCGACAATGGTCGGGCCCGAGGCGTCGCCATTGCGGTTGTCGTTGCACGAGGTCGATATGTAGCTGTCGTGCGTCCAGGGCACGTCGTTCTTGTTGGCCCACTTGAGGTAGCGGTGGTCGTCAAAGGCCGTGAAGTAGGTGTCGTCGAGGAACTCGGTCGGGTTGCCGGAGCCCCAGAGCGACGACATCATCTGAATGTGGAAGTAGTTGTTGGCGCTGACGCCGAGGTCCTTCTCGACCTGCCGGATGGCCTAGGGGTGTTAGTGAGAAGCGTGAGGGCGGGGCGGAACTCGATAACTGACATTATAACCGTTCTTGTAGAACGTGCTACGGAGGGACTGCACAGAAGAGTCCCAGTTGGTGGGCTCGTTGACGAGCTCGATCGCGCCGACGTTTCGGAGCTCGTTGTTGTCGTGGGCAAGCTTCCTGAGAAACTCGAGGAACTTGACAGCACGGCCGTACTGGTAATCGTTGTAGAAGCCAGGAGTGGAGGCGTACTGTAGACGGTTAGAGGAGGACGGTGACAGGCCTGGAGAGTCTTACTTGGCCGGTGAACGAGTTCTTCGCCACTTGGGCTCCCGGGGCACCGTGATGGCTACTTGGTGTTAGTCTTTGACGCAGGCCTTTTGAGGTTGTGAAACTCACTCCAGGATGATGTAGAATCCACGATCACTGGCCCATCCGCAGAGCCGGATCAAGTACTTGACAGCTCCCTGCACATGGTCAGTCGCAAGTCAAACTACCAAAGACAGGGGTACGAACTCTTGGGAAGTGCTCAGAGTTCTGGTCGACTAACGACTCATCAAGCCAATATCCCACAGGAACGCGGATGGTGTTGATGCCGTAGGCTGTCATCTCGTCCAAGTCGCTCTCGGTGATCCACGTATTCCAGTGGTCCTGGAATGCGGCATCGGACCTCTCCTGGCCGGTGTTCATGACGCAGTCGAACTCGGACTGCTGCCCACCGCAGCCCATGTTGTTCCACTCGGTGTTGGCAATCCAGGGCTCGAAGACGAACATGGAGCCCAAGTTCACGCCCCTGATCTTGCCGGAGGCGGTCCACCAGCGCTTGCCCACGCCGTCCGACTTATCAGACGTGGTGTTCTGGTTGTCAAAGAGGCTGAAGCCGCGGGTGTCCAAGAGCTTCCTGGTGCCGTCATTCGGCAGCCACGCGTGGGTGAGCTGCGTGGTGGCAGCGAGTGCCAAAAGACTGAGGCGGACCATGTTGACAATGTTTGATGGATTGTCTGGTTGTGACGAGAGGGATGGGGAGAGAGAATGGCAAGCCTGTGTCCGAAGCGTGGGAAGACCGGCCGTCTTAACAAGCTTCTGATGCCCTGGGCCTTGCGGGCCGCAGCGCCAAACCCCAGGATTCGCCCATTGGGCGAGGAGGAAGAAAACGAGATTATCCCAGGGGCGGAGCACCGATGCCGTTGCACCAGCTTTCCTGGGGGCCTGGACGCTAATGCAAATGTCGATCGTGAGGGCTGAACAGCTCTAGTGTACTTCGTAGCTCTGCTCACCAACCAGCGGGAGTCTTTGAAGTCTATTTCCAGAAAATACAGGGATTGACGGCATCGGGCTGCAGGTGTTCATCCAATCCGGACCGAATGGCGACTGGCAAGAAACCCTGGTTCCTGCATCAAAGTCGCTGCTGGAGGTCGACAGCCACACGGGCAGCAGGATGACGGCAGGGAAATTGACGGCTGCCTGGAGATGGTCGCTGGCCCCCATTGCCGCATCGGGCTTCACGACGGGTTGCTGACTGGCTCTTGGCGGCCATTTTGGAGGATCGAGGGTGAGACGGCCGGCCTAGTCCGGGGGGCCAAGGTCGATTGCCTTCCTTGTTAGGGTCTAGCTTCGGCCACCGGCCATGCTCAAGCACTTGGGTCGGCGACAGGGGTTTGGCGGCTGCCTGCAGTTTTCTTAGTCATGGTGCAGCTGTACAGTCAGCAGCCGCATCTCACTTTTTGCAACTGGCAAAACTCGACTTATATCCACAACCGACATCGTGAATCCACCAAGATAAAAACATCAAAAAACATACAACACCAGGTATTCGCTGGTCGTCACCGACCCAACTACTAATCCGGCCCTCATTAGCTTATCTATGGGAGAGCGGACGGGATCCCGAGTTTTCCAATGGGTATGGTCGTATGTGGAAGTCTCATCACTGCAAGGGTCTCATGATGGCATTCTAGCGGTCCCTCGTGTAAGTCAGAGAGTTGCATGACATGGGAAAAGTGTGGTCAAGGGACATGGGCTGTCAAGCTCGACGGAAGGATCTGATGAATTGATTCAATGAGCCAAGATGGATACAAAGGTATGGATATAGTGCTGACATCCTCAATCTAGACTCAGTTCCCCTGTCGATTTCATTTTCACTAAATGCTCACTTCTCATCAAGAAAGGCCGAGATTTCTGTAAGCTCACCTACAAGCCCCAATCCATCATAGATACCGCAACATCATAGTTTACGTTATTGAAGAACAAGTATCTTATCAAGTTATAGTATGTCCTTGAGTCGCCGTAGCAGATGTTGTAGCCTACTCGTTATGACCCAGCAACTTCTTCTTCACCTGAGTAGCCTCTCATCCATTCTCTCATGTTCCTGTGCCGACGACGCTTCTTGGATCCACCCTTATGAGGCACAAACATCAGTAATTGAATTAATCAGACACTACGAGGCAACTCACCTCCCAAATCCTTACGCGCCACAACGTCCCTCCTTAAAGCAACCGCACGGGACACTAACGTAGCCATTATCCACGTTGTAATCCTTGATGGTCTTCCTCGCGTCGCGGCAGACCGTACAGCGGTTCGCGGGGTTGTTGCCGTTCTGCAAATTCTGTGCGGGACTGTCAATATCCTCGGCGCAGTAGCCAATGGCCTCGTCAAGACGGCCTATCGTCTACGTGTCCCACTTGCCGCTCGGGTAGGACCAGAGGCAGGTGCAGTCCTTTGCCGCCGACAACGCGGCGAGTGCCGTGAAGATGAATGCGGTTGTTGACCGCATCGCATCAGTTGGGAGGCGGATGGGATGGTTTAGGCTGGGCAAGCCAGGTAAGCTGGAGGTAGGCCGGAGACGAGACAGGGTTCTCGGGAATACGTGGTAGTGGTTGGTGAGCTATGTTATCCCTCACCTTGCCGAGCAAGCAATTCGTGACCAATTTATGTATCTCATCAACACCGTGTTCACCGCGTGCTCCGCCGCTTTATGACGCGACGAGTATATTAAATCCATCCTGACAGCCTTACTCTGCTTATATGGATAAGGTTTCGAACTCAAATTTATGAGCTTGTGCATGTTAACAAAGCCATACGGTTAACTGTTGGTTTGTCCGAGCCGGAGCTGACTTTGCGATCAGCCAAGATCATGACCCAAGCTAGGAATGATTCAGTGACTTGGACTTGCGGACACCCTATGAGAGGTTGGAGCCGACTCGGTGACGTATTAAAATGATATTCAAGATACATCCATTCATACTACGCTTGTTCGCCTCAAACAACCTGGTAATGTAAACATTTGTCCTTTATGATCTTCAACCGATGGAAGAAATGGTCAACGCCGAGCGCCACAAGGATATCCAAAAAGTAGATCCAACAATTATCAACCCGACTTGCAAGCGGCATAACTGTCAAAGCCCGAGGCTTGATGCCAGTTCGTCAAGTGTCCAATCAAGGTAGGGTCAATGTCCCGATTGGCCTTGATGAAGATGGTCTCGTACGGGTGCACGTTGGTGCCAAAATACTTGCCGTTCCAGAGAACGTCACCATTCTGGGACGTGTCGCACTCCTCAATGTAGTTCTTGGACTTCTGGAACGCCGTCATCATCAGGTCCACCTTGTAGCCTTGCTTCAAGAATGTGTGCGTAGCGCCAATCTCGGCGTGCACGGCATGGTTCCAGCCGTCGTAGCAGCCCGCCAGGCCGACGGGGTCTTCCTCGGTGCCGAAGTCGTCCTTGACGGAGGAGCCAGGCGGGGGGTTGAGGAGCAAGTCGATGCCCACGTCGTCGGTGGCCCAGATCATGGACTGGACGTGGAATTTGGGCCAGCAATTTGCCGTCATGCCGACCAACTGGCATCCAAGTTAGCACCCATCATTGAGTCGTCCAAGGTCATTGCCATCCTACCTTTACTTTGTCCGTGAGGCGGTCCAGGTACATGTCGGTCCAGCATGACTGCGCCCAGTGAGGCAGGAAAGGGCCGCGGATGCTCGCGTTCATGGTGATGAACCGCTTGTATTTCTTGTACAGGTCGTCATTCCGGAGCACCTCGCCGTACGCGCCGAGATCGAAACAAGTGTTGTTCCGGTCAATGACCTTGATGTTGTCCTTGGCCGGGATGATGCTGCTGACATTGGTCTCCCCGTTGAGAATGAAGATGAAGTCGGCAGCGTCGTGCAGGCCCTGCTTGACAAAGAACTGGAGGTTATCGCGGCCGGCGTCGGACTCGGCATAGGCGTAGAGGACCAAGGGGCGGCTACGGTCCTTCGAGGTGGACGACGACGACGACGACGACGACGACGACGACGAATCCGACTTGAGTGATGAAGAGGCGGACGAGTCCTTGCTTGCGCCTTGCTTAGACGCCGTGCCCGCCGTCTGCTTTGCTCCCTTGGCATTTGTCTGGGAGGCAATCTTGGCCGCCTCGTCTTCGTCGTCCTCGTACCATGGCGGGAGGGAGTACTCGGGCGACTTGTCCGGGCGTGAAATATCGTGGCCTGGCTTCGAAGACTTGTCGGGCGTCGGGCGACCGGGTTTGACCGCGGGATTACTCTTCGGGTACTGAGGCTGGCCCACGGGATTGGCAGACGGACCGTGTGTCTGTAGGATTGAAGGTTAGTCTAGCCGCAGAGAGCCTAGAGAGGCCAGATACCAGGTATAGACTCACGACGTGCGTGGGTGTCGACGATGTTGTCTGGGTAAAGGTCGACAGCGTCCACAGGAAGAAGAGAAAGGTGAGCAAACCAACAAAGGTCTGCCTATTCACAGGGAACGTCGATATCATGGTGACTGCTGACGATGGAGGCTGCGGTTCGGCGTCGGCGACTTTCAGAGACTTGGTTGATGCGGACGAAGCGCGCAGCTTGGGACCAAAACAAGCGGTGGACGGTGGCTATCTTTGCTGGTCCGGGAATCGCGATTCACCGTATCCAAGTGAGGTGACAGCGACGATGGACAGAACAGGATACCGCAGAGCCCGACGAGAGAGTTTTGGACGTGGGAACGTGTTGCCCTTTCGCCGGAGACAAGTCACAAGCTGAGCAAGGGGACCCAGGCCCGAAAATGGACGCCAGGGAGCTGCATCTGGCATCTGCAGTTTCCAGAGCATGGCGTGGCGTGGCTGACTTTGGCTAGGGAGGGAGGGGCTAGAATGAAGGGCACGGAGGGTATTGGAGGGCAGCTTAGGCCAGCCATGAACCATCACACTCGGCGGGCAGTAATTTTTAGAGTTTGACGACTTGGAGATACCATCAGCCGTCGTCTTGGCTAGCGCGTGGCGCAAGTGTCTTTCATGTCATTCCCTCCGTGACCAGTGACAAACTTCTGTCATGACGAACGAACGACAGGCCTGTATAATTAGGACGAGAATGCTCTGGCGCTTTGCATGGGGTGGAGTGCCTGAACATGCCAAAGCTGAGGCTCTGGAGGCGGTGGTCCGAGGGATGGATCTGAGATGAGATGCCGGGCGAGGTGTGGACAGAGAACACCACGGTCCACCACTCACCGGCCGTCGTCCACCTCCCACATGCGGTCCCGGGTGTCTGGACTCCAAATGCAATCCACAGCCCACGCACATCGCAGGGACCATATCCGTAGATCGGGGGGTTTCCACTGGGGACGGGGGCTTCTGGCGCGGCACGTCATTGATGGGGGCAGCTGGGATGGGTGACCACGAAGAGGTCGAGTGCCATCCTCTATAAAGTGTGCCTCAGCGTTTTCCCAGGGCGGGGTGCCTTGGCAATTCATCTCATTATCGCAGTTCTTTCTTTTCCTGCAACTCCCTTCGTCCTGTCTCTAGCCAACTACCACCCGGCGTCGACGGCCGATCCCTTGAAAATGCCCCTGGGCCGCCCTTGTGTTATCTGCAGGCTGTAGCCACTGTGCCCCTGCGTTAGGTGGTCCCTTGCATTCTGCACCGATTGCTTCTCCCGGCATCTTGCAAGGTGGCAAGAACGCCAGCTTCGTTCGCTAAGCTTTGGGCCATACAAAAGAGTGAGGCCTGGTATGATTGCGAGGAAAAATTCGAAAAGGCCTCTTGTGCGCCTGTTGGTGGTGATGTAATAATTAAATTCGTGTGGTGCGTCCTGTCAGCTCTGCATGGGCAAACTGAAAAGTCACGCTGTTGAGGCTGTCACCTATCCATGACCAATCTCTGCAACAATTCGTAACTCGAGAGACGGACGTGTGTTGTGCGAGTTGCGTTGCAGACTCCACGATAGTCCCGCGTCTTTACGGTTTGTACTTTGTAACTCGCTTGATTTCCCTTCGTGGATTTCCAGGTAATGAGGTACTCGGACAAAACGGCGCACTAGATTGCCGTCCTATGCAGAGGGTAGATAACCTGAGCACTTGCTGCCAAGGGTTCTAGACGGACTCTTTCCTAAACCGCCGCAATTGCAACATGGCATTGGAAGACGCAAGTCGCGAGGAATCCTCGCGATTGGCCGAGGTCGTTGCAATGGGCTTGCCAACCCGGCTGACTGCCTTATCTGGGAATGGAGTTGGGAGGAATCGGCCGATATCTCGAGCGGGGGTTGCAGCGTGTGGAGGCGCAACTGATCTCACCTTATCATTCAAACTGATCAACTGGTCATCCAAGTCGATGCCCTCCATGGGTGCCAATCGCGAGGTCGCACATTACAAATAGGATCCCCAGCTAGGTGAGCAAAGGTGCCACTTCGAAGCAAGACATCAAAACTAGGCAAGATGACTGCCGTCACGATTCAACCGCCTCTGTCGCGCCGAGGCCATGGCCCTGGGCTCATCATCGTGGTTGAAGAGGGCATCAACCTGTCGAAACATGACAAGATTCTGGACCCTCCTCCATCTCAAAAATGGGCAGAAGAAGGATTCGCCGTTGCGCAAGTAGTCGTTGCACATGGGGCCGAAGCTGGTCAAATCACCTCCGCCATTGCGAGTCTCAGAGAACTCGACAGTTGCGACGATAAGGACAAGTTTGGGGTCATTTGTAAGAACATCGGCGTCCATTGAGATCTTGACTAACACATCTCGCCAGCTCTGCTCAGTGCCTCCTCTCAGCAATTTGTAGACGCGCTGGAGAGCCGTTCCGAGATCAAGGCGGCCGTGTTCTACAACTTTGTCCAGGCGCTCGCGATTCCCAGCCTCTCGCATCTCCCCGGAACCCAAGCAGACGGTCCCAAATCAACTCCTACGGCAAAGACGCACTCCTATCCCGGAGCAAGCGACTTCTTCGTCATCCCGAGCCATCCCAATTTCAACGCCAGCGCCGCGGGGCTTGCGCACACTCGCACACTAACTTTCCTCAAACCCCTCCTCGGCGGGCCGTACTTCGACCTCGAGGCCGTATGGGAGGAACACACCCTCTTCGAGTTTGCCGAGCGTGACGTTGAAAAGACCATGGCCACTATGGTCGAGCAGCCCTATGTGAGTTTGCGGGGGGCAAACCCCAGAGGACGAGTCTGGCTAAACCTGGCAGGTCAACCATATCCCGACGCTCACCGGCGGTGTGGGCCGTCAATACCTGACGAGCTTCTACAGAGACCATTTCATCTTCAACAACCCCGATGACACTGAGCTCGAGCTGGTCAGCCGTACGGTCGGTATTGATCGGGTCATTGACGAGTTTGTCTTCAAGTGCACCCACAACAGGGTCATTGACTGGCTGTAAATGTCTTCCGGCACGAATGCACAAAGGGCGTACTCCTAACGAGACACAGGCTTCCCGGCGTTCCGCCAACCGGCAAGCACCTTTCTATCCCCTTCACCAGCGTTGTGAATGTCCGCGGCGACCATCTCCACCACGAGCACATTGCGTGGGACCAAGCTACCGCGTTGCGCCAGCTTGGTCTGCTGCCAGAGTACCTGCCGTTCCCCTACCAGATCAACGGCAGCGGCCCGGCGTCTGGGAAAAAGTACGAGTTCAAGCTGCCTGTCGCCGGCGTGGAGTCGGCGCACAAGCTCGTCGACGAGAGTGCGGTCGAGTCGAATGCCATGTTTGAGTACGGAACGCGGGAGGTCGACGCTTAGCTCGGACAGACCACAGTGCTGCCATGTCAAAGTTGTCTGCCTGAGTCTCAGGGGCAGGTCAATTGCAAGGTAGTTTGAATTCGGGGGTCTAAAGTCGGGGGGGGGGGTTGTTGTCTCTTGCTCTTGAGCTGACAACCGCTCTCTGTATTCGGTTTCTATGATTTTTAGTCATGATATGACGAGTGTATGCTACTCATTATGCAGTCGTCGAGACCTTTTAGATTCGGTTTGAGCCCAGATGCGAGGAGCCGCTCTGTGAGGAAGACTCGTACTTTGTCGACGCCCTCGATTCCTGACGAGACCGGCTCTCCTCGCCCCAACGGACCTCCTGGTCCACCGTGATCCGTATCCCGCCCTTCAGGGACGCGTCGTCGCCCGAGCCAGAGTCCGAATCCGGCGCGGGTTTTGTCGCCGCTCCTCCACCGGACCGGGTCGAGATGTTCGTCGTGATGCCGTACTTTCCGTCCTCGGTCCCCAGGCGCTTGAACCCTCTGTCGGCCGACTTTCCCCCTGTTCCCCCGATCGTCATGAGTTCCGTGGGGCCCCGGCTCCCTGCCTTTGACTGGCCGCCGCTCTGGCCCCCAGAAAGGTTGTACTTGGTCGCGATGCTGCCAAACTGCGACGAGATCTTGACCATGAGCGGGCGTAGCGTGGGCAGACAAGCGCTAATCACACCACAGGCACACTCGACGACGCACCATGTACACGCAGTGGCGAGCGTCCCTAGACATTGTCAGCGGGTGAACACTGTCGAGTAAGAAGCAAGCGCTAGGCCGGGTAAGGCTTACATGTCGTGTCAGCGACCTCAAACTGCATAATGGTTGTGAAGCGGTAGATGCTGGCAAAGAGAACACTACGACGGCGTCAGCACTTTTACGTTTGCCTTCTTCGCCACTCGGCATCACTTACAATCCTCCCAGCAGGAACATGAAGCACAACGACAACCGCTGCGCCATTGTCATCTGCAGCTTCCACACCTGGCCAATGGGCAGGCACAGGATGGCCACGTCGGTCAGGATATTGGGGATGGCGTTGCCGATGAAGGACGCCTTGAGGTTGATGCAAGTGCCCTCAATCCAGGGCATGTAGGCCTTGGCGACGGGCGCGCACTGGAAGACGCACACAAAGACGATGGCGAGCCACCACCCGATGGTGAGAAGGCCGAGCACGATGGCGGCAATCTTGAAGCCGCGGCCGGGGAAGATGCGGCGGTACATGAGCAGCAGGGAGATCTTGATGAACATGACTGCCGTCACGTACACGCACTCAAACGCCAGCAGCAACTTGAGGAACTGGACCATCGTGTCTTGTGAGAGTGTTGCGGCGTGGCGGCCGAGGCCTTGTGCAATCACTATGATCAAGGTCAGTTTCCATGGTCCTCTCACTTGGCCTATCGTGTTGCCGCGTGCTTACTCGCATAGTTGAGGGCTCCCGCCATGAAGGTGACCATCAGACCAACCACCATGAACCAGTCATCGAGGCCATAGTGAAAGCCAACAGTCCACCGCGCCCAGAACCGGAGACCGACGAATACGGTTGCCAGAACAAGCAACGCCGTAGTGGTGCCGCTCAGTTCCGGCCCTCTATCCGCCAGAGGGTCTTCCCGAGCCGACAGGTCGGCCATGGAGGCTGACGAAGGAGGGAAAAGACGGGGGCGTGAAATCTCCGAGCCAGACAGAACCCAAGAGTTTGTGAGTCAGTAGACAACGAGTCAACAAGCAATTCAATGAACGGAAAAAAACGCTCTACTTCTTCTTCGGGAACGGGGATATCAAAAGGGAAATGAGAAAAAGAAGGGCTCGGACAAGAACAAAATGGAGCCCTTCTTCCTGGGTCTCCGGGACGCGCAAGCGCAGAGTCCTTATACGCTCTGCCGTCGATACCCTGCCCGGAGCAGAAAAAACGTGGTGAGATTCGACTGACTCGGCATTTGAGGGGCGACAATATGCCGGCTTGTCAGGACTGGAGGCTTCAATGGGGAAAGGGGGGGGGTCCCTTCGAAGCCTGTCGAAGGCGGCCAACGTCTCTATTGGGGATCCAAGATCCGCATCGATATAACGTCCATCTTGAGCCCTTGTACCCTACCCAGACTACCAGAAGTGGCCCCCCGTCACGACCCAGTACTCGGAGCGCGACGTCTGATGGCACCCGGGCTCATCACGGGAGTTCAGACAAATGTGCCCCATCGCCGATGCGACGTCAGTCCGCCCCATCAACACCACGGTACCACCTCAATACAGTTGCTATCCTCCGGTCTCGACGACCTCTTTTGGAAAAAGGGGGACACCGTTGAGAGGGGCGACAGTTGCGACGACATGGGCATAGTGAATCTATGAGATTGAGGCAAAGACGAGGTCCGTGGGAGCACCGGATCTGTAAGCAGAGCAAGAAGATGGATACAGCATTTGACGAGGATAAAATGGCATGTTCGTCTCTCCCTCCCTTGGAATCTCTATGATCCCCTCAGTTCCTCGCGCGTTGGCATCTCAATCACTCTCTCGTGCAGCCTCTCTTTCTCCCTCCCTCTCTCACTCTCTCTGGGCATTGTCCTCAACTCGATCGACCCTACTCCATCGTTCGCTAATACACCTCCGGCATCCCACATCTCCTTACCCGTCCTTCATTTTACCTGCACGTCAACGGTGCTTACCCGTACCAAAATAATCTTGAACCTTAGCAGACGTTGATCGGCAGTTGTCTGTGTCCGCCCCCTGACGCAACTCACATCACACGCCCCCCCCCCCCCCCCCCCCCCCCCCCCACCCCCTCCCCCACCCCCCCCCCCCCCCCCCCCCCCCCCCCCCCCCCCCCCCCCCCCCCCCCCCCCCCCCTTCCCCCCCCCCCCCCCCCCCCCCCCCCCCCTTCCCACCCTTCAACATGTTCCCCAAGATCACCAGCCTCCTTTCCTCGGCCCTCGTGGCCAGCGCCGCCACTCTCCCTACCGTGGTTTTCACCCCGGGCGCCTGGCACGGTCCGCAATCCTTCGACCTCGTCCGCGCCGGTCTCACGCTCAAGGGCTACGAGTCCGAGGCCATCACCCTCCCTTCCGTCGGTGCGGAGCCCGCGACCGTCGGCCTCGAGAAGGACGCCGCCGTCCTGCGGTCCACCATCGAGACTCTCGCCGATGCCGGCAAAGAGGTCGTCGTCGTCGTCCACTCGTACGGCGGCATGGTCGGCGGCAACGCCATCGAGGGGCTCGGCTACAAGCAGCGCGCCGCCAACAATGAAAAGGGCGGCGTCATCATGCTCGTCTACCTCGCCGCCTTTGCTGCCCCCAACGCCACCAGCCTGTTGGATATGCTGAACGGAGAATACCTCCCCTGGATGAGAGCCGAGGTAAGCTTGTTTTTGACAACCGCCTCCCATATGCCGCTATTTTATACCCTTGCTCGACATGCGACATATCTGGAGACGTGACAAAAGAAAGACAAAAAGAGACTCTGATCGAGATTAGCCGCTGACACTGAACTTGCAGGGTGACAAGGTCTACGCTGATACCCCAGAGACCATCTTCTACGCCGACGTCGACCCGGTCCTCAAGGCCAAGGCCATTGCTGAGTTGAGCTGGCAGTCCGCCCGCGTCTTCTCCGACCCCGCAACCTACGAGCCGTGGAACGAGGGCATCGAGGTCATGTACTTCCACACCCAGCAGGACCAGGCCATCCCTCTGGCCACCCAGGAGGCCATGGCCGCCCAGTTCCCCTCCGGCTACACCACCTTTTACGCAAACACCTCGCACTCCCCCTTCCTGTCCCGCCCGGACCTTGTCATCGAGGGTGTCGAGCTCGCCGTCAAGGTCGGCCAGGAGAAGATTGCGGCTTAGGAGGCCTTTTTTTCCTTTTTTTCCTTTTGCGAAACCGGGTGTGCCTAGTGTTTAGAAGAGTTCGTAAATCTTCACAAAGGTGCCTCGTGAGACTAGGCCAAATCGAGGGAAAAAAAATAAAGAAACCGAGTTGCAAACCACAGTTCTAAACCGGGTCCAAGGAGACCATGCTTGAATCGTTCGAGAATAGCCTCACTCAACCCGTAGCTCACGCGTGAACGGGACCTGCATGTGCTGCTCATCAACCGCTTTAACCTACCGGAACTTGGCCGCCCAGCATTAGTCTTGCGTACACTGTCCGTAATAGGAAATAGAGACCAGGCCCCCCCCCCGGCGGAGATCAGCGCAGCAAAGCCTCACTTACCCCTGGCTAGCATTCCAAATGTAACGCGGCAGATGTCGACCACTTGCGTGCTTTTTGGCAAAAGCTGGGCGGAGGGGGCCTGAATAGTAACCCAGTGACGTTTCGCGTAAAAGCTCGCATTATATTAGGGAGAAGAGTAGTATCCGTTCTTCATAAAGAAGCCGAACTGGGGCGGCCCCCAATGAATAGAGGGGAGAAAAGGGGAACATTCCCGGCCTTTACGCGCCCGTGACCTGGTCGAGATCGCAGTGATTCGGGGGCCATAAAGATACGAATTAGGACTCGTTGCGACTCTACCGCAAAGATTGCGGACCGCGTGCCTCTCCCGAATCCTTTCTCCGTGACACAGACGATTGCCTGACGGCAGTATTGATAAGCCTACCAGCCTTATAGCATGTCAATGGGCCTGGTCCGACTGGTGGATCGGCCCCCCGGTTGAACAGCAGGGGTTGGAGAAGGTTCTTCAGCATTGTGGGACTTGTGTGGTTCAGGTTCCTCACAGCTCGATAGCTTTAAAGGCCCGCAGGCTGGGAATAAAGGGGATAGGCGAGTTTGACGGGTGGGAACATGTTGCAATTTCCAAACCCAACTGGGAATTCGTCCGTTCAGGTCACCCAGCTCCCTCTTTGCTCTGGCGAGAAAAGAAAGTTATCGCCGAGCATAAGACGTCGAGTGTGTGTAGTCAAAGTAAAGCTCGCGCTGCCTACCAATGTGGTAGGCAAAGTTCGGTAGTTGAGGCGATCCCCGGACGGCGCGTCGGTTAGTTTCGCGAGACCACGTTTCGCCTCGCCTTGGTTCTTGTGTGTGTGTGTGTGTGTTGGTGTAAAAGCCTTTGTTTCTGCTTCTGGACGGACAAAACTTGACCGTTTCCAGGCCTGGCCCTCCGTCGCTTCTTCACTTGCAATCCCCACACCTTTTTTTTTCTTCGCTCCAATTTCGGAGCCAGCCGGCCGGGCCGGCGCAGTGACGACCGGCCGGGTACTCTTTCTCCTTCATACGGAGTGAAAGCCGGTGTACTAGGTATCCTCTTTTGCCAAGTCGTTGCGAAGCTCCGCAACTACGTACCATCTGCCAAATTGTGCCGATTGCACAAACGACAGCAGTGAATACCATCCCACAACCCGCGGCAAGAATGTAACGCCGGAACCACAGAAGAAAGGATTCACCAAAAGTTAGAATGTGATAAGCAGCAACCTCAGACCCGGACTTAGAGAGTGTGTTCTGCATCTTTGCTCGAGAACACCATGATATCTATTTCTTTCCTATCAATAGTGCTAAAGACGGGTGGATGCCCCCCCCCCCCCCTCTCAGAGGCCCAGACAAATTAGACTACATTGTATGCACGTTAAAGGAAATGAAAAGACGAGCGTGATAGATCAAACACGGACACTACCGCCCCGTTACTGAGCCAGGACGACTCAATTTGCTCCACCAGCAATCTGCGATGCTACCCTTCGAGTCTTTGACCTTGTGTGCCTGTCAACTGTACATAGTAGGTAGGCCATTGTAGGGCCCTGGTCCTGGCAAGCGTACGCTGTGTGTCCGTATTCGTAACCCCTTCACCTCACGTCTACTACGTATCAAGATATCGACACCCGCGTTATCGCTATCGGTTCCCATGTCCTATATGCCTATCAGATGCCAAGTCCGACTAGTTCAAACTCTCTCCGCTGTCTTCTAGTACGGATACCTCACCCTCAAGCAGACTGTAGAGGCACCAAGCAAAGGCCACCACCCCCTTGACACCCGACGGGGGCCTCATGTTGGGGTTACCTAACTGTCAAAGGAAATTCGACAGGTCGATCTCGTTTCAATGGATGAGTCCGTCTCGTTTTCTCCCCGTGGTCCCCTTCCAAACGGGTTCTTCCCCGGGCGGCAAGATATAGAACAATCTACTGCAGGTCTCAGTTCTCTCACTCATTCCCTCTTCACAAGAAGAATGGGCATGGGGAAGGTAAGGGAGCAACGGCTCGACCGGTAGAGAAGGGCCCTTGTATTGGTCTCACTCTTGACGATCGATATTGTCTGTTCCTCGACTGAACCATGGCGGCGGGTGTGTGTTTCTAAAGTCTAGACTTTGCTCTTCAATTTCGTCTGTCTAGTTCCTGGCCTTGTATCGAGAAGCAGACCGGTCAAGAGCCTGAGCAGCTAATGCGGCTCGCACAATAGGTTTCGATAGTACGGCGTATTGCGAGACGGATTTGCTTCCGCAACCACGTTTGATCAACGATTCCCATGAGTCACGTCAACGCCGCAGGAAGAGCGGCAACACAGGTAGGAGGATGGCCGGCGAATTTCACTCCTCGCCCCTGGAACTGAGATGCCATTTGCCTTCCATCCACGGTGGAATTGCAACGTCCCGTAGCACGTTTTGTTGCTGTCAGAGTCTGCAAGAGACATGGGGATCATCCAGCGCTGCCCACAAATGGCGTCTGGGGTCCAAACCTCCAAGTTCCAACAACCAGTACTCGGAAATCCCTGGTCATCAAGATGACCATCACGTCCCCGGAGAGACGATCATTGGGTTGGGAGAGGCAGATGGGCACTTTGGCACATATTCGCTTCGGTGTCAAAGGATATCCGCAATACGACGAGCATCCTCAGAAGCCTGCAGTCCAAGCAGGACTCTCAGTCTCCTCTTCTCCTTCGGGATAAACAGACAGAAAATCGGCCAAAGCCCCCACGTGGCCCCCAATCTAGCAACGCTAAAAGCAGGGGAAAGAAAACCGGCGTGACCGGGCAAACAACCTACAGCAACCCAAGCCCACGACTCGACTCCACACTCCTGCAAGCCTGCAGATCGGTATTTCCAAAGTCGCCGGCGGGCGAGGGGATGGGGGCATGGGGAGGTGAGCAACGAGATTAAAATTATGAAGTAAAACTGTCATCATATCGCACGTCTCTTTCTCACGAAAGCAAGCGAGTAATTTACAGCCGCAAAAGTGGGAGGTCAAGCACATGGCCTTCTCGAGGATGACGGACGCAGAACGGGGAATTGGGGGGGCGGGAATGAAAAAACTTACATGGAAAAACCATCCGTACGGAGTTTTTGTGAAAGCTACTTAGAACAACCCTCCCCTCGCTCGCCCTCCATCGGTGAATTGATTGTGTTCACCAGGGGCGCGCGGGCGGCGGCATCATGTCTAAATTGGCCCAAAGCTCTCTTCCTAATGAGGAAGAAAGATGGGCAAAAGGGCTCACTGATTACTGGTTTTGATTCCAGATCAGGGCTGGTGGGACAGGAGTAACGACGGCAGCTCGTTACGAGAAGCCTCCGAGCTTCTTTCTCTGCACCGCTTAGTAAACCAATGTTTGGCGTATGGTGTCCAGGTCGCAAGGACCATCAGCCGTGTAGGCCCTCATCACGAGAGCATCAGCCCAATCGGCGACTCTGCGAGTGTGAACCGCAGCCCCTTCATTGCTGGGCTCAAAACCGCATTTCATGCATTGTGCAAAGAGGTTATCTAACTCGAGGCTCATTATTCTCCTTCAGTGTCATTTCTCATCGAGATATTATTATACACTCTCTGCTTCATGCCCCCCCGTGCCCGTGAAATGCCAAATCTGTATCGCCTCTCTCCATTCGCCAGCCCATGCGTGAATGTCAAGGGAAAGTCCAACCATGTCCATGCTTTATCGTCGGATCCTTCCAGCGGTCGCTCGCACGTACAAAATAGAGACAGTCCGCTGTCGTGTCCCAGTATATAAACCCCCGCCCTGGTGCGAGGGCTAGGGCGAGGGGAGTGTTGAGGCTGGTAAGAAAAATATGTACAAAAAGGACAGTGTCCCGCCACAAATGTAGCGGCAAAAGCCCAAAGAATCGAAGTGGGTATATGCTGCAACGTGCGGACTATGTGATGGGAGCCAGGAAAGGACTGAGCATCAGCTCGTCCGCACTCGGCCGCAGGTTGTGGTCCATCTCAAAGGTCTGAGCAAGGAATGTCTTGGCATCTTCAGAGGCGTGCTCCGGAATCGTGGGCGCCGCCTTGCCACCGCCAATTTTGAAAATGGCCTGCAGCTGACTGCAGTCGGGGTATGGGTGTGTGCCAGTCATCATCTCGACAACCAAGCACCCGAGCGACCAGATGTCGGCCTTGCGAGTGTACGAGGTCTGCTTCACGACCTCGGGAGCCATCCAGAAGACGGAACCCTGGAGGGAGGGGCGGTGCTTGTTGTTGTTCGCACCGGACAGGATGTTGGTGGCTTCCAGCTTCTTGGAGATACCGAAATCGGAAATCTTAATGGTGCCCTTGTTGTCCACGAGGATGTTGGCGCCCTTGATATCTCGGTGGATAATCTCGCGGTCGTGTAGATACGACAGACCAGTCAGGATCTGGCGGACGAAGCTGCGGACGAGAGGTTCTCCGAGAGCACCGTACGAGTTGAGCATGGTTTGCACGGAACCACCGGGGACGTACTCGAGGAAAATGTTGAGGTACTCGGTCGACGAGCTGCAGCCCAGATACTGAACGATATTCGGGTGTCGAAGGTCGCGGAGCAGGCTGATTTCCCGCTTAAGGGCCTCAATCATGCTCTTCTTGCGCGCGTCGTTTTGGCTGTTGGCACCCGGGGCTGGCGCCTCGACCTGCTTGACCGCCAAAAGCTCACCGGTGACGGCGTGCAGGGCGAGATAGACACAGCCGAAGGAGCCCTGGCCGATGAGGGCTCCCTTCATCCACTTGTCGTCAGACCAGGACTCTCCCGCGAGGAAGCTCTCGAGCTCCTCATCGGCATCCTCGCCGTCCTCGTTGAGCGCCGCTGTGAGATCCTTGAGGGAACCTGACCCGGTTGAGCCGTCGGTTTCGAAGTAGCTTCGCCGCGTAACGTTACCTTCTGGGTCGGTCACGCTGAGAGCGGCTGCACTGGCACTGTCGGAGCTGTCGGCGAATGACACATAGGACTTTCGGTTCGGCTCGACAGGCGACTCCTCTTGCAGGGTGTCGAGCATCGAAGAAGCGACGGAGTCGCGGAAATGGGTGACCCGCAGGCCCGATCGCGCCTTGGGGGCACTGCCGGTATGCAGCCAGCTGTCGGCAATGGTCGGGATTGGGGGAGCATCTTGGATGCTAGACGCGAAGCTGAGGTTGCTAGCCACGCTCAGACGGCTGTTGACCTTGCTCAGACGGGTCGATCTTCTCATGGACAAACGAGCGGTTCTGTCAATCTCCTCTCTGGGGTGGTCAGGGAAGTAGGATGTGAGGTCCGAGGCGATGAGCTCGCTGGGGGGACGCAGACCGCCAAACGACCGCAAGATGCCCTTATTCCTCCTGGGTCCGCCGGCAGATCTCGGGCCGTCGTTGGATGCAGGACGCTCCAGCTCCTTGGCGGTGTTGTACACGTTGCGCTCCCGGTCGTGGAAGGAGACTGGGGAAAGCGGATGTTGTAGCTCGTCGTTCCATCTCTCGCCGAGCAGTTTTTGTACCTTCATCTGACTCCTCTTATCCACAGTCTCGAGGGCGCGGCTGTGGTTCTGCTGTGCCTCCTCGATGGCAATGCCCGCTGCTCTCTCGAGCTCCGGCATGCCTGGCTCACCAGCGGGGACACGGCGGAGGATCAGGCGATTACGCTCAGGGCGTTTCTGGTCCTTGATGATCCGCCAGAGCTCCGTGTCGCCGAGCCGCCGGCATTGGTTTGGGTCCGGCTCAATCCCGGCCAGAACCCAGAAGCAATAGTTCCTCTCGTGGTCCTCTCGCAGGGCAAATTTCCTCAGGGTCACTCGCATGACCTCTTCGCACGTGTTGCAGTCGGCGATTTTGACGACCTTTGTGACGCCTCCGGTGGAGATGACGCGGATGACATCCTGGTTCTGCGGTAAGCCAGCCATCAGTGAACCATCCATACTGGAGTTATTCCTGGTATGGGAAGTTACCAATCGGCCGGTCTGGGGGACGGATTGCCCGGCGCTACTCACATAGCTGGGACTTTGGCCATATCTTGTTCGCAGAGGGCGGATGGCGTCTGTGCCGGGAAGGGGTGAGTTGGGGCGGGAAGACGCGCTCTCCAGGGGCAGGGAGTCATATTGTCTTGAGTAACGCTTGTTCATGGAAGGCGTGGGCGCGGTGCGAGCACTGGAAGCAGAGGGCCGGGAAGATCCGCCCGAAGACGGTGTGAAAGGGTCGAGGCCACCAAACGAGTCCTGTGTTGATCGGATGTCAGCTGTGTTACCCATTGCTGACGGCGTCTCTCGATGCCGCGGGGGAGGAGTAGCGTCGGCTGACGACGGTGTTCCACGTACCCTATTCCGCTTCTTCTGGTTGGCGTAGGCCTTTGTCCTCAACTTCTTAATGCCCAGGAACAATCGCACACGGTCGCCGACCTTTTCGATGCCCATCTCCTTGAGGACATCCTTGTCGAGTTCGAGGAGGTTCTCGCCATTGATGTGGTTCTTGCGGAAGAGTTTCTCGTACTCACCGCACTTGACGCTCCTCAGGTAGTCGCAGACTTTGTCCTCGTCCCAGTTCTTGACGGCATCGGGGCCGTCGTTCTCAGAGAATTCGGATTCGGTCGGGCTGGCGTAGGCGGTGGCTTGGTTCGGAATTGTGTGTGCCCGTCTCGAGGGCGGTGCGGCACCGGTCGAGACGTTGGAGACCATGGGATTGCTGGAGCCCAGTGGCGCCGGGAATGCGGTCTTGGGGGCCAGCATTGCCATCTTTCAATTCTGGTTTGTCAGGTGGACATTGACTGAAGTCAAGTTGGCGTGGACAATGGTGGTGGTGATCGCGGGGAGTTTTGTCTCAGCTGCCTCTCCTGGAGCGCGTCGTGCTGAGAGAGGATTCCGTCAGGCAGGTGTCCGAGACAGTGTTCAGGGCGTCGGGCCGGATGCGAAAGAAGCGAAGAAGTTCAAGATGGCGGAAGTGTGGAATGGCGGTGTCTCTCACTGGATCCGGGTCGGGGAATGTCGAGCCTCTTCAGTGCCGGACCGTAAAGGTCTGGTTTCTGCTAGGACATGCAGAGGGGGGGATTTGGTGAGGGCGAAGGTCGTGTGTAGAATTACGGGTACTTCGGCCAGATGGGAAAAAGAAGGAGGGAAGGGGAGGGTTAATGATGGATTTTGGGGGTGCAGGGGACTTGGAAGCCAGTGGCAGGGAGGGGTGTGTGAGTGTGCGTGTGTGGTGCAGGTGCAAGCAGCCTCAGGTACCTTCAGGTAGGCGGACATATACCTCAGCCCTGGGCGGGCAGCAGCACCACCACAGAGGAGGGGAGGGCGGTAACAAGTTTCCGATGCTTTTTTTCTTTGTGTGCTGTCGCAGCAGCTCGTGAAAGGAAATGGACTTGGCTTCGGCTCCAATGCAAAGGGATCGCTACGTGTATCCGTACAACCTTACAACAACGGACAGTACCACTGCATAGCAGATCAGAGCAAAGCATGGCAAAACAAAGCTACAAAACACGAGAAGCCGCACAGTCCTCGCAACGGCCCTGATGCGTCTGTTCTCGGTGAGGCGGAAACTGAAGGGGAAACAAACACACTGAGAAGCTTTCCGTGTAATCTGCCTTTGGGCTTGGGGCAGAGAGGAGAGAGAGAGGCAGCGTTGCGAGAGGTACGACGAGAATGAGGCGTACTGCAAGGTTTCGTTCGTTTTGTTTGAGGTCTTGTTTTCTGATGCATTGTTCATTCATCCCACAGGTTCTCGTCACCAAGCCTTTGAACGGAATGTTTCTACGCTTTGTTACCCATGGTATTCTTAAGTTCCGTACACCAACAAAATGTTCCACGGTGCCACGAGAGCCTCTATCTTTGCCCGGTTTCTTCGGGTTTGCGGTCCACTCGAGAGCGACATTAAACGGACACGGCAAAATGGCACTTCGACTCAACAAGGTTTTCGCTGGCGGCTGGCCAAAGGCTTCTCTCTCCTCTTCCATGACGACCTGGAGTCTCAGGCGGACTGCCTCAGGGCCCGCGATGGCGGATGGAGAAGCCCCTGTGCGGTGCGCACCCTTGGCGACATGGCAACCTTTAAAAGGGCGTTTGCAGGGGTACGGGGACGGCGGCGGCTTCATGAAACTGGCTCAAGCAGGGTCAACGCCGCATGTCCCCTCCCCACCCAAACTTTGGCTCTGCAGCGGCACCTGCTGCTACCTTACTTGTTGCTGCTGCTGCCTCTGACTGAACGAGGAAGGCACGGCACCAAATGAGAAAGACCATCGAGCGGTGCCTTCCTCAAGCAGAAACACCACAATGTACCTGAGGAATTACTCAGCCGTGCCATCTGGCCCCCTCCAACGTGCAATTTGCCCTCCTTAATGCGCCGTCATGCAACCCCCGCCCCCCAGCCAATCGCCGCCAATTTGATATCTCGTGTTCTGGTATGACTCTATGGCACCAGAGACCCTTGATTCCATCACGCTTGATGCTCATGACGAGCAGACGCACCAGAGCCTGCAGAGACGTCAGAAGAAAGAGATGCAACAAAATAGCAACGTCCAGCCGCCAACGTTATGAATAGTGGCGGATCGGCGCTCATTCAGCTGCCGACCGAACCCGATTTGTTGTTGTCAGAATATATCAGAGTAGTCCGGCTTCCGGTCCTCCTCTGGAACAATCATACACGCGCCCATCCGAGCCTTCTTGCTATTCTTGGCCCGTCAGCAAACGTGCTTGGTTGCGCGCTGCCCCTTGCTTGCAACTTGCGGCGAGACTGGTCCCTATTCAAAGCCTCGGACTCTGTCCACGGAAGCCACGTCACGGCGCCTCTCTTCCAGCTTCTGCCGCCCTTGAGTCCCGACAAAGATGGGATGCAATTTCTTCTGGAACCAGAATCTTCCACGATGACGCCTCCGGCGATACTTTGAAAGCCACCGAGGCGTACAGAGTAGTAGCCACGCCATCATGCACGGCCGGGCCTCCGTGGTGCCAGACGTCGACCTATCGTCAGCCTACCCACCCGCAGTGGCCTGCTCAGAATCCCTTCCCTGGTGCAAGCGACAAGGCGGCCCTTGATCGCACAGGTTGGCATGCCATGCCCTGTGGTATAGGTATGGGCCCGGCATGAGCTTCCTCCTCCCTCTCCACAGCAATACCCAGCTGGTTGGAGGTCACCGTCGCAACCGTACGCTGTCAACAACAATAGCTTGCCCGCCGTGCCTAGATCACGAGAGGGCCAGATATCCCCGCTGCGACGATACCAAAGGTCGGGTTGGCCGCTGACCAACAAGCGGAGATTATTGTTCGTTGACACAATGGAGCCGACTCCATGCAACGTGATAGGCCCATGGAGTAGACCAGCATACCCTGATCATCTGGCCGCAATCCCCTAGTTGCTTTTGCCAGGAGCACGTCGCCACCGACCATCGTGAACAACTGACGAGCCAGAGATGCCCGCTAGAGAAGTCGTGTATCAGCTAATCGCCGAGGACAGCACAACTGAGCTCCAGACAGCGCCGACGGAGGATTCGCCAGAGTTGCAGAGGCCGGCAGGTTGTCCCGCGTCCACGGGTGATTGGCTCCGGCGCACTCCCGCACTCACTCGGGGCTGGATCGCTTGAAACTAGTCGTGTCGCACGTCTCGACACCCTCTCCGCTGCCCTGCATCCCTGGTGTTCCTGCCTCTGGGCGCCAATATCCCGCCGTATCCTCACTGGTGCTTCGTTGGACTCCAATGACTACCACGACTCAACCATCACGGCACCACTGCACCAGTCTCCAGATGGGCGTTGGCTCGCAAGACGGCGGGGGGGACCGTCCTTTCTGCTTACCCTTCGGCATTGGCGTCTCTTCAGATTGATTAACACGGCGACGCCAGTCTGAGCCCTAGGCACGTCTAACGCGGAGAGGGCGTTCACCGTCACTTTGCGCATCGTGGATCATCCCAGCTGGGCTTATCCGTACCCGCTCCAGAGCCTCTTTGGCTTCTCTGGCACATCTCCAGCCAATCACCTACGTCTTCATTTCGAGCCGCCTTTTGACTTTTCTCTGCTTGTACGAGGCGCCGTGTGACACAAAGCTAAGCTGTAGGCGGCATCTTTCTTCCTGTGACACCTCAGTCCTAAGGAGTTTGGACACTAAAGACATCCCAATATTCACGCGCCGTCTTTGTACACCGAGGACAGAAAGACGTAGCCCTTCCTTTTTCTGCACCTTTTGACCCACGTCTTGCGAAATTGACAGTGCTAAGGTGCCATTCCACCGCATGTTGATGGATTAGGATACGCCAACGCTGCTAGTTTGGAAAGATACGCAGCTGTTTGTGCCGTCGTCGCACAGAGAGACGCGCAGGGCAAGCATATCCCCATCTCCTCCAGTTGCTGATTTAATCGGCGAAAGAGCCCGAGATTACGGGGATATGCAGTCTCTGCGGTTGTGCAAAGGAAATGGATTTCTTCAATAACAAGGTACTCGGAGTCATGGCCCGATCACCGCCAAGTCATCACCAAAGAAGAGTGGAACACACGGCCAACGTGGACTTGGCATTCGCCGACGTGGATGACTCCTCAAAAACTGACAATGTTCCCAGATGTGTCTCCCCAGGACGCGTCGCTCTCGTTTCAGACCAGACCGCCCAAGGACCATCCAAAAAGAGCGTATGCTTCTGCTGAGCAGCACCAGATCCGGCCGTCTGGACAGCTAACGGAGTGCCAACGTGGCCGGGTCAGAGCGGGCGTCAACAAGCTTGAAACATGAAACCTTGGAAGATCTGCCTTGCATACGGATATCCAGTGGGCATTCAAACATTCCGGCCTGGTGCCAATCCCCCTCATTCAAGAAAGCCATCGTCCCAAGCCACGCTGCCACTTTGCAATAAGCGATGGAGACCGGGCTTGTGGAAAGGTCTTCTCCCGACACACCGGCATCCCACTACCCTTCCTAGCTGCTCGGCACGGACGACCAACCTTGCTGCTTCTGTTTAAGCCTTGCCGTTCAAACTTGACGTCGTCAGCCGTCTTCCACGTGGACAGGGTTCTTGAAGAAACAGAAACATGTCCAAGGACCAAAATGAGGCCACGACCGCCTCGTCGTCTCAACTACTACTACTCGCGATGAGCTTTAGAGCTCGTATCGCGGTCTACAAAACGGGACCGAGACCGAGGGTTTGCGTTATGGGCTGTCTCCATTGTGCTACGAGAAGCACGGGACAACTTTCAACGTCCGGCTATTCCCCTGCTTCACTCTGGAGGCTCGCTCCAGAGCAAATGTTACGCGACGTAATACATGCTCCGCTCCCCCCTGCAGCAGAGTCGAAGCATCATAACAGCATGGACACTATAGCTTGTAAGAGATGATTTTCATGAATAGCCGGAGGAAAAGTCTACTCGAAATTGAAGGGGAGAAAAGTTGCGACGAACTCCTAGCAGGGATTGGTGCGGAAACGCCGAAACCCCAGCCAGGATACGCCACTTGCCGCCAGCTCGGACGAGCCCACAGCTCCGCCGCCGCCGCCGCCGCCGCATGCCGCCACCACCAGGCGTTCCTAATTAGGCCTGACGGCATTTTCGGTCTGTCGGGCGGGTCGCCGGTCTCCGCATGGCCGGCTATCGGCTACTCTTTCCCGGCATTGACGGAGAAAGAGCAGGTCCGGGCTCCGGAGAATCGCGGTATGGCATAAAGGCGTCGTCCCGGACGCATGACCTTGTGACTCAACCCTTGTTTCGTGTTTTTCATACACGCGCTCAATGGGATGGCTGACATGAAAGGCTGGTGTTTTGCGGAGGGGATGAATATCTGTCTCCAAGCATCATCATCAGTTTTCCGGCACTTCCGTCGATGACTCTCGTCAACACATCTTCCTTTTAGTAGAAGCGCTAGCCAACACGAGAGGCGAAACTCTTCCCGTTTCGAGTGCAGACTCTCGTGATGCCAACCACCGTTTTTGCCGACTGGCCGATACATCATTGCGCAGGCAGCTGGATGAAGCGACGTCGCTGGTGCTAGCAGCCAGATAAGCAACAAGCTCACAAGATCAACGTGGGCAACCACGTCCTTCGTCGCCTTATCTAGGGCTCCCTATCAAAGACCAGGGAGCTATTGGGACAGTCTCACGGGGGATAGATCCGTGGCAAGGAGAGGGCGGGGCGCAAGGTGTTGTGAATGATAAGACGCGGCAGTCGGCGGCTGAAGATATGAACGGCAGCCATGGGTGACCGTGACCGCCTTTGCTAATACTCCCAAGACCCCCTTCATTGATGAGACCGCTGTGATATCATCTGCGCCCGACATTGAACATACGGCGGCCAAAGACTTTGGGCTGATGCTTTGACAAGCCCCGCGAGACCCGACTCATCGTCGTGCCTAGGCACGCGCTAGATGCTTGTCATGTAGCCAAGCGCAGAGCGAAAGCTCGTATGAGCAAACGCACTTGACGTGCGTATATGAACCGAAGAGCTCATTTGAAAGCGGAATGCCTAGGAGACGGGATGATCCGCTGTCAGTCCGAGGGCGGCCAAACCCCGGGTGGGCCTTTTGAGTTTGATGCTGCGGTATTTTCACCCCACATAGATGAAAAGAATGACAATGACTGACCAAGACTGTCAAACAGGTGAATCAGAAAGTTGATTCCGAGCGGTCGGGTGGACGAGGTCGCAAATGTCTTACTCGCGCCAGGCCGGCAATGCCAACGGCGAGTGGAGCTTTCCCCATGCCCCGCGCCGCCCCCCTTACTCCTCCAGCTGAGGACACAAAAAAAAGATCGCGCGGGCCACCACTCAACCTCCGATATCGACCACTCACGTCGAAATCTCCCTCAGCCGTCGACCTCGCGCTCTTTGATGCGCACCCGGAGGAACACGATCAGCTTTGTAAATTCGAATTTGAGGTAATACCGGAAGCTGCCTTGTGTTCTGTCAATCGACCGCGCCTTGGAACGACCCCGACACGGCTATCCGGGACCCGGAAATAAAGGGCCGCCCCCAACATCCACGACCACCGCCCAGACGGCCGTCCGTGTGTGTATGAGCCTCCTCCGACTCATCCACCACTCAATCCTCTCCTTATTCTGAAAGCCGCAATACTCAACGCACCATCGCCTCTGTTCATCGAAAGAAGTTTGCACCTCTACGCCATGAGTGACCAATCTCAGGTTCCGGCAGAGGCCGCTGTTGAAGCCAAGCCGCTGGTGGGCTTCCTGGGCCCCCAGGCCTCGTATACGCACCAGGTACCACAAACCTGAAAATCACACCTCGCACGGTGTGGCCGAGGGGACTTACCATTCTAATACTTTCCATTCAGGCTTCGTTGCAGGCTTTCCCAGAAGATGAGTGGGATCTGAGACCCGTCGTCAACATCACAGGCACGTACTCCTCCCATTTGTCGTCTCTGTAATTGTTGGGCGTCCCCTTCCTCTCTGTTCGTTCAGTCGTGCCGTATGCCACCTCGCATCTGACCGGGCCTCCTCATCAGACATCTTCGAGGTCGTGCAATCCGGCGAGGTCGCCTTCGGCGTGGTTCCCGTCGAGAACTCGACCAACGGCTCCGTGCTTTTCACGCTGGACAACCTTGCCGACCGCAACGGCTTGTACCCGGACATCTCGGTCTGCGGCGAGATTTACCTTGACGTGCACCACTTCCTCGTCGGCCGCCGTCCGGATCCGGCTCCGGCTCACGACTCGGCGACCGGTCCGGGCTCGGGCCCCCGGGGGGGAGGAGGCGGAGACGAAGGCTCCGGCGCCTGTACCCCGACGGCATCGGACCCCAACCCGCTCAAGCCCCGGACGAAGCCGCTGTGCAGCCTGAAGCACATCCGGCGGCTGTACTCGCACCCGCAGGCGTGGGGCCAGTGCGTCGCCTTTTTGCAGACGTACCTCAAGGGCATCGAGGCCATCGACGTCAGCTCGACGAGCCGCGCGGCGGAGCTGGTCAGCATGGACGAGACAGGGACGAGCGCCGCCATCTCGAGCGAGATTGCTGCGGGTATGCACGGCATCGATGTGCTGGCCCGGACGATTGAGGACCGCGAGGACAATACGACGCGCTTCTTTATCATTCGCAGGGGCCTTGACGCCGGGCAGAAGATGCCGGGCCACTGCGTGAGGGAGAGGGAACGGAAAAAGTCGATGGTATCGTTTACGGTGCCGCACGAGGCCCCCGGGGCGCTGGCTGACGTGCTGGACTGCTTCCGCCGGTACGGGACCAACCTCACGAGCATCAACAGCCGGCCGAGCCTGACGGCACCGTTCAACTACGTCTTCTTTGCCGAGTTTGAGGGGCACAGATTCCGGGACCCGGAGGGGAGGGTCAAGGGGGCGCTGGAAGGGGTGGCTCAGGTGGCGGAAAGATGGCGCTGGCTTGGGAGCTGGGAGGACCAGCGGTCGTGAGGACTGGTTGTTCGGCCTCTCATCGCTACTTGCTTGGGCTCTCTCTCTCGCTCTCTTCTGACCCCTGCCCCCATTGAGAGAATCCCCCATCCCGAGACTGGCAAAGATTCAGCTTCGGGAATTCTGTGGATGTCGGCGTTGGTCAGGTCGTCTGGCGATTGCCGATGATCCCTGAAGACTGTCGGCAGGCACGCGGGATATGCTTTGAGGCTACATCTGGTCTACATACTACTACAGACACAGCGCTGGAGGTTGCGGCCACGAGGGGAGGGGGGCTGCTGGGCACAAGGGGAGTCTATTGGACGGGACAGGCCTGGGCTGGCTGACGACATTTGCAAGTTTTGCAGCTAATGTCGATTCGAGATAAGAGGACCAGGAAAGCGTGGGATGACTGACCCTTGCCTCTTAGCCATTGTGTAATGGAAACCAGCGAGTGCCACCGCGGAAACGAAAGTCTTCTCGTCTTGAGTCTGGGAGTGTCTGTCTGTCCGTCTGCCTCTTCAACCCTGGCTCTGTGATGGACTGATGGAGACTGGAAAGGTCTGAAAAGAGCATTTCACGCCGAGCCGGTGGCGTTGTGAGACCTGGTCATGGTCGAGTCACTGACAAGAGGAAAAGGGGCCGACAACGAAGGCGAGGACCACCGTTGTCCACATTACGGATGAGTTGTCAGATGCAGATATCCCCCCCCGACCCCGAAGCAAGAGTTGGTGGAGGGAAAAGCGACGGATCAATCGCTACAGTTACGTGTGGTGGTCTCGAGAGACGTGAGTGAGATGAGCAGAGGGCTGGTCGCGTGCCCTATGGATGTCTCACAGCGCCCGTCCGTCCGCGCCCACACACCCCCATACATCACCAAAAAGGCTCAGTCAGTTCCACGAGCAGAATGCCAAGCAGCCCCAAATGCCCACGTTCCGGGCCCTTTCTTTCTACGCGGGCTATTGTGAAGGATCGAGACCAGTGGGTAGAGCCAAAGTTAGTTTCCCGAAGCTCTGCAATGGGTGTGGAAGGGGCAGAGAAGCTCTTGCAACTGTTTAGCGTGGCGCCGAGGGGGTTGTCGGGGGTTGCCAGAAGCTCTGCGAAGCTCTTGCAACTTGTTGAGGCACACCTGCTTCGTCTGCTGAGAAACACCTGCACACAGTGCTGAACCCCTCTTTCCCGTCTTGATGCGCTCCCCCCTCCTCTTCCTCTTTTTTTTTTCTGCCCGTTCGGTCAGATTCTGGTGGTGGATCAGCAACTCCACGTCCATTACGTCCAAATTACATGAATGAGACGTGCTGGAATCGCAACACTTGCAGGACCCTTGGCTGAGGTGATGCTGCGTATCCGTATGGCGGCCAAAGTTGGTTGTATTTAGGCCAGTGTTTGTTTCGAATACCTTACCCTTTCTCGATCTTCTTCATCATCATATTCTTCCTCCCCTCTGCCCAAAGACTGCTAGCCCCTTCAGACGCGTAGATGCCGAACATCTGCCGCTCCAAGCCCGTCTCAATCGCAAGGGACAGGAGAGGGATGGCTACCTTAGGCCGAGCTTTCGACATGTCGCCAGATGTAACTCAGCTGGAGCAAAATGATGCTCGTTGCTGGATCCCGCTCGAGTCTCCACACGACGACACACGTTCCGCCGCGGAACGTCTCCATTTGCGGCTTGCCCTGCTTCTTTCTGGAGCCTTTTTTTCTTCTTTTTGTATACTTCCCATTAAGACCCATTGGGGAACTTCCCTGGAGTCCCTGGAGCCAGGACCGGGTAAAAACCTGCGTGCCGTACCCGTGGGTATCCACGCTGCAAGTGTCCAGATTCCCGCAAAATACCCTTTTTTTCCCTCGCTCGTGTGGCGCGTCTCTCTGCTATATGTTGCTGCACGCAAGCACACAAAAAGAGACAGAGTTTTTCCCAGCTTGTCCCATCCGACAAAAGCGGGTTTGCAACACCCGGCAGACTTTTAGTGCTGCCGGGGGCGCAGAGGCGCCTCTGTGCAATTGGTGTGTGCCGGATCAATTCCTGGTGCTATGACGTTTAGTGCGCGTAGCCAGACAAGGTTCGCACCGCGAGACGGAGGCAGGATGGGAATACTCTTACGCCTTCCCCATCCGAAGAGACCAGTGTTCAAAGGTAGCACAGGTAGGCAAGTACCAAAGCTGAACCGTCTGGTCTCTGGACGAGGTATCTTTCGGTTGTTTCCTGTCCGTGTTCTGCACCGCTTTCCGCCCATCGCCGTGGGAGGAAGAGTACTTTCGTCTCACCTGACTTATACCTGCCCGTCTACTCGCTGGTGTTCTCTTTTCTCTTCCCCGTGACTTCTGCTCTCTCTCTCTCTCTCTCTCTCTCTTTCTCTCTCCCTCAGTTAGGGACATTCGAGTCGCAGCAAGGCTCAACCCAAGTGGGTGAAGTGTGGACACGGCCGCACACACATGCCTCTTCCTGTTCGGCTGTTCCATACCACCACTCCATCTCTTTCTCTCTCATCCTGTCTGAAAGGAGGGGTGGGCTCACCGGCCCCGTGCTGGCCCATGGTCCAGACTCCAGATGCAGCAAGTATGCAGTTAGTAACTCTACGTACCTTTTTTTTGGTCGTCTGGTCCGACGGCTGTCGGTCCAAGGCAGTCGGACGGGGACATGAAAGGCGCAGACTGAGGGAAAAGTGGTAAATGGGCAAAGAACGGCAGCGGCGCGAGGGAACGAGTGAGAGCGGTTGCCGTTGCCGTGGACCGTAGGGTCGCCCGCGAAAGGCGGAAGTTGCAGAGCTTCTGGGAAAGCTGAACTATGAAGGGGGGTGGGAAGCCAAATGATTTATAACCAGCTTCTCCCTCTCCCTCTCCTCTCGACCATCCTCGATTTCGCCATCGATACCTTGTTATTTCGACATTCACGATACCATACATCCAACATTTTTGTTGTTTAGCCCAAGCGACAAGAGCTTCTCACAACGGTGCCGCATTCCACAGTACCTTCCAATTAAGTCCTAAGAAGCTCTGCAACTGCCCTGCCCTACCGCCGTGCCGGATTCTCTGATCCGTCTTCCCCGTGGCGGTCCAATTCAGCAATCCCATAGGATAATTCCCCATCTTTGCTGCTGAGGTGCTTCATCATGGCTATCACGCCTTCGAAGCCAATCTTTTGCGCGACCCACCCAAGGGCCTGCTCTACAGCCTTTGAGAGAGTGAGATTTCCCAATCCCATTGCGCCTGTTGGCTTGTTTTGGCTGGTTTGGTACTGCCCGTTCCCCCAAGGTGTCAAGCACGCAATCCCGCCGGTCCCCAAAGACGAACAAGGTACAGGGTGCCTGTATTGTTCTCGCGGGAGGACGGGAGAGGGGGGAAGGGGGGAGGGGGGCCTGGAGGAACCCGTGGTGTTGAACATCGCCACGGGTTCCTTTTGTGCAACAAAACCACCGCCCAAGACCCGCCGCTCAAACAGCACCAGCGCAGCAGCGTGTACATGTCGAGAACCGAGCTTAGCTAACATGACAATCTCATCGTGCAGGTGTTTATGAGCCGCCGGGACAAGCTGGCTTGCGTACATGAGCCCTTTGGCGATGCATTCTATTACGGGCCTGAGCGGACTGGCGAGCGTTTTGAGAATGACGCCGAAGGCAGAGAAAAGTCTGGCTTCGCCGAGACGACGTATGCCGATGTCCTGAGGCAAATTGAGGAGACGGGCAAAGATGTATGTTTTTCTACCTTTTCCCCCAAAACCCACCTACCCCTCCCTCAGTATGAGGTTGCCTACTTTCCGATCGCGATCTCACCCGCACCCCTCCACACCATTTTGCCCTATGCGCTAGGTATTCCCAACCCAACAACCCCCTAAGCACTTGAGTTGCAAAGCTTCCGCGACCCCCAGCCAAAACCACCATCAATTCCAAACTTGCCATTCCACGTCCAAAATTGATTCAATTTACGGTCGGAGGTACTCTTTGAAGGTTCAAACAGAGCTTCTCGAAACTCTTGATTGATTTCGATTGAAGCGGTGTTTGGTGACCGGGGGTGCTGGCGTGCACCCGGGGAAGCTTTGCAACCCAGCCGCCCGCCGCAATGTCGCGCATTACCACTGACGGTTCCCCGGTGCCGGAGGCCCCCCCAACGTGGGGGCAACCTTGGAGTCGCGAGTGACGTCGAATAATGCTCAACACCACCAATAGAGACAAGATGATGCTATTATTCAATTGCCCAGATAACTAACATCCAACAACAGAAACGTGCCTTCATCAAGGATATGGCATACTACATCCTCCCACCCAACCAGCAAACCGCCACCATCGCCCCGTCCGCCGGCAACACCGCCGAGCCCAGCAATCCTACCGTCCTGCCCCTGAGCATCCTGCGCAAGTTCCAGTGGACGTTCCTCATCCGCCACCCGCGCCGCTCCATCCCCTCGTACTACCGCTGCACCCAGCCGCCCCTGGATGAGGTGACAGGCTGGACAAACTTCAATCCCTCCGAGGCCGGCTACGAGGAGCTGCGCCGCCTGTTCGACTACCTGATCCGCGAGCGCGTCGTCGATGAGAAGGACCTGCTGGTCGTCGACGCCGACGACATGCTTGACGACCCGGAGGCCGTCATCCGCGCCTACTGCGCCCACGTCGGCCTCGACTTCTCTGACAGCATGCTCAACTGGACCGACGAAGACACCAAGATTGCGCAGGAAAAGTTTGCAAAGTGGAACGGCTGGCACGACGACGCCCTCGGCAGCACCTCGCTCAAGCCGCGCGACAAGAAGCATGTGAGTGACCCCTGACCCCTCGGCTGGTGTTTTGTTTTACACCCCAAAATGAAATACCCACAGAAAGAGATTGGATATAAAAAGGACCTGCCGTAGTTTGGCGCTTTTGAAAACTTCTTAAAACGCTGGATTTTTGGCGGGAACACACGCCAGTGTGAGATACATTTCGCAGCATGCTAATTCCCCGCGAGAAAAAGGTTATCACCCGTGAGTCCGAAGAGGCTGAATGGCTCAAGAAGTACGGCGAGAAGGGACTCAAGGAGATCCGCGAGTGCGTCGACGCCAACGTCAAGGATTACGAGTATCTCAAGAAGTTTGCCCTCCAGATCTAATGCCGCGTATACATACACACGCGCACGCACGCACACCTTTAACGAAGTTGATGACCAAGAACGCACTTATCCAAGGGATTTATACACATACATGTTTTTTTTTATATAAAAAAAAACGGGAAATCGGGTTTCTTTTGAACAGTTTGATAAAGGGATATAGGGAATTGGGTTTTTTTTGGTCTCTCTCAGGGGTTTGAAATCGGTCTACCATGTGTTTATGTAACCGTATTGATACAATAGTCTACATGGCAATGCCAAACCAGCCATTCTTAACAGACTGCAAATGACTTGCAAAGTCTTTTTTCTTTCGGAACAAGAACCAAAACCATCGCACAACGTCCTTTTGCTTGATGTACACATTTTCCGTATTGTAACAAGGTGCGGCCAAAATCTTACACAACAGGCGCCTCACCTCCACAAGGCACTTGCACTCATACCTTGGTCTCAGTCTTGTTGTCCTTGCCGTCCTTTCCTTCCTTGCCATCCTTGCCCTCCTCGGACGCGGGGTCCTCGGGCGCAGGCTCCTTGATGATGAACTTGGTGTCGTCTCCGGCCGTCTGCTCAATCTCCTCGACCGCCTCGGGTGCCTCCGCGGCGATCTCCTCCTCAGCGTACTGGTTCTCCGCCATGAGCGCCTTGACGTCCTCAAACAAGTCGTGCGTGACGTTGCCGGACCACTCCTGCGCAAAGTTGCGGTCGTCCTCGTTGGCCCAGTATATCGTCGCGGGCAACAGCTCGTCGACCGTCTTGGCGACGTCCTCTACTTCCGCCTCGCCCTCCTTGCCGGCGACTGCTGCTGTCGTTGTCGTCGTCGTCGTCGTCGTCGTCGTCGCAGTCTTCGCCGGCGGGTCCAGGGACCACTTGCGCCCTGTCAACGTCTTACCCTCCTCGAGAACAGCCTTCTTCTCGCCTGGGCTCACAATCAGGCGATTACCCCGCCCGAAGCCGGCCAGCACGGCAGCCATATCGGCGATGGAGTTGGCGCGCTGGTCGTTGAGGGCGACGCCGCGCTCGTGGCGGTTGCGAACGATCTTGCGGACGCGGGTGAGGCTTGCGGCGGGGGTCGTGCCCGTGGCAGAGCTGGCGGCGTCCGCGCCCTTGGCCTTGGGCCTGGTGATTGGGGTGTGTTGCTCCTTGTAGAGGAGGTCGTCGTTCCAGGAGAGCTCGTGCAGGCGGCGGAACTCGCGGAGCTTCTGGAAGACGGATTGACCTGCAGCGCCGGCGCCGGCGGGGAGCTGAATCAGGGCCATGGGGGCCCAGTAGTCGCGGCGGAGCTTTGCGGGTTTGGACTTTTTGCCGTTGAAGGGGAGTTGTTTGAGAGCGCGGTGGGACTGTTTGGTCGAGCACGGGTTAGCTGAGCTTGCTCCACGTCCCCAACGTCCCAAGTTTGTATAGTGTCTGCCAATTGGCATGAAAAACGTACCTCGAGCTGCTTCGTGTGCGAGTAGATGATCTGGTTCGAGGTCAGGTGGCTGTAGACCCAGATCTGCTCGCCGTGGCCCGGCTCAAAGTTGGTGAGCTCGGGCTGGGCCGTCCGGCGTCGCGACCGCGTGTGGCCCTGCCGTATGCTTGTCCGGGCGACGCCAAAGGACAGTTTTGAGAAGCGAAAGACCGGGACCGAGTTCATCGTTGCTAGCTGGGGGGGCCGGTCGGTGAGGGTATCGTTCGTTTGTCGTCGTCGTCGGCAACCCCCTAAACTTCTCGCCGGCAGCTTGACCTTGCAAAATTTCCCGAAGCTCTGGAACCCAGGCCGCGGCGGTCGTTGTGGCTACGATGTGGCTTGCTGTGCAGGATCACATGATTTCAACCGCACCAGCCACATCGCACAAAAATGAGCCTTACCCTTCTTTATCGATAACTTTGATAGGACTGCTCGCGAGTCCGAGCGCCTAACTTGCGACCCCGCGGTTTGGGCTCGGTGGTGCTCAGATTCTAGTGACGTCGCGCGACTTCTACCAGGTTCTGGTCGCTGCCCTACGACTACCTAGGTAGTCTCCCGACCTTGCCAGCTCATACTAGATCAGTCCATCTCATGGTCCACTTCCCGGTTTGCAGTCTGGTTGAACTTCACTCTGCAAGCATAAATTCAACCTTGCGATCGAGTCTTCAAACAGTCCTTCTTCTCATCCACCAAGCTAATTCTTGCACATATTGATATACCCACCGTTGAATGATAGACTCTTCAACTTGAAGCCATTTTGAGCTTCCCCAAAAACCACTCTCACACGCACACAAACCACGCTTAATTACCCACCTCACGAAACAAACCACGCAACCATATACAATCGCCATCACATCTACATCACCAACATGAATTCACGAATGGAATTCACCGACAGAGGCGAGAAGGCCGTGCAGGATGCCATGGCCCTCGCGGAGCAGTATGCCCACTCCCAACTGCTTCCCGTCCACCTTGCCGTCTCCCTCCTCGACCCCCCAGCAGACCTCTCAAAGGACCAACAAAATGGCCCGCCGCAGACATCCTCCATGTTCCGACAAGTCATTGAGCGTGCCCACGGCGACCCGCAACTCTTCGACAGGGCGCTCAAGAAGACGCTCGTCCGTCTGCCGAGCCAAGACCCGCCTCCGGACCAGGTCTCCGTCGCACCCACCTTCCACGCCGTCCTCCGCAAGGCGCAAGAGCTGCAAAAGACGCAAAAAGACTCCTTCATCGCCGTCGACCATCTCATCCAGGCCCTCGCCGAAGATCACACGATACAAGCCTGCCTGCGGGACTCCAACATCCCCAAGGCGAAGCTGGTGCACGATGCCGTCACCCAGATCCGCGGCACGAAGCGGGTGGACAGCAAGAACGCCGATACCGAGGAGGAGCACGAGAACCTTGCTAAGTTCACCATCGACATGACGGCCTTGGCCCGCGAGAAGCAGCAGGACCCAGTCATTGGTCGCGAGGAGGAGATTCGCAGAGTCGTACGGATCTTGTCTCGCCGGACGAAGAACAACCCCGTCCTCATCGGTGAGCCCGGTGTCGGTAAGACTACCGTCGTTGAGGGTCTCGCTCAGAGAATCGTCAATCGCGATGTGCCCGACAACCTCAAGGCCTGCAAGCTGCTGTCGCTCGACGTCGGTGCCCTGGTGGCCGGAAGCAAGTACCGGGGAGAATTCGAGGAGAGAATGAAGGGCGTCCTGAAGGAGATTCAGGAATCCAAGGAGATGATTGTTCTCTTCGTGGACGAGATCCACCTGCTGATGGGTGCCGGCTCGTCCGGCGAGGGCGGCATGGACGCTGCCAACTTGCTCAAGCCCATGCTTGCCCGTGGTCAGCTGCACTGCATTGGTGCGACGACCCTCGCCGAGTACCGCAAGTACGTCGAGAAGGATGCTGCTTTCGAGCGTCGATTCCAACAGGTCCTCGTCAAGGAGCCTTCCATTGCCGAGACCATTTCCATCCTCCGTGGTCTCAAGGAGCGATACGACAGACACCACCGCGTCACCATTCTCGACAACGCCCTGGTCGCTGCTGCCAACCTCGCAGGCCGCTACCTCACCTCGAGAAGGCTTCCCGATTCAGCCATCGACCTGGTCGATGAGGCCGCTGCCGCCGTCCGGGTCGCTAGGGAGTCGCAACCCGAAATCATTGACTCTCTGGAGCGCAAGCTCCGGCAAATCATGATCGAGATTGCTGCTCTGGAGAAGGAGAAGGACGAGGCATCTCAGACCCGTCTGATCCAGGCGAAAAAGGATGCCAAGAACGTCGAGGAGGAGTTGGAGCCTCTCCGCCAAAAGTACCTCAGCGAAATCAAGAGAGGCGAGGAGATTCACTTGGCCAAGACCAAGCTTGACGAACTCGAGAAGCGTCTCGAGGACGCCGCCAATGCCGGTAACCACGCAAAGGCCGCTGACCTCCAGTACGGCGCGATCCCTGAGCAGCGTGCAGTCATCAAGGAACTCGAGGCCAAGAAGGCTGCTGCCGATGCTGCTCTCAACGCATCGGGCCAGGACCACGGCGCCATGGTGACTGATGTTGTCACCGCCGATCACATCAACGAGATTGTGGCCCGTTGGACCGGCATTCCTGTCACTCGCCTTAAGACGAGCGAGAAGGAGAAGCTCGTCCTTATGGAGAAGCAGCTCGGCAAGATTGTTGTAGGTCAGAAGGAGGCTGTCCAGGCCGTAGCCAACGCCATACGTCTGCAGCGGTCTGGCCTCAGCAACCCTAACCAACCACCCAGCTTCCTGTTCTGCGGTCCATCCGGTACCGGTAAGACTCTCCTGACCAAGGCGCTTGCCGAGTTCCTCTTCGACGACTCCAAGGCCATGATTCGCTTCGACATGTCCGAGTACCAAGAGCGCCACGCCCTCAGCAGGATGATTGGTGCTCCCCCGGGATACGTCGGACACGATGCTGGCGGCCAGCTGACCGAAGCTCTCCGCCGCAAGCCCTTCTCTATCCTCCTCTTCGACGAGGTCGAGAAGGCCGCCAAGGAGGTCTTGACCGTCCTTCTGCAGCTCATGGACGATGGCCGCATCACCGATGGACAAGGCCGCGTCGTTGACGCCAAGAACTGCATCGTCGTCATGACCTCCAACTTGGGCGCCGAGTACCTCACAAAGTCCACCAACCGCGAGGGCAAGGTCGACGCCACGACCCGCGAGCTCGTCATGAACGCCCTCCGCAACTGGTTCCTGCCCGAGTTCCTCAACCGCATCAACTCGACCGTCATCTTCAACCGCCTGACGCGCCGCGAGATCCGCAAAATTGTCGACATTCGCCTGCAGGAGATCCAGAAGCGGCTGGAGGGCAACGGCCGCAAGGTCTACATTGACGTCTCGGAGGAGGCCAAGGACTACCTCGGCAACGCTGGCTACTCGCCTGCCTACGGCGCCCGTCCGCTGTCCCGCTTGATCGAGAAGGAGGTCCTCAACAAGCTGGCCATCCTGATCCTCCGCGGCAACATCCGCGACGGCGAGAACGCCCGCGTCGAGCTCATCAATGGCAAGATGGTGGTGCTGCCCAACCACCAGGACAGCGAGCTCGACACCGATGACGAAGAGATGGATGAGGAGGATGCCGTTGACGAGCTTGTTGCTGACGAGATGGACGAGGACATTTACGACTAAAGCAACCACAACAGAATGGAAGTCAGAAGACAGAGGGACAAAATGAGATGATTCACGAAGCATGATTGTCGGGATGGATGAGTTTTCCACCCTTTAGTTGTAGAGATTTACACTCTAGAGAGAGCATCCGGCGTTTAGGTATTAAAAACGGTTCAGGCATTATGGGATTTTTACATGATTGTAAATAGGTTATAGAACTATAAAGGTTCAATGAACAAAATTGTCAATTAACTGCTTGTGCCTAAGAGTATAGAAAACCTATTGACAGTGAGTAGAGTAAAGATTACCGGAAGTGAGTATTGGAGAAAAAGATCAGAGGTGTTGCCTCGATATCCCTCGTGCGATCGAGTTGAAATTATTCGCGACATCATCGTGTCACCCCGTCATAGAGGCAGAAGGGCACACGTCATCTGCAACCTAATAAGCCACAGAACCAAAGGTAATGGAAAGCGGGATGTTCAGCCCGATCTTGGCGTCTTGCACGGGACCTCATTACTAGATGACCCCGTCAACACACAACCTCTCTCGCGCGCGCGCGCGCGCGCGCCCACACTCTTTTGATGGTGGCGTACTGCTTGGTGTCTTGTCCCCCAACCCGCCAACGAAAACACCATGTTACTCTGAAACTCTTGCCTTTAACAAGTCTGAAATTTAGGGTCACAGAAACGACCTTTCCTGCACTGGCGATACCTAGCATGACGCGGGAGCACTTCAATGGGCGACGAAGCAACTTGAGCTGGACGTCGTGTTGCAGCGCCCCAAATACTTGGCGCCCATGATAGCTTCTGGCTTTGTCATGCTCATCACACATCACACGCAGGTGTCGTGACAGAAACATGCCCGGAAACACCCCGTACCTATTTTCAGCGGGAGTTGGGATAACTTGCTCGATACCAAGCAGACAGAGCAAGGTCAAGTCAGCGCCATGTCGCTATTCAGAGCGACAGCGTCATTTCGGTCATCTGGGCGTACCGATATTTTGGGAATAACCCAGGTCTTTGGACTGGGTAGTATATGATCCTACCTTGAAGCGGGGGAGGAACCCGCATCGCATCAACTCGATTTGTTCTGCTGATCCGCAAGCACCTGCCCATGATCCAAGGACTCGCATGTCGCATGTATGTTTGGTTTAGTTTTCTCGTGGCTGGAACGGAGAACCAATCTACTTACTATCCGCCATGCCTACGCGGTACAACAGTTTGATTTTTTTTTTCACCACAATCGGAGCCTTTTCGTAAGATCTGCGAAATTAGCCGTGGGGGGATGCCTGATGAGGTCGGGCCAAGATAGGATGCTATTTTTACCCGAGAGGACCCCGGTGATCGCCCTGGTCGGAGAAGGGGACCCACGACGGGGAAGTTTAGCCCCCGATGTGCCCCCTCCCCCTCTATGAGCCTCACGAAAGCAAGCCCAGGGACATTGAAGCCAGGAATTGACTGTGGCGGGCCCCTCCCCGAACATGGGACCGTGGTGCATAAGGTGATAGATTATCTAGCCAAGTACCGAAGCCACCGCGCCTTTGTGTCTCGTTGCACAGCGGGCCAGGATGAGCTTGGGGCCGAGACTGGTCCCCGTGGTCGTGGAGAGAATAGAGCCGCATCGGCGGTGCGGGCAACTAGCTGCGAGTGACGGCCGACCGATCATGCCGTGGGCGGTAACGCATTGAGGCTGCGCGGCGGAACGCGTCACTTGCACAGCGGGCGTGGCGGAAGAGGGCTCTGGCGCCAGTTTCGGCGGAGGCCGCGGAGTAAGTTGAGGCTGCAAAGGTCTGTGTCGCGTTGCACATGTACAATGTAGGTAGGGCACTTCGTCCTGAAGCTGGGACGAGAAAGGGAGCCGGGGGGTACGGTGTTCGATATTCGCTGAGTAGAGACCACAGAAACGTACATGAACGAGAAGAAGGGCCTCCTTGTCCACTCGAACCAGCGGCGGAACGCCTCGGCGCAGAATTGAGTGGGGGCCAACACAAAAAAGGGCGGGTGAAACGGATTGGTGCAGACCGAGGACGGGAACGCTCTCATCGGGCAGCTCAACTGGGCCGGCTGCTGGTCTGTATTCGCGTGTTGATTGATGACCGATCCGAGTCAAGAGCTGCGATGGCAGGTGTCTCTCGTCAAATCAAGAGGTCTCGAGGTGAACGGGACGGAGGGACAGAAGCTTGGCAAATGGGCCCCAGAGGGGGTGTCTTGGGATGGAAGACAAGCCCGCCGTTTGACCCTTGAACGTTGGATAAAAGGTTGATTCGGTGCGTTCCTAGTAGCGCAGCATGCGCAGAGTGTGAGGTTTCTTTTTCCCGGACACGAGGCCTTGCTAACACCCAAGTCATCGCGTCTGCAGCGTTCTTTCCTAAAGCAGAGAATCAGCTCGTCCCCTGGCCTAATCGGGCGAGCATACAGGCGGCTACCGGCCAGCGAGCCGGAGGCTATACCGGGCCATATTAAGACACTGCATACCAGATCCGTAAAGAGTGTGCGGATAGGGACTGTCAAAGTGCGCACGTTATCTGTCTGTATCCGTATACGTATCCGTAGATAGCCACCATTCGAACAGAGGAGCGTGGCCACGGCGAAATACGAGGGAATGCATTGGAAGGGGGTTGCGTTGTAGCGGGAGCCGTTGGCGGCAGATCGTGGCGTGGGGCGTGTGCATGGACATCAACATAGGTAGCGAGCGTTGCAAGGGTAAGCCAGACTAAGGTCCTGTTTCAGAATTTTTAGCAGATCCTCTGACAAGCGTCGTCCGAGGTTGTCATTGGAGGAGAGCCAGGGGGCGGCGAGCTGGAGCATAAATGACCAGCATCTCCATCACGCCTTTGCAGTGTTGCACCTGGCCGTCGATGTCAATGGCCCCATTGGGCAACACGTCGCAAGCTTTGCTGTCTGTCTGTTAGTGGCCACCTCCCCCCTTTTTATTTTGCGAGCAAAAGTATCTTTTGCTGCACCGATGATTCGACAAAGTACCGGGTGCAAGGTGCAAAAGGGGCCGTGTTCGAGTCAGGGAGATATGTGGAATTGTGCGGAGGTTGTACGCCAACATGATGCCCAAGATGGATTGTCAAGTTGAGTTGGAAGCCGAAGCAGAGGGTAGTCGACATTTCGTTCCTCGTCATAGGCCATGAACTTCAACGGGGAGAATCCAAAGCTATGGTTCGCGATGGTGGAGGGCAACCCCTGGACGAATCCGAAGGGACACACAGCCGCTTGGACTGGCTGGATGGTCAGCGTGGCTGGGACGCAAACCGGGGACATTGGTGGCTTGTGTCAATTTAACCGTGACAGCAAGTCAAGCAGTCTGTCAGTTGCTGCACAGGCATTTACCAATCATGGCCAAAGTCTTGGTTGACAATGTTGGTCGATGGCGCCCGAATTTGGGCACTGCTGAATGGATTTTCGTCATGGTGATTCGGTACTAAAGTGCTCCTTCTCCGCGGGACAGTATGAAGATGCGCTCTCGATATTGACACAGCCTGGGACTTGAGTGCGGGCAATTGAGTTGCCACGGGCTCTGGCTGTCCCCGTCATCCCTACCTAGGTAGTCTTGAAGGCTCAAATTCTTGAAGCCGCAGTTTCCGAATGAGTCGACGGACTGACAAGGCCGGCCTGGACACCAATATGTCGCGGCTAAACGACATGGGCTCGCCTGGAGCGGACAACTAGCTTGGTGACCGGGAAGGTACTGCAACGCACTGCAACTCTGAGCCTCCATGGCAACGTTAGGGGCGAGATGTTCTTGCGAGGGGACAGTGTGGCGTGGGCATGGTACTTTGTTAATGCAGTGAGGGTGGTTCATGGCTGTGATTAGGATCGGGCCCGTCCAGTTAGTTGGGCCGTCGACGGCAGTCGGGGACAGGCCAGGTCCTTACCCCTAAATCAATGGCGGCTACTCACCTTGGGTGGATGGTGAGGCGAATTTGTGTGAGTACAGAGTATGGGTATCCGTACTGGATGGAGATTTCGCGCCAGCACGTAAGATGCAATAGGGAAGGGGCAGCATCCCGGTGAGCACGGAGGGATGGCACCTCTAGTGACAGTGTGAAGGCTTTATTGATGGTGGTCCCATTGCGTTGGATAAGGGGTACGGTCAGGGAGAATAAGTGTGCGTATTGTTGATGGAGTGGTTGTCGATGGAAGTCCCTGGCAGCGAGGTCATGTCCATGGGTAATGGCGCATCGCCGCCCGCATCTCTTGCAGCTGAGGTGCTCAATCCAGCTCGGAAGGGACGATAGTACGTGGGATAAGAGCCGGGGTTCTATTTTCTTCTTCCTCTCCTCACCGTAAGGCTGCCGGGCACAGCGTCGACAAGGAGCTCAAGGTTAGCTAGGTTCCGTGCGACGCTTGAGAAGATGGTCCGTGTCAACAGAACGTGTCAACAGTATGTCAGCGACGAGGGAAAGCGTGTACGCGAAATTTCCCGATGACTGGACTGGGTGTACTTGTGTAATAGTATTTCTGCAAGACTGTGAGTAGCAGTGTTTTACAATGATGTAGACGTGGTAGGTAAGTGGTCGTGGACTCTTTGAGACTTTGTTGGACCGTTTGGATTTGCCCAAAGTCGTCTAGTGGCATAATCGGTGTGCAAGCTCTCGGCATTCAACATGCAACCTACACAGGCACTGGAAGCGGAGGGTACGGACGGCGGACGCGGCGCACACACCACCCTGCCGGTCTCTTGAGTCTTGCCTGCTCGCCGCCTTCAATGTCGAACATTCCACGGGAATGGGAAGGCGCAAAGTTGGAAAATATGGAGAGAAACCTACTACGTAAGTGTGGGTAGGAAGGTACATGGACAAAGGAAGGTTTCCACCGCAGACCGTCACGAGTGTCAAGTTGTTGTCCCGCTCAGCCGTTGTCCCTCGTCCCTTCCTCCCTGGTTTGTCCCGGTCCCCACTCTTGCCTAGGTCTGGGTGAGGAAGAACAGGGAAAGGGAAGGGGAGAGGGGCGAGCCCCGGGAGAGGAGGAGGAGGGCATGGAGGAGAAAAAGGGAAGGAGTAGACGACACGCGAGAACCGGTCCCTTCCCCAGAACTTGACAATGTCAGTGTCTCTTTTGGCTACCTAATGCATGGGAATCGACCCCAGGGGCAAAGCTGATCTAGAGATAAGTAGCATGGAATCCGGCTCAACTAGCGACGATAAGTCTCTATCCGTACTCTGTGACTCTCTCCCTTAAGGCCTACCTAGGTAGTGCCTGGGGTCAGGCAATGGCAAGACTGGGGCTCTTTCAACCCCCTAAAGGCCACACTAGGGCCGATCGGCTGCCGTTTCACACTGACCCCAACCCTTCGCTTGGCCCCGTTGTAGGCGCTGCATCGTGTCAGCCAGTCCCCTGTCTTGCTCTGAGCTGTCTGCCCTGGTCTAAACTGCCCTTAGTTTGGAGAGGTGACGACTGGCAGGCGAGATGTGAGGCCCATAGAAAAGCAGAGAGGCACGAGAGGCTGAGTATTGACTTGTGACGGTGGCTCTCCCCGTGAGGTCATGTATCTTTCCCCACCTGGAAACCTGATGCTAACCACCAGTCCCCTGGAACAGTCTACCCTGCCATGCCTGCTAGCTGTGTTCGTACACGCTCGGCATGGCATGCGGGTGATGCTAGTAATGTGTAAAGTGAGGACGGCGGCGACGGTGGCCCTGCCAGGCAATGGTTTTGATCAAGCACCTCACCTTGCTGCTTCGCCCTGCAGTGCCATCTACTTCACACTCGGTGTTGGCTGATGCTCTGTATCTGTACCCTCATCATGCCTGAGGTCGGCGCGGCGATGGAGCTGCGGCATCTGCTATTGTTCTGTGGAGAAGATGGGAAACGGGCAGTATCTGAGGTCGGGTGTGTAACTTGTACATCGTATCTTTCAGAGGCACCTAACCTTACCGCGAGTCACTTCCATTGTTTGCAAGAGAAAAAAGGACGCCTTGGTCAAGGTACCTTACCACAACCTCCGAGGCATCCTAAGCAAGCAGAGGCACCTTGCCTTTTCTTTACCTAACCTTACTTCCCTCTCCCCTGCCTCGCCGTCCCTCCTTACCGCCTAACAAAGTGTCCTGACTGGCCAGACGTCTAAACCCCCGTCTCCTAATCCTGTCCTGTCCTGCGTCTGCACTTGCTTGCTTTGCGTTGCGTTGCGTTGCTTTGCTTGCACCGGCACACACCAAAGGCCAAAGGTCCCTTTCACCACCAAGCCTCAACTCACATATCCTCCTACTCCTCCGCTCGTCTCGTTTTTCCCATCTCCCACTCCCACACTCCCATCTTCAACACCCCCCCCAAACCCCCTATCCCTTTCTCCAGGCCTCATCGTCCCTATACTAATGAAGCCTGTATATTGAGACCGTTTACTTTTGTTTCTTTCCTCTCTCTTTTTCGTCTTGCTCAAAAAGATTACCTGGAGGAAAGGACAACGAGCTGGTTTTCGCCCGCCACAATCGCAGTCTTGGGACATCCGACACTGGGACCTGTGGAATCTGGTCCGAGAGACCGGCCAGACCAAAAGGACGCAACGCTACGCATCCGCATCGCGCATCGCGCATCGCAGCACCAGCAGCACCAGCAGCAGCGGCACCAGCACCCACATTGACCAAACCCACCGCTAAAAGCTACGCGACCACAAAACGGCCACCCGAGTGCCTGGCAGGAGAAATCTTTCCATCAACCCCCAGCGCCCGAATTTCGCCCAAAGCCCACTTGCCCCCCCGACATTCCTTGACCTCACTCCCCCGACCGACGTCGAACTCTCCTTTTATTTTCTCGAGCACCCAGCAGCCCTTTTGCAACCGACTGGCTGGCCTGGCGTACCTTGTAATACCTGGAAACACGCACAAACACGCACAAACACGACTTTCAACTCTTTCGACCCTTCGACGAACATTCCTTAGCACAAAGGCCCCTAACGACCATTCTTCTTTCGCGCGCCTCTGCTCTACGCCTGGCATTGTTGCTCTGCCCACCGAATTGGACAGCCTGACAGCAGCTCCGGACAATCCGCAGAATACTCGTTCGGAAGAGACGCTGGGAACTGACGCAGCACCGTGCCTCCACCCTCCCTCGAAACCCCCGACTGTGGAATACGAGACGTTACGGTCTCGAAGCTGCCCACAATTCATTGGGGCCAATTCTCCCCGCGCCTGTCTACCGTCGCCCGGGGGAGCATCGCTCAACTTGTCAACGATAGCAACCCATTGGGAAAATTTTGGTGTCACGAATTTTCTGATGAGGTTTGGCCTAGATAATTGATAATGTCAACTAGATCCGATCACCTGGCCATTGGTTACCCGCCCCAATCTGCCACACAGAACCGGTCCACTTCACCAACCGCCAACAACACATCTCCCATTGACCCGACCGCTGGCTCATCTGTCAGATCACCGTTCGGCCTGCCAGGCAGTCTGAACCACTCCAGCAAGATGGCTAGTGCTTCGCGATCAGGGGCTGGCTCTCCGTCGCACGAGATGCCCGGCTCCAGCAGGCTGTATTCCAAGAGGTAAGCTCAGTTCACCAGCCTTCAGCTGCCCGTATTTTGCTGACCCCGTTTGAAAGAGCTCGCGAGATTCAAGCCCAGGAAGGCGTCCCCGGATTGCCGGTAAATCCCTGGGGTGGTCCGCCGACCAGCGGCAACTCGACGCCTCTCCGCGAGAACATCCCCGAATCGCCAACCGATGGCTTCCCTGACTTTGCCCAACTTCCCACCCCCGATTCCATGCCTCAGGCGAGACGCGCCCGTGCTGGAACCGTGCCTTCGCGGTTCTCGCCCGGCGGCGTCGGCAATGGCTTGCTCAATCTTCCGGCCATGGCCCCCAAATCGTCTCGGCCTACTCCGTCCCACAGCCCGTTCAAAGCTCCCTCTCCCGGCCTCGAACCGGTTGACACGGCTTCTAACAACTCTGCTCTGCTTTCTCGTCTGCGCGCCGGATCGATGCCTCAAAGGAGCCCCTTCGCTCAGATTCCAGGCACCAGCTCGCCCTTTGGACCATCCATTTTCAGCAGTTGGAATCCTACCGGGACGGGTCGCGACCGGGGCATGACTCTTGCGAGCATTGCGAGCATCGGCTCGACCAATGGGCCCAGTTCACCAACCCAGTCCCAGATTTCTCGGGAGGGGGGCGGAGAGAGCGATGTTCATATGAGAACGCTGGACTATTTGGGACTCGCTGAGACGCCGCAACCTCCTCGTGCCCAGTTGGCAACACCGTACATTCCGAGCTTCAACGATTTCACCAAGGCTAACCGTTTCCGCTCGTACTCGGTTAACAACAAGGATAAATACGCCGACGAGGAGGATGATGAGTTCGAGGACATGACTCTCGAGAGCCAGTACGTCGCCCACCTCCAGGACCAACTTGCGGCTACGAACGCCGCGATTCACAACCACAACTTGGCTGTCCAAGCCTTTGCCAACCAAGCCACGCGCCCTCGCGCCCGAACCGCTGGCGTCCTCGATACCCCTGGCTCTCGCCTCATGCGTACCTACATGTCCGGCAACGGTATGGGCAATGCCGTCCCTCCTGCAGAGATCCGTCTTCCGGACGAGAAGGAGTTTGACGACCTCCCGCAAGCTGTGGCTGCCATGAACCTGGGAAGGTCGAGCAGCCGCAATGCGGGCCTGCTCAACGCTGAGGATCAGGGTCTGGAGGGCCCAACCAGCGCCCTCTGGCTCGGCAGCATCCCGACCTCCACTACCACGTCGACTTTGACAGAGATGTTCAAGTCTTACGGCCACATTCTGTCTGCTCGTGTTCTCACGCACAAGAACTGCGGTTTCGTGAACTTCGAGCGGATGGAGAGCGCCATCACTGCGAAGGCCAGCATGAACGGAAAGGAGATCTTCCCTGGAGCGGGACCTATTCGCATCAACTTTGCCAAGCCGCCTTCTGCCTCGAACACGCCCGGCCATGATGGTGTCTTCCCCTCGCCCAGCCCCGACCCGTTCGCGAAAAACCAGGACAGTGCACAGAACGCAGCCTCGGGTGCCGCTGGCGAGAACGCAACCGCATCGGCCCAGTCAGCTAACGCTGCTCCCGTTGTGCCTCCTCTGTCAGAAATGACAAGTGACATCATGCGCATCGTGAAGCAGTTCCAGGCCACTGATGAGGATTCCGCCAAGATCTCCCGCAGCCTCCAGTCGTCGATCCAGTTTACCAACTTTATCGATGAGATCCCTCCCATCCGAGAGCCGGCCCACACGCGGGTTCATGACGCCCCGAGACTCAGAGATATCAGAAAGAGAATCGACAACCAGAGTCTGTCACAGGCTGAGATCGAGACAACTGCGCTTGACATGTTGCCAGAAATTGCCGAGCTCGCGTCCGACTACCTCGGCAACACTGTTGTACAGAAGCTCTTTGAGCACTGCTCTGACGACCTGAGGGATGCCATGCTGACCGAGATCGCACCTCACATGGCGGAAATCGGCGTGCACAAGAACGGCACGTGGGCTGCTCAGAAGATCATCGATGTTTGCAAGACTCCTCATCAAATGAATCTGATTGTAGAGCACCTGCGACCCTATACCATCTCTCTTTTCCTTGACCAGTACGGCAACTACGTTCTTCAAGGCTGCCTCAAGTTTGGTGCTCCTTTCAATGACTTCATCTTTGAGACCATGCTTAGTCGCATGTGGGAGGTTTCCCAGGGCCGCTACGGTGCCCGAGCTATGCGTGCTTGCTTGGAGAGCCACCACTCCACCAAGGAGCAGCAGCGGATGTTGGCTGCCGCGATCGCCCTGCACAGCGTCCAGCTCGCCACCAACGCCAACGGCGCCCTCCTGTTGACATGGTTCTTGGATACCTGTACTTTCCCTCAGCGCCGGACTGTTCTGTCACCCCAGCTGGTGCCTTACCTCGTCCACCTGTGCACTCACAAGGTTGCCTATCTCACTGTGCTCAAGGTCATCAACCAAAAGGCCGAGCCTGAGGCGCGAGACACCATTCTCAAGGCTTTGTTCTTCACCCCCAACGACCAAGTTCTCGAGGCGATCCTGAGCGACCATGCCTGCGGCGCCACCTTGATCTTCAAGGTTCTCACTACGCCGTTCTTTGACGAGAGCATTCGCAGCCAGGTGGTTGAGAATGTTAAGAACGTATTGGTGCGCATCAAGGCGCAGCCCGCCCAAGGTTACAAGCGTTTGATGGACGAGGTTGGTCTGTCGACTCGCAACAGTGGTGGTGGTGGTGGCCGCGATCACAGCCACGGCAACTCTGGCAACAACAACAATGAGCAGCGGCAGCGACCGGCCTCACGCCAGGCCAACATGAACAACCATCACCAGCAGCAAGCCGCTCACATGAACAAGCAACAGTACTACAATTCATTGAACCAACCCGTCAATCCTTCCAACTACGAGTTGGGATTCGGCGGTCAACGCAGTGAGCCTGCCGACGCGAGCATGGCCCCCTTCCCCCCTTACGGTGTTCAGAACCCGATGTACAATCAGTCCAGCTCTCCCATGCCGACACCCGCCAACCTGCAGCAGCTCCAGTACCAGCAGAGCATACTCAACCGTGCAACGCCTCCCATCAACAACTTCTTCCCGCCGATGCAGGCAGGCTTTGGAGGGTACAGCAGCCCGAGCCCGTCGATTGATCAGTACCGCAGCCAAAATCTGGCCAACGGAAGCCCCATCCAGCCGCCGGTGACTCAACTCCCGCAGATGCCTCCCGGTCAGGCACCGTACGCTCCTCCTGGGTTTGGTATGAACATGGGCATGTCGGGATATGGCGGCTACGGCAACATGAGTGGCATGCAGAACATGGCGTACATGCAACAGGAGCAAGTCAACGGAAGACGTAGCCGAGTAAGCGAACCCCCGTTCACATCTTCTCTCCACCAAGCCAGACCGCGACGTGACTGACGAGTCGAAAAGCGATGATTCAAACGCCACTTGTACAGACGAATCGCTGGTCAGACGGTCTGACCGGCTTATGCCGCTCTTTTTTCGCTCGGTTAGGAATGGCTTGGTATGGGATCGGCACAGGAGTTTGGTGGATCTGGATCGTCATGTAAGAATGTTTGCAAGGGGGTACACACCGCCCAACGTGTCAGGAAAATGCGCAAGCCACTCCAGATGTGGAGGTCATGTCTCGATGACAGACAGGGCAACAACATAAAGCTGCCCCTCCGGAAATGTGGTCGCAGCAACGAAGAGGGTTTTTATTTTCGTTTCACCTTTTGGCTCCAGAAGCCAGCCCTTTCGCCACTTCACTCTTCCTGTTTCTTTTTTTTTCCTCTTGCCTGGGAAGTTTTTTACAAGCTTTACTATTGCTACCCTCACTTTTGCTTGTGGCGTGGTATATAGAAAAACCGAGAGTGGGTGGCCGGATGTTGTCCTGAAGCCCCCCCTTCGCATGGAAGTCAAGACGCACTCCCCAAAAAATTGCATTTGTTGTTGTTGTTGTTGTTGTTATGAGCTACGGAGTCGAGTGTGTTCGCAGCCAAAGCATTCATGTGTGCGCAGAGGATCTTGATCTGGTCTATGAAAAGATCATTTGGTCTCTACGAGGGATTGTTGCGTTCGTTCGCTAGGTAGTCGCGTGGCAAAAGCCATTCCCATAACACACAAACTTCGCTTTCCGGCTGGGGGTTTCTTTTCCCCCTTCATTTTTTTGTTTTTTCTTCATACTAGATAGCATGAGTATAAGGTATTGTTAGTCAGCATTGTCGTAAAAGCTAGTTGTTATTCCATGAATTCCTTCATTCTTGGTGTATTGTTGCAATTCGTGCCCGTGAGCATGATGCTGGTATGTTTTGTGAGGATCTTGGCCGAGTCATCGAGGCGGGTCGTGGGGTATGTTTGATACTTGCTCTTCCACTAGAGAGACTGGAGGGTAACGAGACTGCCATCTGAACGAAGCCACTGGACCAACTGGCGGGGCTTTCTTTCTTGTCAGGGAGAGCGAGGCTGGTCGAAGTGGAATTGTGCACACTAGAGAGGGTACGAGATGAGAACTGAGGTTGTCCAATAGAGCAGTGGAGGAACAGCGATGGTATATATAGATCATGCGGTGTAGCATTCTATCTGATGCCCTCATCAGGTTACCTCCCTTTCTGGTTCTGCCTCGTTGCCCCCTTCCCCCAGTCAACCTGACGGGCCTAAACAACCGGGCCGGCTTCAGGTCAATCAATCAATCCCTTTCCCAAAATAAGATTCCTCGCGCTCTTGCCTCCTCCCAAAAAGAGAGAGAAGGGGGGGTTAAAGTACTCTTCCTTGATTCTCTAGCCCTGCCCCTGGTCCAAAGAGAGAAAATTACGAGAAAAAGTAATGGCCTATGATACAAGATTGAGGCAGGTGGGGGAATCAAGGAAGGGAAAAGAAAAATGGGGGTGGGGAGAGTGAAAACGGAAAAGAATAACGAGGACAAATGTTTGGTTCGCCCTCCACACGCTCTTCTCTCTTCCCAAGGTAACAGCACGGGCAGATAACCAGATGCCCAGCCCCCCTCTCTTCGCTGTGAGCACACCGCTCTGTGTGCTCCGCTCACCCATCTGTGTTCCAAAGCCACAAAAATCGAGGGGCGCAAGAAAAGTAGTCTTGCTATGTGGGCCGCCCAAAGCCTGTGCGGCTTTTTGTTGTACTCGTCTCAACTACCGGCCTCCTTAGCTGGTCCTCCTTTGCGCTGCTCGCTGTTTGTTTTGATTCCTCCCCAAACTCCAGATCCGCGTGGGGGGCCATGTCCTGGGGAATCAAATAAGAAAAGAGTAGGAAATGGGCTATACCCGTAATTGGTGGCGCTGAGTGTTCTCCTGGTCTCGGACGAGGCAGAACAACAGACTTCAAATCCGTGTCTCAACACTACCCTTGTGTGTTGCGTTAGATGAGAATATTCAGATAAAACATATAGTTGTAGTCGCTCTCAATGCTAGCCTAGTCAATATCCATGTCGGTCACATCGTCTTCGTTAGCGTCGTTGGGGGCCTCCTGCGAAGACTTCTCGCCCAGGCTATTGATCGGCTCCGGGTTGTCTTGGGTAGTGGTCGCCGGCGTAGGAAGGTCGGCTGGTGGCTCGACAGACTCGTTTTTGATCGAAGTTGCGGTATCCTCAGCGCTACCAGTGCCGTTGATATGGTTGCTGTCGATCGCGTTTTGATCGGACTCAATGTCCATACCAAATACACCGCTATCTTTTTGGTCATCTCCAAGCAAGCCTCTGATGCGGCCAGTCATGGCCTCCATCTGAGCCAACATGGCGCGGAGACTCTGCTTGTCAGTAGCATTCAGGTCTCCGCTGGCAAAGTTGCCCACGCTGCCACGAGCCATCAGCGAGAGCATAGCCGGTTCGGCGTTTGTCTATATGAATGTGTCAGTTGCAAGTGGTTGTATTTCCGCTCGCTTCGTGACTTACGAGCAGTGCCTCTGTGAGCTCATTAAGCTTGGTGGTTGGCTGAGTGGAGGCCAATTCGACCAAATTAAGCACTGCTTGCTGCTCGACGCGTGAACGAGCGTTGAGCGGCTGACTGGTTGGTGGCGGCTGAGCCTTGGTCGAAGCCGGCGAGCTACTGATATGGCCAGCGCCATCCTTCCGAAGCCTGCAGATCTGTTAGAATTTTCAAAACGTCCAAGCAATGATTCAAGCCAACTGACTGAGAGATGAAGTCGAGGACAACGCCTTTGGAAGACAGTTTATAGACGCGGCCAAAGCTCTTGACGTCGCTCCAACCCGAATTCTCATCCTCGGATTCTTCGTCCTCATCGTCAATTTCAATGTAGCCGTTGTTCCTCATGCCGCGGCTGAAGGCAGGGATAATGACGGGGGTTCCTTTGATCTTCCGGAAGCGGTGAGCTGGAGCCAGCTCTTCAGGCAACGTGGCCAACAGGTCGTCTGCGTGCGCCGGGCAACGCCATGTTCGCACCACGGGCGGGATTGCCAGGGGAGGATCGAGGCAGTCTAGATGCCAGTGGAGTCCGCAGAGGCTACAGGGGATGATGGCTCGATTATCGGCGGATGGGTGTTGACAATTGTGGCAGAGAACGGCAGAGCCATCAGCGTCCCGAACCTTGAAGAAGTCTGGAGCTTCCTCGTAGCCCTTCTTCCTGTTGCGACTGTCAGCCGACGCGGTTCCCGGGGAGAGGTTGGTTGGGATGAGATGCTTCTCAGATAGCAAGGTGATGAGTGTAGAGGCTGTCACTTACTTTGGCTTAGCCGGCACCACCACATCCTCGTACTCGCCCTCAGGACCGACCTTGACGCTCTCAAAGTACACCCGCACACCTTGCGGCAGCTTGTAGGCTCGAGGGTTGGTCTTTTCCAGAGTGTTCATCAAACCGCCAAAGGGACCCTTGTGTTCGGGCACCCTGGTGGGGTACCTGCTGCTGAAACAAACGTTGCAAAACCATTCCTCGGGGAGAGTGTCACCCAGGCCAAGGTCAACACATTCAAAATGGAACGACCTGGAGCAGTTCTCACAGCAGACCAGCTCTCCAACGCCGCTGCATGCCGAGCAATAGTCGTCATTCTCGTCCTGATGGGAAATGTCAGCAACGTATTCGTTGAGGTAATTTGCGGGAAATGAGTAGGAGTGTGGGTGCAGACTGGCCGCTAAACTCAGTCTCTCGGCGGGATGTGCGCCTCGGCACCCGAAAACCATGCCTTCAAAAGTCGCCGGAGACCCTCCTCGCCTGGCCCCATCATCTCTTCGCTCCCAAAACACAGCGCCAGGTGGGCGACATCGTACAGGAAATGATCGCAGCTTCGTGCCACTGAAGAAATGATTGTTGGGCTTGTGGCTTACCTGGTTGATCGGGCCACCGTTGGCGTTGACCGCACCGCCCTCGCCGCTTGCACGTGGTAGTCCAGCCGCAGTGCCTCCCTTCTTCTTCATGGGTCTGGCAAAGCACGTTAGTTCATCTTCGGTTTGATTTTGCAAGCGACTCAGGATGAAATCCCAAGGACGGATAAACGCAGAGACGAGGATGCTGCGGTACGACGCTGCCAGGCTCGCCACTCACAACTGGCGCCCTCGTCTCATCATGTCAAGCCATGGCTTTGCCACGACTGGATCTCAAATTTTCCTGAATGCAAAAGGGGATGCAGTTACTTACGAAGTCTTGATGCGCAAACCAGTCCGCTGCTTCTTAGAAGGACGAAGATTCGTGGGGGTCGCAGCCCTAGAGCTCGCGGCGGGCGTCACTTCTCCGAGGGAAAACAGCGCAGTCGGCGAGCTCGTGTTATCGATCTCGTCGTGCGTCCTCTTTGCTGATCTTGTCGTTCTCGTGCTCAAGGTCAGGTTCACAGGCAGATTCGAGTTCGGCGCTGGCGTTCTTGCCGATTTGCGCAGATTCACTGCAGGCGAAGACGTGGCCACAGATCCAGCCCTACTTCTCATATCTGAACCGCGAATGTGGCTCTCAGGCTGGGGCGTCTGGCTAACGGTGCTATCGCGTGCATCTCTCCTACGTTGGGTGGTTGCATCGTCGCTGGGCAGCACGCGGGGGCCTTTGTCCTTGTTGGCGTTCTTCTTGCCAGCCGCCTTTGAGGGTGCTGTCGTCGAAAGGTTGGGGAAGATGGGCGAAGAAAGTCGACCAGGCATGCTACTAGCCCCTGCAGCTTGAGATACGTTTGGGGGAAGGGTGGGTGAGTTTGGGTTGGATGCGTCAGACACGCTCGTCTTAGCAGCAAGGGATCTGCCGCGTCTCTTCATTGGCTCGGGTTCGGCTGGCGGTGGTGCACTGGTCAAGGTGATCTCGGGGTCGGCCCCAGCAGCCGTGGCAGCCGTCGTGGCACTGTGACGGCGATTGTGGCTGTCGCCTTTGACTGCCGCGGAAACGGGCGGAGAGCTGGGCGAAGGCGAGTCGGGTGGCAGGGACGGCGATGCAGAGAGCTCCGACAAGGACGAGTCGCTGCTTGCAGAATCTCTCCGAGCGCGCTTGCGTGACGGGGTCATGGTCGCCAAGGTCGTCTCCGCCGCCAGTAAAGTAGTCTCGTCATCGTCGTCCATGTCCATGTCCATGGGCGATTCCGGAATCTCCCTGCGCTTGCTGGCCTTTTTTGTTGGCGTAACTTGGAGCAGGAGGTCGTCGTCGTCGTCGTCGTCGTAGTCTGACTTTGAGAGGTCGAGGGAAAGAAGGTTCCCGTAGGGTGCCGGCTTTGGCTTGTGGGGGGTGAAGCGCGAGTTGGTGGAAGGGGGCACGAAAAAGTAGCAAGCCTGGTTGTCCTTCTTGCCTTCTCGCTTCTTCTCCTCAATAAGGCGAGAAAATTCGTCGAGCGTGTCTTCGTCGGCTGTTTGGTGGTAGACGTCCTCAAACATGGAGAGGAAGACGGGGTTGGAAGAATTTTCGTCATACAGGGTCCGGAGTGCCCACGCAGTGGGATAGCGATAGTGCCGGAGCGCCTCGTCGATGGCAACCTCCACAGCCCTCTCGATAACGTCCTTGTTCTCGGGCGTCGATTCTGACGGCTGCACGGCGTCGCTTGAGGGAGCCATTTGATGAAGCGAAGCAGATGCGCGGCGTCCTACCGAGGAGCGCGACACACTCTTGCGTGACTGTGAGGCAGATGCACGCCGGCCCTGGCTCTTTCCCGTGGCTGCCTTGGGCGTGTAGTCCTCGTCCTCCTCGTCGTCGTCTCCCAGACCACGTGCAGGAAGACATTTTCTCGTCGCCTTTTGAGCGTTGGCAGGAGGGGAAGGAAGGCGTGGAGGTGTCTCTGAGCGCTTTGCCATTGTCGCATCTGCTGCCCCAGCCGCCGCCGCGGCCGCCGCCGCCGCCTTTGCAGCAGCAGCGACAGCAGAGTTCGCTGAGCTCGACTTGAGAATGATTTTCCTGACGGGGTTCACGCCTTCCTGGCCCTGCTTCTTGGTCGGCGGTCCCTTGGGTAGCGTCCCGAGGGGCGCCATGTTCTCGGTGACGCCGTATCGCATCAATCCAGCCTCCTCGAAGCTCGGCTTGCTCTGCACCGTGGGCTCCAACCATTTCTGCATAAAGGTCCTCGAGGCCTCGCTTGCTCCATTCGTCTTCTTGACGGGTTCCGATCCTCCTCCTCCATTGGCGTGCTGATGCGGGCTGGAAAAGCGCGACCGCGTGGCTCTCGTGCTCGTGGGCATCATGGCGACTGGGCTCTCGAGGGCCCCTGACCTCCTTGCCTTGGACCAGACAGGCAAACGCTCCGAGTCGGACGCCTAGAATCGCGTTAGTTTCGTGTCTCTGTACGACAAACTGGGGTTTGGCTACTTCTCTAGTCTTTGAAGGCATTCGGCGATGCGTTTCGGGCGCGTTCCCTCCACTTGCGACGCGAAGGACTTTAGGAAAAGGAGGAATGGGAGAAGAAAGGGTGTGAAGCTGCGGGATGGACCTCGAGGATTTTCGGAGACAACGGACTGGGGGCCTAAGAGCTACAAAGCTACCTCCTTCCCTGCTCTGGGGGCCTTTGAGCGGCCCCGGGCATATACCTTAGGCGGGCACATGGTACCTTAGGTGGTCCTCAAGGCGAGTGCAGGCGATGGGCAAGGGGGCGGGTGCATGTCACAGCGCTGTTGGGAACCTGTGGTCCAGTGCCACAGCATCGGCCAAGGTCACTATCGGCCTTGTGACTCGAACATACTTTGCCGCATGTTGGCGTCAGCTATCCCTCTTTTTCCAGCCCTCCTCCTGTGCCTAAACTTTCATTTCCATACATAGATATTGATTGCCTCAACGAAGACAAAGAGAGAGGGAGAGGGAGGAAGGTCTGCTTCCTTGATCCTGAAAAGATCCAGGGCCTACTTGGGACACCTCGGGCTTTCAAGTCTGCTTCCATTTGTCTTCCATCACCAGGGGCTTCTACATACTGCGGCAACTGACCACACCGGCATACCCGCCATCTAGGTATCTGGCGGGTCTCCTGCCGTATCAACGACGACCAGGGGCCCGGCGAGTACGGCAGTCCAGAGATCTCTGGAATTGGACAATTTTGTTCCACCCATCCTCGTGGCTCACCTTCTTCCCCCGGCCGACGGCCTCTCCTGGCGTGCTCCGTCTCATCGTCTCAGCGAGACATTAACCCCCCTGTCGTCGCGCTCTTACTTTGTTCTCAGACATCGTCACGTAGCTATCTCACTCTGCGATGGTCAATCAACACTCGCGGGTTGTGTTCAGGGGAAGGTCAGACATGCTCAAAGATGCATAGTGTATGTAGATGACTTGTCTTTCTTGGGGCTGCCAGTTCAGGCTTCCATCTGGCCCATCATTCTGTCAGATGAAATGAGTAAGCAACTGCTTGCCAAGCTCTGCGTCCTGGGTGACGACGACCCGGGCTGCAGTGGCGGCTGGCTTGAGGCTTCCGACAACTGAGCAGCTCATCGGCATTCCCACAAGGAGAGGTGCAGCCAGCCAGCTTTTGGCGTCGGACGAGACAAGCAGAGCGAGCGTTCCTGTTTCCGGCCTCACCCTGGCCATGGCCCTATCCATCGACTGCCCCAAGGCGTAAAATCACACATTTGACTTTCACGACAAAAAAATGTGGGCGTAAAATCGGGCAGCCCCCATGCTCTCTCATCGACAGTCATCGCCATTTCCTACACTCAATTCGCACCTACTCCTCATCGCTCTCTTCCTCCTCCTCGCCGCCCGCAGCAGCGGCCTTCTTGGCCGGCTTCTTCTTCTTCTTGTTCTTCTTGCTCTTTCCGGTATTTCTGGACAGAGGCTGCTCGAGGATCTTGAGAATCTCCTCGTCCTCAATCTTCTTGTCCGACTTGACCTTCTCGAGGTCGAGAGCGGGTGGCGCACCGAGCTTGGTGATGCCGTTCTTAGTGATGGCTGTCGACATGTTAGCACACTGAGCCGTTCACTTTTGCACACAGGAGGAGTCTCACCAATCGTCGACAGGTAACGGGCGACGGGGGAGTTGTCCTTGTCGCCAACAACCTCGTAGGCGCGGAAGACGTTGCCACGCACGCACTCAACGACACCAGACTTGGCATCGCGCTCGTCATCGAGCTGGCGCAAGCTGAAGGGGAAGGTTCCAAACTTCTTCTGGACCTCGGAGAGAATCTTGCGGGAAGTAGGGCGCTTGAGGCCGTAGTTGGTGGTGGTGCGGCGGTGCAGAGTAGTTCTGGAGTCCAAGGTCTTGACCTTGCCAGCGCCCAAGCTCACGCCCATCTCGACACCCCAGACCTCGCCAATCTCGGGGACGCCGTCGCCCTTGGTGCCCTCAGCGGGAGCAAGGACAATCTTCTTCTTGCCCTCAATCTCGTTGCGCTCAAACAGCCATGAGGTGGTGCTCTCGACCAGGTTGCAGTCGTAGGACTTGACGACCTTCTCGAGCAGGCTGGTAATCTTGGCCTGGGTGGGAGCCTTGGCGGCGGCAGCCTTGGCCTTCTCCTCGTCGGTGCCGGAAGCGAGCAGACCGGGCGGGAGCAGCAAGCGGAGGAGCAGCTCATTGGCGTAGTAGTTGGCGAGAACCAGGTCGGCGGAACGACCAGTGATTTCTCCGCCGGCGATGACGGTGTCGCAAACGATAGAACCGAAGCCGTCAATCTGGGCACCGAGCTGGATCTTGATGGGCTCGCCCTCCTTGATCTCAGCGCCAGCCTCGGCCTCATCGGAGGTAAGGGGGGTGTAGGGGGTCACGAAAGAAGCCGGGGAGATGGTGGTAGGGTGGGAGAAGCCTGCAAGGCGCGAAGGGAGTCAGCGACAGTCAGGAACAGGCAGCATAAGACCGGTAAGGGGAGATAGACCTTTGTTGACCTTCTTTCCACGGTAGACCTTGGCGAGCTCCTCCTCGATGAGCTTGTCGCCCTTCTCGCAGATGGTGACAATCTTCTCGCCAGGCTTAATGAGCTCGGCAACCGCGGCCAAGACCTTCTCAGAGATCTGAGCGGCGGTCTTGTACTTGGTCAGAGTATCGGGGTTGTTGAGGGTGTAGTCTGGGGGATTGTTAGTTTTTTTTTTGTCAAAAGGCTATGATGAAGGCGCAGCTCGAGCCGTCCTCCGAGTCAAATGGAGCTCATTGGGTCTAGTCGAGTCCTTTCAGGCAAGGCCATCTGCCTCGGAAGGCATGGTGTGCGTTTGCGTGTTCGTGTGTGGTTTATTCGGGTGGTGGCGGGGTAGCTGCGTGGGCTGTTTTGGTATGTGACGCAAACGCAGCAGCACCAGCAGCGGCAAAAACGCGCGTGGAAGGGTAGGGACAGCGCGCAGTGCGCTGTAGAGCTCCAGCAAGAATAGGGAGGTACTAACCGATTTCCTCCGACATGATGGCGGTATTTTTGGGGGGGAATTGAGTAAGAAATCAAAGGAATATCTCAAGGATAGCGATGCACCGGTCCAGATCTCGAAGGACTGAACGTGGGAAGAGGTGCAATGCAAAGTTGGTGTGTCGGGCGTAAGTATTTTGACGACAAATACGTCGATTTTCAGGGCGGGGAAAGGAGGGGCTCGTTGCTGTTTGTGGGTGCTCGGGCAGGTCAAGGTCAAGCAGGCACGCAGGCAGGTGCAGGTGCAGGTGCTATCCAAACCCAAGGTCCACCTCAGTCTCAAGTACCTTTGGTGGGGAATTTTGTGCATGGTCGCATCGCTTAAAACCGCCTTGCGCATCTGGGCTATTGTTCGCGTGTCGTGCCTCACATACCTTGGTTACCACGTAACCTATCTACCTTAGGTAAGTAAAGTAGTACCTAGCTAACTTTTTATGCAGCCTTGAGTTGGATGTGAAAGCATGCTCCCGTTATGCTTGGCGGGCCAACTTTGGCGGGCCAACTCGGTCAAGTCTTGTCTTGAGCCGTGCTGGGTAGGAGGCCATGACGATGAACTTTCAGCACATGTCCCGTACCTCGAGTGAGTAAACCAGGTACTGACCGTCTCAAGATCAAGAATGTCTCATGGTGAGCAGCCAGAACCTTATGCAGAGCTCCGTGTGAAGCACACGATGAACGCATCTACACATCTGAGCAAACATGGAACTCAGGGCAACCTTTCCATCCTCCCAGCTCTGGATGCTGTTTCCGGTACAAGCTCGGCCCGTACCGCAACAGGCACACCAGATGGCATGCCCATTTCGGAGAGGTGAATGGCCTCACGTTGGCTTTCATCTAGGCATTTTGAACACACACCGCCAATTCTAGCGTAGTGGCTTGCATCTCCCATAATCAGAGCGGCGCTTATCGTGCAAATGGTCCTGCTAGACCGCTGTCTACCCATACCAAAGTGGTCGACTCGTGGATCAGTTGCATCTTCCCAACGACTGCTACTTTTGACTGCAAACCAAGGTGTCTCAAGCCAAGGTAGCAAGTAGCTTGCCCTCACTTACACCCTCATGTCGCCAGCCACGCCCTAGATCGCAGCCATTGGTGGCGCCCCTGCGGCGGTGCGAAGGTGCTCAGGAACGGGGTCAGGTCGTTAAGCATAGGTGAGGAAGGGACATGTATATTCGCAGCCGACTTGGGCGGGAAGGTACTTTATTCACCTGCGTACCTGAACTGGGAAATTTTCCAGGTTGCGATTGGCGCTGACCCGAACTCCCCTGGACGCCGGCATTGGTCAGTCTGCACTAACACCACCAGGTTTCACCGTCATCTTTGAGAGATGGTTTTACCCCAAATCGCCATGCCAGTACACAGAATGCGTTAGCATCGGTGGTGCCAGCCTTCCCCGGTAGAACACCAACACGCAGCGCAGGAGAGAGACTGCGAGCCCGCGACAGACGTAGCAGAATCCACCTCTCATCCCCAAGTGAACCTTGGAGCCATCGTCAATTGGCTTCCGCCACGACACGCGCGCAACACGAACCCAGGCCCGATCGCGCGTCTTCCCTTCGACGTCTCGGCAGTCGCATCGCTGCGGCGATTCGGGACCCTGCACATTTCTCCAACATGGCCGCGCCGCCATCCACGTCCACGCCTACCGCGGCCGGCGCGACAGCCTCGTCCTCGGCATCAACCTCCGCATCCGCCGCCAACGATCACGATGCTACTCCTCACTCCGTCGCTGCCAAGTCCCTTCCCGTACGAGACAAGGACTCGTTCAACAAGCTGCAGGTTGAGCGCTACGTGACGCGCGATTGGCACTACGCTGTCGCGATGAAGGACGCACAGGAGCGATTCGAGAAGGACATGCAACAGACGAGAGACAAGATTGATGATTATAACCTCATCAAGAACCAACGCTTGTATTTCCCCCCGAGCAAACTATACGGCGAAGGATACCGTGGCTACGGCAACGGCTACACCGATATCGATCCCCGCATGCGAGCGCCCTTTCCCGCCCAAGTCATCTACCCGAGCCAGAAGCCGCGGCCTGGGAAGCGTCAGTCGCATCCTCTCAGATGGAAGAAGAGAGAACTGAAGAAGCAGGCGGAGCAGCACGAGGAGCTTGTGCCGATACGAATAGACGTTGACTGGGAAAAGATCAAGCTTCGCGACACCTTCACATGGAACCTGCACGACAGGATAATCCCGGGCGAGCTCTTTGCGCAGCACCTCGTCGAGGATCTGGGCATCCCTCTGGACGCACAGCACAAACCCGTCTTGGACCAGGTCACGTTGCAGATGCGGGACCAGCTCAACGACTTCTACCCCCTGGTGTTCTCGGAAGAGGACGCGCTCGACCCGGAGCTGCCCTATTCTGCCTACAAGAATGACGAGATGAGAATATTGATCAAGCTCAACGTCACCATTGGCGGCGTAACCTTGGTTGACCAGTTCGAGTGGGACATCAACAACCCGTTAAACTCCCCAGAGGAGTTTGCCGCCTCAATGACTCGCGACATGTCGCTGTCCGGCGAGTTCACCACTGCCATTGCCCACTGCATTCGAGAACAGTGCCAGCTCTTCACCAAGAGTCTATACAGCGTCGGACATCCCTTCGATGGAAGGCCGGTCGAGGACCCCGATCTCATCGCCGCCTTCCTGCCATCTCCTCTGCCATCCGTTTTCAGACCGCAACAGCAGGCCAAGGAGTATGCTCCGTATCTGTACGAGCTCAGTGATGCCGATCTGGAACGCAACGAAGTCATCTTCTCCCGCGAACAGAGACGCCAGAAGCGGTCCATCAACCGTCGCGGTGGTCCGCAACTTCCCGATCTCAAGGAACGGCAGCGGACAATCAGGACACTACTCGTCTCGTCCGTGCTTCCCGGCGCTGCGCCCAACATGGAAGAGAGCACGCTATACAAGCGTGTGGCCGGCGCGCCAACCACCCGCAAGAGGCCGGGAGCACGCGACGGCGAGGTTTCCGATTCCGACGATAGTGAAGACACAGGACCGGACTCGCCAGGCGTGTCTCAGCTTGGCGGCACGGCCAGGACGAGAGGTCTTCGTGGCGCTGCGAGTGCTGCTCAGCAACGAATTACGAATCTTGGCCGCTCCGAAACGCCTGAAGCGAGCATCATCCATCATCACGAGACGCGGAGAAACCTTGGGCGCTCCATTCGCGATACTCGCGACGAGACTGAGGAGCCTACGCAGCTCATTGTCACACTCAAGGTCGGCAAGGACAAGCTGAGACGACTTCTCCAGAACCCAAGGGCAAGGTTTACGCCGAACGGCTCCCAGACACCGTCCACACCCGCACATACTCGCATACCCAGTGCGGCCGCGGCCCCGGCCGGAGCGAACTCGATGCCTCCGCCGTCCACGCCGGCCTCCAACGGTCAGGCTCTTCCTGCTCAGCTTGGCACTCCTCTCCCTCAAGGCCAGATTGGTCGACAGCCTGCTCCACCACCTGTTGCGGGTCAACCGCCGCCACCTGCTGTAAGTTGCCATGGAACGTCATATGGTCATGGATTTCTTGAACTTTAACTGAATGGAAGCTGACATACTCGATAGCCTCCGCCGCCAGAATGGCTGAAGAACTGCCTGCAGCAGCTGAAGCAAACCTATACCTTTGATAACTTTGAAGGCATGATGAAGTACTCGGCTATCAACCCTGACACGGAGATGCCGATATCAGTACCAGCAGGGTCACAGCCGCCCGAGGGAGCCAGATGGATGTTCCTCCCCCGTATCCGCTGTCTAGACTGCCCCGGCAAGCTGTACACGCCCGGGCCGGAAATGACGGCAGGCAACTTTGAGGTCCACTTGCGCAACAAGCAACATCGTCAGAAGGTGGATGCCAGAGAAGGCAGAGACACGGCACCTGGAACGACGTAATACGATGACATAATGGCGGCGAGCCCCGAGTGAGACGCCAAGGTGCTGTCAAGGCCCGTGCCGAGCTTCCTGGATAGTGTAGCCATGTTCACCCAAGGCCCAAAGCACCGGCCTCGGGTCAACGATTTGAGAAACACCGGAGCCCTGCTTTCATTCAGCAAGCCTAGCGGTTCATCATCAGTCTAGCTCTCACACCTCCGAGAAAAAGCCAAAGGAAGTTTGCAAGCTCGGAATGTTGGTGTTGACAAGTCAGCACGCTCGGCATTGTACAAGAGATCAATCTATTTCCATCTCGTCTGTTGGTTGTAGAAAAAAGAAATGACACTACACAGGTGCCATTCGTACTGCCTCGCAGGCAGTGAAATGGGTTGAAGGAAACGGGGAAACCAGAACGTGTTTCTTGCCGATTTTAACAGGTTTAGGAGTTCAGATCCTGCTGATGAGGCGGGGTAGGAATGGCTGGAGTTCTGATCGGGAGTGTTTTATTAGGATACGACTAGGAGAGATGGAGCTTTTAAGGCGCGATGTATGTGGAAGATGTGGAAGAGTCGGAAAAGGTTGCTATCAACCCATCCTAACCCAACCTTACCTTGTGCGCAACATTGCCGAACGAGGCTGCTGGTAGCGAGAGTAATACCACAAAAAAGCTTTCCATCTCTGCCTTACTGTTGTGGACTGATGTTTGTGAATGAACCAGGATGTTAGCATTTCCTTGGGGATTGATCATACATGAGCAAAACCATCCTCGCACTATTGCCATGATAAGAGCATGTCACGAGCGAAAAGTCGCATACCGGTGGGCAACACTTGACTACGTACTGATTGGCAGGTATATTAAGACTACCCACAGGTAGCCAACTTGTCTGTACTATTCCACCGCCAATAAGGGCCCCGGTATGGCGCGGGTACCGATGCTCAGGTTCTCGGGGTTCAACTTTGCTGGGAGGTCAGATTGCGCCGCAAAGTTGCCGTGTCCAAGGATCGTCGTCCACTGGTCGAAGCCAGCTTTCCGGACCGATGAATCCAGTCAGCGAAACAGAACAATACTAGACTAAGTTTTTGACAGGACATGGCTTTCGAAAGACATAGGAAATCGCAGATCCCAGCCACCATCCCAATCCTCTCTGTTTAATTCCCCTCCCCCCCCTTGCTCGAGTCAGCAGTTAATTTGGAGATTCGACTGAACATGATTGGGCTGTTGGCTGTGTCCTAGGTCTCGTCATAGACTCGAGGGATGTAGACCGGTTTTCAACGCGTATGCCCGAGGCATTGTAGCCACATATGGAACCCTATGGGACTACGTTTTCGGGTAGATGCCTGCTTCAAGCATCGATTCTGGGGTAAGGGGGGCGGAAGCAACCTGTACGAGGAACTGGTGGTCGGGAGTGGGGGAAGGGGAGGGGGGAAGACGGAAACGAGAAATCTAGTAGATCTTCTCCTCCTCCTCCCCCTCGGCCTCGTTCTCGTCTTCCGCCTCCAACGCGACGGAGAGGACGGCGTCGAAGAACTTGACGCGGAGCTTGTTGGTCTGCTTGTCGGAGAGGTTGAAGATGTCGCGCATGGTCTCTTCGACCTCGGCGAAGTAGTCGTCATACACTTCACCGTCAGAGGCCACGGGCTCGATGGCCGGACCCCGCCTCTCGACGAGCTTCTCGGCGGCGGCGGCGGGCTTCTTGCCCATGTCCTTGCCCTTGCCCTTGGCATCGGGGGTCTCGAGCCAGCCGCTAGTGTTGGGGTGTTTTCTGTACTCTTCGAGGTAGAACCTAACGCAGTACTCGATGGCACCCTTGAAGTTGTCCGGGCTCCTGTAGGACGGGCCGGCGCGTCTCTTTGCGGCGTTGTTCTCCTTGCACCACTCTCTGCGTCTGGCGATCATCTCCGGCGTCGGGAGGGTCGCCGGTTTGGCTTGCCCGGCGGGAGTGGTGGTGGCAGCGGCAGCGAGAACGGTGGTGGTGGTGACGGCGGCGGCAGCAGCCAGTGCGAAGATGCCGGCGGCTGCGAGGAAGTTCTTGATGGCGACCATTTTGATGATTTTTACTAAAGGTGAGGTCGAGTTGGTTGTATTGGTTCAGTGATGGTTGCGAATTCTGCAAGCTATACTTGACTGATGAGTGCTGGGAGGAAAGAGAGACGGGATGGGATCAGAAGCGGAGGGGGGGTTTATAGACCTCCCTCTCACCTTTCTCCGAAGAACGCAGAGGTTGCTACTACTCGTGATCCAAGTACGGTGTTCTTATGTTTGGGTTCGAAAAGTCCTACCAAAAGTCAATATCTGCGTCTACCAAGGTTGTTCGATCGGTACTATGGCTGGGGATTCACCGATGAAGATGGGACTCTTTTGTAGTTGAGAACCACTCCGGCCCAGCTGCTAAAGTTCATGAGCAAGCCAATAATCATGACAGCATGACCACATCTTGTCGGGGACATCATGCGAGTGCCCTCGAGAGTCAACCATGGTCTATCTCCCTTCCGTTCACCAGCTGAGCGGCGGTAGCTCCAACCAGAGCCGCATCCTCATCCGTGTCTATCTGTTCTGCAGTCCTACCAAAAGCCAAAAAAAGTCTTCAAATGTACCCATGATAGCTAGCGACGCTACCTAGTACGCCATGCTTCATCATGCTCCGCCGTGTTCGCCAACACCCGGGGAGTCCTCTGAGATGCCGGCACGCTGATTAAAACAATGCCAAGCTCTCATCCGGACATCACTTAACACTCCCTCGCAGATCCTGCCGTCGGTAGGAAGCGCACAATAGACAGTCAGGCCAGTTTTGGTGTGCTTCCGAGTGTGACCCTCGCGACGCATCTTGGGACGCCACCAAGTCCACTTGCCTCCGAACACCAGACCTGGCGACGGAATTCAACGGGACTTAAGCAGAACAAGCTTTCCTTGGCCGCTGGTGGCATTAGATGAGGGTGTCTAGGGATCCCAGGGTCAACCGGACCCATTCATCTGACACCAAAGATGCAGACTTTTGGGCCATGGCGACGCCAATCAGTTCCTCTGCAAGCGCTGCTGCAATATTGACGTGAATATGTCAAAAGTACGTCGCTTAATCAAGCTCTCCTATCATACCAACATGTCCCGACCACAGATGAACGTCAACCCCCCCCCCCTTTTTTTTCCTGTTCGTGAACATGTGGGGGGTGGCAGGCTTTGAACTCCATACAGGCTAAATCTCTCATCCATCCAGATTCCCCAAACCGACTTCTGCGGATTGAAACGACGGGATCGGAGGGCGTTGTCCGAACAAATACGACGTGGATAAACAAGCTTCCCCATTTCACCCCCTTGAACATCCCTGGCTAGACGGTCCGTCCGGAGTGTGTTTATATTGCTTGTGACCTGTTGTGCCTGAACCACTCCTCCTTCGTTTGCTATATTTCGCCCAGCTACTATATTGAATGTCGTGATTTCCCCGTCCCGAGTTGTCACACAAGACTTTGTATTTAAATGGTATAAGGGTGATGAACCCGTCTCGCAGGCTTTGACACACTTCCCCTTTTCTAGCCAAACACCACTTATTCCCGTTCCCTTACCAAGTCTAACCGCCAAGATGAAGGCCACCGGCCTCCTCTCCTTCCTGCCCATGACCGCCGCCAAAGTCCTCTGGGACGGCCGCTTCAATGACCTAAACTCCTCGTCGGACCTCAACAAGTGGTCCTGGTCCAACCAAGTCGGGCCCTACCAGTACTACATCCACGGCTCCGGCGACGTGACGAAGTACGTCAACCTCTCGCCCTCGTACAAGAATCCGGCCGACGCGGCCTCAAAGCAGGGGGTCAAGATCACGCTGGACAGCACGGCCTACTGGAACGGCCAGAATATGCGGCGCACCGAGCTCATCCCGCAGACGAAAGCCGCCATCGCGTCGGGCAAAGTGTGGTACCACTTTAGCATCTCGCGCAAGGACACCAGTGCGCCGAGCGTCTTCCGCGAGCACCAGATTGCGTTCTTCGAGAGCCACTTCACCGAGCTCAAGAGCGGGTGGATCAGCGGCGAGTCGGCGGTGAACAATACGAATTTGCAATTCATGGTGCAGCAGAAGAGCCTGTGGAAGACGGAGTGGAAGCCGGATACGTGGCAAAACGTCGCCTACGAGATTGTGAGTGTTTCTTTTCCCCTTTGGCTTTTATATATAGGGGAGGGGTGTGGACGTTGTGGGAGAAATCGCAGACTTACACCGTGCGTTTATAGAACTTTTCCAGCGGAAGCGTTGGCTTCTGGCATTCCGAGGGCAGTGCTCCTCTGCAGCAGGTTGTGGCTCCCGTGTCTGCTTCGACATCTTCCAACGGCCAGGACTGGCACCTGGGCGTCCTCGAGCTTCCCCGCGACGGCTACGCGGACACCAACGAGGACTTTTACTTCTCTGGCGTCTACGTTGAAGATACTGCCATCACGACCTCTGTCACTGGACCTGGTGAGTCTTCGGCAGTGAGATCCCACGAGTTGAGTAAAACTGACGCGGATGGGCATAGCAGCGTGAGAGAATGTCACATCCCTCATGAAGGAGGACTGAGGGACTGATCTTGAGTGACATCAGACAGCACGGCGACATCGTACATATTGCACCCATTATTCAGCACATATCATTCAATCAATGCACGTATACAAAGTTGGAAAACCAGGATATCTTGTTTTCCTATGCAGGTTTCTATTTAGCAGCCAATTTGTGCCTCATGTCACTAGTGGCTCTCTCCACCAAAACGTCCAATCGCGTGTGCTTCCAGGCTGACTGTCCCGTGTGCCTTTTATGTCTCATAATGCGAATAGTTGTGGCCGTTGAGTGAGGTGTCTTCAGTTAGATCGGGTACACTTCTTCGTCACCAAGGTGGTCGGAAGGGTAATAGTGTTGGTGATAGCCGTGGGAGGCGCCTGGCAAGCACCAAGAGAGGTACGTGTCATGCCGGGAATGGGTCCGAGAGAAGGATCCCAGCCAGTGACTCCGGCCCAGTACATGCAATACTGAGTGCTGCTGTCGCAGTACTTGTACTTACAATCGACGGAGGAAGAAAAAGGTGCAGGGGTGATGAGCATATGGTTGACAGTGCTGCGCTTTTGGTTTTCAGCCTGAGTAGGAACGGCGGTGCACTTGCCGATAGAGGCGACAGTTTCGCCAGGAATCGGGCCTTCAGCAGGATCCCAGCCAGTGATGCCAGCCCAGTAGGCGCACAGAGAGGTACCGTCCTGGCACCACTTGTTGTCGCAGTTGATGGTGACAGTGGAGGTGAGAATGGCAGAGGTGGTGGAGATGTAGTCTTCTCTGACATGAATCTTGAAGGTGGAGAGGCCAAAGTTGCTGATGGTTGAGAAGGGACTGATATGGGTGACTTTGGAGGCGGTTTCGGTGAGAGTTTCGAGCTTGGCCTTGAGCGTGAGGGTAGCTTCAGCAGCATTAGTGGTAGCAGTAGTTTTGTGAAGGTAGTTGTCGTGGATGCCGGCCAAAAGGCCCGCGCCGGCCAGCAAAAGCAGCATGGAAATGGTGAGGAAAATCACAAAGTCACGCATTGTGAATATTGAAGCGGCTTGTTGGAACTTGGTGAAGAAGGTGAAGAAGGCTTGGAGTTTTGTCAGTAGTGAGTCAAGAGGTGACTTTGTACTTTTCCCAAAGGCTTACCGAGAGGGACCGAAGGTGAGAGAATGGCTGTTAGACTTGTCTTTTCAAAGTGAGACTAGGCCACCTGGTGAAAGAGTGGCTCAGTAGAGTGAAGTTGAAATTCGTGAGTCGACTGCAGCAGTAGGGCTGGAGAAGAGGGCAGTGGTGAGTAGGACAAGGTCTGAAAGACAAAGTCAGAGGAGTTTGAAGTCTTTTACCTCTTGCTCTCATCAACTCGAAATGTCTTCCGTTGAAGGAAGGCACGTTATAGATATACCTCGGAACGGAAAGAAGTTGAGCCAATGGGGCAGGTTCAGAGTGTTCATCAGCTTCGCAACTGCCTTACATTTATCTTTTGGATAGACTCTCTTTTCCAAGGATGGAGTGCCCGTGTCACTTGGGACAGAAGGAACCCATCTCAAACCAAATATGCCGTGGGAGTGCAATCTCACAAGACGGAAGTTTGTGACACAGAGTTGTGGTACATCCGCCACAGTTGAACCAACATTCTGGAGGTCAAAGAAGTTCAGAAATCAGAGCTTAGGGCTGACGATGAGGCTTTCCAGAATTGTTCCACTGCAGTACTGGTATGAGGTGACTAGCCCACGCTTCCCATCCATCTTGGTATGTACCGTGAAAGTTTAGGACAAGCTGACGTGTCTTGCTTCGGAGAGGGCCAGGCCACGATGTCTGTCATTTGCAGGCTTGCTTCTGTCTCTGGTCAAGTACGACGATGGCGCTGGATTGTACGTCCCGAAGGAAACCTGTCAACTTTAAGAAACAAGCTGTGTGGAACCGTTCCAGGTCGTTTGCTTCCGCTACTCCTCATGCAACATAGACACTGATAGCCGACGGGCGCGCACACGAAATGTTCCTTTGCACGTGAATGTAAATTAATCTAGTTCATGAAGATGCTTGAATTGGAGCTTTTTAGTAGACGCGACGACGGCTGCCCATCGTGCCGCTGAGAGCTACCCCCATCGCATTCGACAGAGCCTAGGAGGACGCCAATTGCGAAGCTGCCTTGACATACAACGTAACAGTGATGGCAATGCTGGCCATCCAGGCGAGGCTTCGCGCGGGGCCGAAGCTACGGTTGTCCTGCAGGCGCACGTAGATGATGTTGTACAGGACCCTAGAGCCGATGTAGCCCAGCGTCAAGAGGTTGACGGTCTCGGCGTCCACACCGGCAAAGTTGGCGGCGACGACGGCAGCCGAGTAGAAACCGAGGGTCTCAAAGGCATTCTCCGACGCGGCCTTGGCACGGAGGATGCGGGCTTTGACCTAGGGTTTTCGCAGCATTGTGTGAGATGAAGGCTCCGCGGAGGCAGATGTTGTCTACATATAAAAGGTCTTGCTTACGATTTTGTCTAGCTTGTCGTCAGCCACGACGCTGGTCTGGAGCTTTCGCGGGTTGCAGAGGTCGTAATGCACTCCTGCTCCGGAGACGGCGTAGACATTGGGCAGCAGGGCCATCAGGAAAGCAGCCGGGATCTGAATGCGGTTTAGCTGAGGGGTCTAGCTACATCGCTTGCCGATGCGTCACTGACAGTGTAAAGGGAGAGCCCCTTTTGGGCGAGGTCCAGACCGAAGAAAGACATGTTGATGGGGAGTAAATGTCACGTTGAGCAATGTTGGATGAGTGGAACGATACAAGCTCTACGGGATGGTTGAGGAAGCACGGGGGTTAAGGTACGACTATGACACGGAGGAGAAGAACTTCTTTCAAGGTCGGGCGGACGGCGCGAAATAGAGTCCGACAGGGGACGTAAAGAGACACGAGTACGGCTGGATAGCATGGGTCTCAGAATGGAACTTGTGAGAGAGAGGCACCTACCTCAGGCTTCCTTCCGCAGTGGTTGACAACGGGACAGGGTGCGGGAGCGCTGCATTAGGCACTTGGGGTCGGCCGAAGTGGCGATGACAGCGTTACAGCAAAAAAGATCGCAGTATCGAACGCGGATGCAACATTCGATTGGCCAGCTACAATCTTTCTACCCCTGTTGAAAAGCAAGGGCGAACTCGTGGGTGGGAATCGTGATGTCACTAGAATCAGGTTTTATAGACACCGACCAATCCGATGCGTTTGCTAGCAAAACTCGCAGGATTTAACGTTATGTGCATCTGTAAGAAGACACACCCCGAGCCGGGCCTCTCATTGGACCGCCGGGGGGGCGGAATAGCATCAAGCAAACTGGAACCACACACTCCCCCTGCGTTTTCTTTTCTCCGGGCTGTGGTTGGTGTTTTTGGTGCGCCCACACAATGTTTGATTTTCAGCCTCCATGTTCAACGTGGCAGAAAAAACATTTCCATTTCAACAACTGTCGTTAAGTTTTTTCAATCGTACATTGTCTCCAATATTGCGGGGAAAGCTCAAACAAGCTGCTGGTATCGTTTCGTTTTCATTTCAGGGTTCATTCTCCTATGAGAGAGTGCGACGGCGTAGGATGGCAGACGCACAAACGTACCCGCCGGATCGGAACAACTACGCCCTCACTCAAAGTCGAATCTTTTGCGCGTTGAGATGAGCCTCTCACCCGGATCCTTCGCCAGACTGACGGCAACCGCCATTCATGAACAATTTCTCAAAGAGCATCATTGCCTGCTCATTTATACACTGCTTCGGCATCGTCAGGTCCAAGATTGCGCTCGGCGACATTCGATACTTATGAGACGAAACTGGACTTCTCATCTACGAGTGAACAACAGTTCCCACGCTGCGATACTTATCGAAGCGCCCCAAGCATGCTACGTTTGAGCAGCATAGCAGTCTGGTCAGAGGGTAGGTTAAGTCAGAGATGGTTGTCTTATGAGCAACACCTTGTGACACCTGAAAAGCTAACAACCTGAAATTGTACGTTCCCGAATAAAAAAAAAAAAAAAAAAAACCCCCCAAGAAAAAACCCTTGCGTACAAGTCGCTGACTTTTCCCCAGCGCGGCAACTCGGAGGTATGCAGCTGACTCGAAACTCACGAACCTTTTGCAGAGCCTGCTCTGCGACTCCGCGATGAGACTATTGAATTTGGGTGTGCGCTGGGCTTCGGGGTTTGGGGACGAGCGCTCACAAAGCGTCCATGGCCCCGACTCATGCTCCAGGACTTACTTATCCTGGTCCCGGCATCGAGATGTCGAGCGGTTGTGGGAAAGTTGCCTCGCTCATCTTTGTTCATCGAATCAGGCGATTCTAGCATGGCAATTTCCTCTCAGCAGGGCTTAGGCCGATAGCGTTCGTCCGTTCCTCAAGTGAGGCAAGTGAGGGTGCAAGTTGACGGTGGTCGCTGAGATTCGGGTGGCTCTCGTTTACCGTGCGCCCATGTATTTTCACTACCTTCTTTGCTGTTGCAATTGACAGTAAAGGCAGCGTTGCGCCTGGAGGCTGGAAACATCAGAAGTGGGCTCTTCATGCCTGCGACCAGGTAAGAAAAGGTCGAAGGGTGAGAAGGAATAATACTCCAAGTCCAGGCATCCTGGGGTTCTCTCAGCATCCAAGCAAACACCAAATGCAAGACGCATGCACCGGTGGAATGTGACCGGAGCAGGGATGCTGATGAGATTGGATGCCAGGCGGGCCACACACAATGTGGGAGAGAATTTGGGTTGGTCTAGACGAAAACAGCATGGCGGTAGGAGCATTAACACACTGACTGATTCATCAAGCGGAATATGTCGCCAGCCAGCAGCGGCAGACCTACTGACAGCAGCACTTGGCCAGCAATATTCCATCCGTTTCTGATGTCACCTGGCGTCAATTCAAAGTGCATATTGATATTGCAGCAAAATGGATGGGAACCTGGGGGGTTTGGGACCTGGAGGTACTTACACATCGTACTTGGCTTCTGTGAGAGCTCCTCATCATCTTTGATGTGCGGACGGGGAGTGGCGGGCACGCTGCACCAGCACTAGAAAAGCACAGAACACTCCCCATCGTCCCCAGGTCCCCAAGTCCCCAACAGACGGGCATACATCAACTGCAAGGAAGCGTGCTGCTGCAGCTGCGTGCACGCCGCAAAAAGTTGGAGTCCGGTCCAGGCATCCCCATTGGAGAGACTATCTGGCATGAGAGATTTCCCGCACTGTATTCTCTACATTTCGCCTCCCCGGTCATTCATCTGCGCGCCTCCCATTGCTGTCGGCTGTCTGTTAAAGGTGCATCCGTGGCAGCCTCCCCGGCACAGTGCCCAGATTCTCCGATAACAAATATTTTTTCCCGGGGTGTCTATCAACCCCCCCAATCTAGCAACTGCCCATCAGCCTGTGACTTCCTGAATCACCACCCGTCCAGCGGCACCCGTAGACCGACAATTTTCTGGTCGACCATCCACGACGGAATTCAATCGCGTTCAATTGCCACCGCCCAGCACCACCATTTTCATCACTTTTGATCGTCGATTTCATCTCGGCGACGCTCGTAAATCATTGTCGACATCCCGTTTTTGCCCAAAACGGATGTCGCGGCAGCTCATGACATGACTGAGGTCGGGCCTGCCGACCGCTCCAGGCTTTTGCGATCCAAACGCGATGAAATCAGGTCAGTTTTTGCATCGCTCGATAGGGCTCTTTCGTGCGATTCTAGCGATATCACTTTCGTGGTGTTGACAATTTTTAGTTCAATTGTAACGTCGAGGAAGCGGAAGCTCCGTCAGCTCTTTGCTGTCGCGACCGAGGGCGATGCACTCCCCACAAACGACTTCGCGAATCCTGACGCGCCGCCAGCTACCGCAGCCGAACTTCAGTTCCTGCAGCGCTGCGACATTTCACAGTATGTTGTCCCGTCCCTGTCGCGCCTTTTTGATTCATTTTGGGTCGCGCATGGCTCTGTTTGTTGCCGCTCGCCGCTTACACCACTTACAGAGGACGAAAGCTCAGTGAAGCGAATCTTCCTGCTCGACCTCAGCTGCGCTACGATGTCCTAAGACAATCCCTCGACAACTCTGGCCTCTTCGCACCCGAGCCAGCGCCTGTTCCTCCCGCGAAGCAAGATGCTGTGCTCCCCAAACCCCAAACGAAGACCGCTCCTGCGCCGTCGCCAAAGCCGGCTGCACCTGCACCCAGTGATTTGAATGGCACTGCACCCGAACCCCGAACACCTGCGACCTTCACCCTTCCTCCCTCACTTCCACCGAAGCCCCCGACGCCTGTGCCTGCTGCGGCGACACCAAATCGACCTGGAGCTTCCAAGCCGCCCACATTGGCTGCTTCAGGTCCGCCACCGCCGTCACCTGTAGCAGCTCCCACGAAGAATCCTTTGCACGCATCGCGAGAAGGCGCTACCGAAAAGGTAGAAATCGCCGCTGTGGAAAAGCCAGCACCGACGCCCCTGAAAGAAAACCCGAATGGCATCCCGAAGAAGGCCGAGCCAAGAAAGGGCGATGCGCCGCAGGCTGTCTCCAGTCAACCGGTCGCGAAGTCACCGGCTGCCCAGCTACCTGCTCGTCCAGACTTCAAAAAGGCCGAGGAGACGGCCCCTGTGGCTGCCAAACCGCCACCCGAAACAGCAAAGGTAGCCGATGGACTTTCATCACCAGGGTCAACGACACAGACGGCCGCGACTCCTGCTGTTCATGACGCCTCGACAGATACTAGCCCCGACAACGAGGGCCCTCAGTATGTGGAACGGGCGGAGACATCAAATGAAGGAGAGGCAGCGGAAAGGGCAGAGGAGGCCAAGGGGACCGAAGGCGGTGCTTCTCCTGACGCAGATTCTCTCAATGGCAGAATACCAGATGGACCCGAAGCGCAGCTCCTGCAGGAGTCCATGGCGATGGGCTCCAAGCCAACACCGCCTGTTATCGCAACAAGAGCGTCGCCTCCTGCGACACCTGTGCCGCCCCCTGATGAAGTGAAAGCCGCAGAGCCCACGACAGCAGAGTCTGCTACACCAAGCGTGGCCCAGAGTGCTACTCCAACGCCGGCTGTGCCGCCTACAGCCCAGTCGGTCAAGGAGATTCCGGACAGCCAGGAGTCGCAGGCTCCCGAAAAGATGGATGTAGACCAACCAGATGTGGACCAGACTGGGGGAAAACCTTCCGTCGAGGTACAAGATGCACCTGTTGAGCCCAGCCAAGCCGAAACGCAGACTCCTAAAGCTTTAAATCAAGCCCCACAGACGCCGCAGGACCCAGATCGAGCGGTCACTCGAACAGCTTCTGGTACGATAAGACAGAAGTCGGTGGCCGAAATTTTAGGAGAAGCAACCCCAGAGACCCAAGTGGCTACCAAAATGCCAGCAAGTCAACTCACACCTCTCACCTCCACACCCCAGTCTCCGCCCTCCAGACCAAAGACATTTGCCAACAAGAAGAGGGACAAGGAGAAGGCTAGGAATAAGCCTTCTGAAGTCGTCTTTGGCAAGCAAACCAAACGATCAGCGGACAAGTCCTTGGTGCCTAGCCAGCAGAAGCAAAGTTTTCTGCCGACAGACGACTACTTTACACCACTCTTTGTACAAGGTTTTACCCAGACATCAAAGTGGATGAAGCCGATAGAGGTCATCCTCAATCAATCCCACAAGACAGTGTCCACCCCGGATGCCTACGTGGCGATACAAGACAACCAGGCATGCAGAGTGCTTCGACGCGTTTACCATCTGCAGCAGCACGACAAATGGTCGTTGCGGCAGCCAAAGAGGTGCCCGGAACCTATACGCCCGGAAAGTCATTGGGATGTGCTGCTTCAGGAGATGAAGTGGATGAGGACGGACTTTCGGGAAGAGAAGAAATGGAAACTTGCGGCCGCACGCAACCTCGCGCACGCCTGCGCCGAGTGGGCTGCTTCAAGCGAGGAAGAACGCAAGGAGCTCCAAGTTTCTGCGTACATCCCGCCCAAGGAGCAGCCGGCCGAACCCGAGACCGAAGGCGATGCCTCCATGGCTGACATCTCGTTGGATATTGTTGATGCACACGCAACTCCCGAGTTGGTATCGTCAGGCGACCTGGACTCGCCCGAACATGTTGACGAGCTGCGAGAGGAGGTTCTTGAGACCGTCGCACCGTCTGCCATCTTTGCTCTCGAAGATGACGACGTTGTCTTTGAGCTCCGCAGTTCACCGACCGCAGACCAGCTGCTTCAAGAGCTTCCAATGTATGGCACACCACTCAAGATCCCAGCGTTCGACTTCACCGTCCCCGAATTCGACCCTGATGCACACTGGCGTCGCCCTGCTCTTCCTCTCAGCAAGTACGTTGAGGGCGAGATGAAGCTTTCTTCGGATGGGCCTCCCAGGAAGAGGAGTCGATACCAGTACGAAGAGGAAGAAGAGGATGACGATGAGAAGGTTGTGTTTGGATCCCAGCCCGCAAAGACAATGAAGTTGCAGCCGCAGAATGCCGATGTGGCCCTGTTCAACCCCGAAATGAAGTCAATTAGAGACCGGCTTCACGCTGGCCATCAGTTCCGCCCTCCAGCTGAGTACCAGATGCCCATGCAAAGCTTCTACGAATGTCGCAGCCCCTCGCAATGGACTTTGGCAGAGGACGACGAGCTGCGAAGCCTTGTCCGCGAGTACTCATACAACTGGTCGCTCATTTCCAGCCTTCTCACGCCTAGATCCCTGTTCACATCCGGAGCTGAGCGGAGGACGCCGTGGGAATGCTTCGAGCGTTGGATCAACCTGGAAGGTCTCCCCACGGACATGCAGAAGACGCAATACTTTAAAGCATATCAGAATAGGATTGATGCTGCCAACCGTGTTATCATGCAACAGAACCAAATTGCGCAGCAACAAGCCGCTGGCTCGACGGCTCCAGCAACGCCGGTCGCAAGACGCAGACCGTCAACGCCGCTCAGGGTCGAGCGACGACGCAACCAGAAGCACCTCACGCTGATCGATGCCATGAGGAAGCTCGCAAAGAAGCGCGAGACCGCGGCTCAGAAACAGCAGCATGCCACCCAGATGGCAGCCATGCGCAAGGCTAACGAGGCTGCGCAACCCAGAGGACCTACCAAGACACCTAGGGATTACAGCTTGATGAGGTGGGAGCGCGACCAGCAGCTTGCCGAGAAGGTGGCCCAGTTTCACCAGCGCCAGGAGGCTCAGAGACGCATCACCATGCAGCAGCGAGGCCAGGTCGCCGCCCAGATCGCTACGACGCCCGCCGCAGGCCAAGTGCCGGCAGGTGCCGCAGGTCAAGTCAATGGCAACATGGCCCGTCCCAACATGCCTAATCAGCTCGCCGTCCCGGGTCAAGCAGGACGAGGTCGCATGCCGATGCAGGCTCCGACTGCAAACATGGGCGGGGTTCCCGCTCAGATGAGTGGGCTTGTGCCTCCCATGCCAATGAACGGGGTGCAGACGGCTCAGATGCAAGCGGCGCTGCAGGCTCAGCATAGGATGCCAATGCCCAACCCTCAGCCTGATGTCAACCTCATGATGCAAGCACGCCGTATCTCAGAGCAGCAACGACAGGCTGTTCAGCTGCAGCAGGCTCAACAACAAGTTCAGCAACAGGTTCACCAACAGCAGCCGCAGCAGCAGCAACAACAACAACAACAACAACATCAGCAGCAGCAGCAACAGCAGCAACAACCACAACCACAGCAACCGGCTCAGCAGCAGCAACAAGGCCAGCAGCTGCACCAGGGAACACCAACATCTCATGCGTCTCAGTCTCACTCTCCGCCAAACATGCGGCCCGCGTCGGTCAATGGCGTTCACGGCGCTAATGGCGTCAATGGCGTCAATGGGGTTAATCAACAGAGCTTCATCGCCAATGCCCAGGCTAATGCCCAGGCCATGATGGCATTCAACGCTGCAAATAGTGGTGGGGTGGCTACGTCCCCTGCCGGTGGTCTTCACATGCCTAATGGCACTTCGGGCTCACCTCGCCCCCTGACACAGGTGCCGGCCGGCATTCAGCAGCAGCTAAGTAACCTCGAAAACCAATACCGGCTCAAGAACCCGAGCTGGACGCCTGAGCTGGTACGCCAACACGCCACGGAGCATCTCACTCGCCTAATGATTCATCAGAGGACGACAATGTCTCAAAATGCCATGAATGCGGCCGCTGGTGGTGGAGGCGCCTCGTCACCTGGCATTGTTAACGGCATCGCCGCCACGACCAGCCCGCATCAATATGCTGCTCTTCTTAGACAGCAGCAGCAACAACAAGCAGCTGCGGCAGCGGCACAGAATGGCCAGCCTCAGAATGGGCAGCATCAGCAAGCGCACCAGCAGCATCATGGCCAGCAACAGGCGCAGCAGCATCATCAGCAGAATGGTCAACAGCAACACGTACAGCCTCAGCACATCCAACATCAGCAGCACCAGGCGCGGCCTCAGTCCACAACCCAGCCGCAGCACACGCCGCAGCCTCCGCAGTCTCAGCAGCTTCCGAAGCAGACACACGCGCCTCAGCAAGCACAGCAGGCCCAGCAGATTCAAAGGCCCCAGTCGGCTCAGTCGGCCCAGGCCCTCCACGCCGCGCAGCTTCTTCAGGCTCAGAAGCTCCAGCAAGCTCAGAAGGCCCAGCAAGCGCAACAGGCTCAGCATGCCCAGCAAGCTCAAAAGCCGCAACAGCCACAGCAGCAGGCCCGGCAGACGCCGCAGGTACAACAAGTTCAGAAGACGCAGCAATCGCCGCAGGTCCAGCAGGCTCAGAAGGCGCAGCAATCGCCGCAGGTCCAGCAGGCTCAAAAGGCGCAACAATCTCCTCAGGTCCAGCAGGCTCAGAAGGCGCAACAATCTCCTCAGGTTCAGCAAGCATCAAAGACGCAGCAGTCACCTCAGGCTCAACAGGCGCAGCAGCTTCAGCAGGCTCAACACCTCCAGCAGGCACATCAATCCCAGCAGGCTCAGCCATCCCAGCAAGCTCAACAATCACAACAGCCGGCCCAGCAGAAAGCACTGCCGCAAGTCCAGCAGCAAGCTCAGCAGCAGGCCCAGCAGGCTCAACAGCAACAAGCTCAGCAAGCTCAACAGCAGCGCCAAGCTAGCGGAAGCGCCACTCCATCTGCTACAGCCGCGTCGTGAATCTGGGAGAAAGGGCTTGATTATGGTCACATGATCTACAACAACACCACTATACGAACAATAACGTAATGAGTGTCTATTGAGAGGAATAGTAAACGCCAAGGACATGGTGAGACGACGGCATCATGCCAGCGGAGACAGTGTCGCGGAGGTCGTGGATAGACCGCCCGTGGGGAACGGGGGCACATTCCGCAAAGTCGTCGCGCCGCTCGCTGGTCCCAGTTTCTTGGGACTCTTATTTTTGGGGTTTCCTCCATTCCCGCCACGCGTACTGACAGACGACGGCGTACTGATTAGAAAGGCGGGACACCGGAGGGTGACAGGGGGGGAACCAGCGAGCTGTCGCGAGCAGACGAAAAATATGTACATAGAACGAGAAAACACCCACTTCCTCAACAATTGTGAGATTCTCGCTGTTTTCTTCGAGACGGAAACAACTTGGTACAGACTAGGTTGTACATAGCCATTTGTAATGCGAAGATGAAAAAAGAGACACGGTGGCGGCAGCGGCAGCGGCAGCGGCGACGGCGACGGCAGCGAAAGCACCTGAGGGAATGAGAACTCTATCGACCTTGCCTTTTTAGAGATGGGAAAGGGAGGGGGTTGCCGCTGCCGACGAAGGCAAAGATGCAATGAAAGAAGAACAAGAAAGTTAAGAAAGCTACCCATGCTCACTTTTCGTGCCGATGCCGTGAACTGTGACTGAAGCAGAGAATCTGTTTGGCTATTCAAACGACGTCGAGGCATCACCACTCTACTTCGATATCATCAAGATCGATTACTTTTTCACATGAAAGTTTGCTGGTGAAAATTTCCAGGCCGAAAGGGAGAAACGGCCTAGACTCTAAAATATGCGCCCAAAACGCCCGTTGAATGCGACTGACCCTCCTGGCATCGCCTCGGAGTGCGTGCGATACATGTCCACGTTTCTAAAAACCAAAAAACCGGCAAGCCTACCCTTCCCTTCCCTTGATGACATATACAGAGAAGGAAAAATGACCACGAATCCATCACGCCAAGAAACCCCGCCAACGGCGAACGACCAGTCTCAGACCGCACCCGGGCCTGAGCCCGAGCCATTGCCGCGGTTGTTACCGTCGAGCAGCAGCGTCGGTTTGATGTAGTCCTCATCCAACTGACGGAACAGGCCAGCCGCGTCCTCGGCCCCGTGGCTGAAGAGCTGTCTGATGGCAGATGTCGCCGAGACGTGGTGAGACGCCGCCGGCGCCCCTGCGGCGGGTTCGGTCTGCGCGAGAAGGCCGCCGGCGGAAGACCCGGTCGCCTGTGATACTCCTCCGGAAGCGGCCATCGGGCTCGTGCGGCGCGGATCCCGGCGGGCCGGGGGCGGGAGGTCCGATGTGTCGATGTCGCTTCCCAGGTCCGAGTCCGTCGTATTGCCGCTCCGTCCCAGCAGGTCGGATCTCTCGATTTCAGAGTTCTTGCGGCTGAGGCTTGACTGCCTCTTGATCGGGTTCGGCGAGTGTGAGCCAGAGACATAGCTACTGCGTTCCGATCCCACGGCTGGCCGAGCGGCGTTGCGCGAGGTGATGTTGTCCAGCGACAGGCTGCCGTTCCGCCTAGGATTGTAGCCGATGCCGGTGCTGTTGCGCTTGACATACTGTCCGCCGCTAAACGACTCAATGTCGAATTCGTCGTCGCTATCGATTTCGTCGACGACTCCGGTGCGAATTCCTTGGATCTCCAACATCCGCGCCGTCGTGCCACCAAAGATGATGACCGTCAACACCACCACCACCAGGACGGTGGCTTTGAGCGCGTAGGAGTTCTCGCCGGTGAGCAGCGCTGCGAGAGCGACACCTACGGCTCCGCGCAGACCAGCCCAGAAAAGCATCGCTTGATAATTGTAGGGCAGCTCGTCGCTCACCTCTCCCCCGCCCCTCCGGCGGGCTCTATAGCGGATGACCCAGTTGATGAGGCGGGACAAGGGGAACACCGCTACCCAGCGAGCGGCGCAGACAGCGCAAACAGTGATGATGATCAAAAGCGGTCGGAACTGGAGCGCGTTATCCGTGAACAGCGCGAGACCGAGGTAAATGAAGATAAAGTTCTCTGACAGCTGCGCAAGGATCTGGAAGATGAACTTGGTCGTGAGCTGAGTTCGGCGAGACATGTTGAAATAAGCGTAGTGCTTCAGCGTTATGCCGCAGAAAAGCAATGATACAATGCCTTTGAAAGTGTTAGTGATGTGCAAATGCGACCCAGGGGGAATCATTAAGAATCTTACCAGACATGTGGATGCCGTGCGAGAAGAAATATGTCGCATACGCGATCAACACAACCAGACAACTCTCGTTCTTGGGGTATCGTCGAATGTAGGTGAGTTTCAAGAGCAATGCCGTCAAAACTCCAACAAGTACACCAATCAACAAACTTCCGAAGAAGACGATCAAGAAGATGCCGATACCCTCAAAGAAGCTCAGAACCCCGAGCTTGGAGGCATCGCCTTTTTTGTACTTCTGCGCCGTCTCAAAAATGACGATAGCGATGGCGTCGTTGAGAATGGACTCGCCAAAGATGATGGTGTACAATTTAGGGTCCACCTTGTACGAGTTGAAAATGGCCAAGATGGTTACGGGATCGGTGGCCGATAGGGTCGCGCCTACAGAGATGGCGTCGACGAACGACATACTAATGGACTCGACGCCCGTCAAAGCATAGAGCCAGAGAATGAGACCGATGACGACAGCCGAGAGGAAGGTTCCCGCGAAAGCGAACGTCAAGATAGTCCCCATATTTCGGAAGAAATTGGCCTGATGTAGCTCGTAGCCCGACGCGAGGATAATCGGTGGTAGTAGCAGGTTGAAGAAAATTTGGTAGTCGAAGCTGATGAGGTTTCGGATCGAGTCGCCAGAGGTCACGAGCAAGAGCAGCCCAACAGTCATTCCTAGAGCATGTGTTAGATGCCATCGCGCGAGTGTCGGAAAGGCGACAGGGACGAACCTGCAAAGATTGAGATGACCGTCTCGTGGACGGCCTCGATCTTCCTCTCTTGGAGGAAGTAGCTCGTCAAGAAGGCGGTGATGAGAAGCATAATGGAGATGAACAGCGCCCATGCCGCAAAGATCTCCTTCTGAGAGCCATCGGAGCCTGTGTTATGTGGTTAGTCGCAATCATCGGGAGCGCAAAGACTGGAGGGGATCGTTCGACAGCTTACCCTCAGGGTCGCTCTCCTCGGCGGCACGTTCTAGCACAACAAAGTCAGCTTACGCAGCCTCGAAGCCTGCGAGAGGCAGCGTGTCGATGGATCACATACGGACAAGGCGCAAGGCCGTTCCCGCAATATCCGTTGCTGATATCATATCGTAGAGGTGGTTTCGCGACGGTTTCGTTGTTTACGGGTTGGTGACGGAGTAAGAACCAGAGTCGAGAGGGAAGCTGGGCGACCGGCGGCTCGCGGGTGAGCTCCGAGATGGGCGGATGGCGATCATGAACAGGCCAGGTCGTCGTCGCACGCCGCAGGGTTGTGAGCTGACGACGAGAGTAGAGACTAGGCAGCTTTCAAGATGTCGCTCGGCGTCAATGGCAATGCGATGGACAGCAAAAGGTCAGTTCGGAAGTAAGGTTCGTAGAGGTGTCCACTAGAGGTACAGACGCAGCGCACGTCGACAAGCAGGACGGGACGGGATCCAGTCACTGGTCGGAGGCTGCAACAATGCATAATGGCTGAAAGTGGCTCTGGAGTGATGCGGTGATTGGATGGCTGGTGTTTGACAGGCGGTTTTGCTTGCGTAGCCTCGGCGGGGTGGTAGAGTTACAATCGAACGCGGGCGGGTGTCACTAGCTTTTGGCGGAAAACGCACCGCCAAGCGCAGATCCTAAAGTACTGGGTACTGCGGGCCCTCCACGAAGTACAATGTAAGGTATCCGTAGCTCGGGCCCGAACCCGGTGAGACGGGGTTGTGGGACACGTCGAGTAGTGACCTAAGGACGTCTGTGTTCTGATAAGGTCAATTATTCTCTTTGTATCAAATTCTGGATATGATACCATGCTTTATATTGCATATTCCACCTTCACGCATAAGGTACGGAGCAATGAGTGCAAGTGGCAGGAGGATTGGGCCGAGCTTGGCCGCTGCCCAAGGTACCTGCGGCCCTGGACTGCTGCAGGAAGCATGAATATGGCACGGCACGTGCTTGCTCGAGGTGCCCCATCGCGGGCCGGATTCTAGAATTCGGGCAAATACTGGGCCCAACGAAGCTGAGCAGTGAGGTAACTACCCATTGCCTGAGGTAAGGAAGGCCCATTGTTTTCCCCAGCTTGTCCGGGGCCGTAAGTGATCCAGTGGAAACGGTTGAAGGGACCATCCGAGCTGAGGGTGTTGTGGATGTGCACTGCCGGTAAGACATTTGACACTTGAGGGTGCTGTGCCAGGACTTGTTGGGAAACCGGGGTAGCACTTGACCAAGATCCCTCGTGAGGGCTCATCAGCCGGATGGATGGCACCGTCAGCCGGAGGCGGCTGTTTTACAGACTACCACACGCAGAGACACGGGGTTGCGATCCGAGGGGGGGCCAGATGGGTGAGATGGTGAGATTGTGCCCTATCGTACCTTACTGAAAAGGGCTTATGCAGCGCGCGCACGAGGCTTACACGAGTCCATATTGTCAAGGACAAGTACCGGCGGAGGATGCAAGCCCCTTGAAGCCTGTTATGTTGTTTCTTTCCTTGTTGGCCATTTTGTTTCCCTTCTGACTTTCAAACCATGATGAAATGGCAACGTCGGTGTGCAGATGTCTTTCCCGGGTTGCGCAGCAGCGGCAGGAATTCATGCAGCCATGAGGTGGGCGTTTCGTCTAGGGGAGTTGGGACTGGACGATGCCCCTAAAAAAGATAGGAGCAAACGTAGCGGGTGAAGGAGCTACGGGCAAAGGGGCATGACGTACCGAGTGCGGGGGCCACCCCGGGAACTGGCCAGGAAGCAAGGTCGCTATTTCACCGTCTCTGTGCGATGCCATCGCGACTTGGGCACTTAGACTCTCGGCCCCGCCTCTTCCTGTCTCTCTTGCGTCTCTCTCGTCCTCGCTCTTTTGTCCTCTTCCTGTTCCGGAGACCCGCGCCCTGTTAGCCGTGGAAGATTCCATCAATTCCACCACTCAACTTGCCCGGAACCAAGCGAATAAATATAAACTGCTTCCCCCTCCCCATTCCCTTTCAACGCTGCATGTGTGTCTCGACCATCACCCTGCCCACACTTGTTGCTCTCCCTCTTCGCCACGTGCAGTCTTGATCCATCCGACCAGGCCAGCCTAACCTGCCCGAGGTCGCGTCCAGCTCAGTCCGTCGGCCGTCGACAGTCGACAGCTGTGTCCCTCCCTCGCCTCGCACCGCCAGTTCATCTGCGATTCGCCCCTGGTCTATCTGCCATTGCCAGCGGATCCGGACGGTGCATTTGCCTGCCGCTCTCCCGCTGTCCGCTACATTGCTTGACGAGTCGAGACTCGGAACCAGGCCTATTCTTACCTTAGTATTAGGTACTCGGACATCCAGGCGCATCCCTAGCACACCACCTCGACCTACGGTACAGCTTCTCATTCGCCTTCGCCTGCGTCGAACCGCATAGCCTGGGCTCGAATCAGGAACCGACTTGCACCATACAGTTGGTCATTCAGCCAGGGCGCAGTTCCCAGCCCGCGAATGACGCACACTCCTGCCGCCGCTCTGTCATCGTCAGAAATCGAATCACCTTGTACCAGCAGCCCGTGTTCGGGGGTCTCGTGGCATCCTCCTACTTGACCGCGTGACGGCACAACTTCTTTGTCTGCCCGACCCGGCAACGAACATACACTTGTTATTACATCTAAAAATCCTAGCAGGAATTCATTTACTCCTCCATCGCCTGTTGATTAGTCGTCCCAGTCTATAGACTCGTGCCAATCGATTGAGGCGAGCTCCCCGCATCGAACGAACGCTCTCCAGATTGCCCCGCTAGTGGGCCTGTCCGAAGTCGACCCTCCGAATCGCCTCACTTCCGAGTCGCCGCGGCTTGACGCTCAACGACCGAGGATGCCTTCGTCCCAGTCTCAGTCCCCCAGGAGGGGCCGTCCGATGCCATCAATCGCGCAGAGCACCGAATCTGCATCGTCGAATCCCAAAAAGGAGAGAGGCGTAGCCAGTGAGCGATCGCCCCTGCTCTCGCCCAACAGCGATGATGATGGTTACTTTGACCATCACGTGGTACTGGCAGAGCAGGAAGACACACAGCAAACCAAGAGCGTGTGGTACCTGATTCTCCTGACGATTAGTATCGGTGGTCTGCAAATCGCCTGGTCTGTCGAGTTGTCCAATGGATCTCCCTATTTGCTGTCCCTTGGGTTGAGCAAGTCGTTGATGGCCCTGGTGTGGATTGCTGGCCCGCTGACCGGCACCTTGGTTCAGCCCTATGTCGGCATGTTGAGCGATAATTGTCGACTCCCGTGGGGTAAGCGGAAACCTTTCATGGTCGGCGGGGCTATCGCGACCATCATCTCTCTCATGTTCCTGGCATGGACCAGGGAGATTGTGGGTGGCATCATGAGTCTTTTTGGCGCCGAAGTTGAGTCTGTCGCCGTCAAAAACGCCATCATTTGTGTGGCCGTGGTTGGCATCTACGTCCTCGACTTCGCCATCAACACCGTACAGGCCGCAATCCGGGCCTTCATTGTGGATTGTGCTCCGGCCCATCAGCAAGAGGCAGCCAACGCCATGGCGAGCCGCATCACCGGCTTCGGAAATATAGTCGGCTACATTGCCGGCTACATCAACCTCCCGACATACCTTTGGTTCTTCGGCGACAGTCAATTCAAGGTGCTTTGCGCCATCGCCAGTATTGCTCTTGCGGCAACTATTGCAGTGAGCACCACACTGATTAAGGAACGCAACCCTCAACTTGAAGGCCCGCCGGCTCAGGGCAGGCCCGGTGTATTTTCCTTCTTCGGCAAGATTTTTACCTCAATCAAGCGTCTACCACCTCAGATCAGGAAAGTCTGCCAAGTCCAACTGTGCGCGTGGGTTGGCCTTTTCCCGCTTCTCTTCTACACCTCCTCGTACATTGGTGAGATTTACGTCGAGCCGTACTTGGAGGCCAATCCCAATATGACCCCGGAGGAGCTTGACCGACTGTACGAGCAAGCAACTCGGGTTGGAACCTTTGCGCTGCTCATCAATTCAGTGGTCAGCCTGCTCACGAACGTCTTCCTCCCTTTTTTCGTCGCGCCTACCTACGACAGCCAGCCACTCGGTGACCTCCCAGGAGACAGCGACAGTGGAGAGTTTGGCGATGAGAAGGCGTCCTGGCTGGATCGTCTGCAAATCCCCGGCTTCACCCTCAAGCGGGCTTGGTTCGCATCCATGATTCTATTCTCGGGCGCCATGTTCTGCACCGTTATTGTTCGCACGGTGGAAGCGGCTACAGCCTTGATCGGTCTGGTTGGAATTACCTGGGCAATGACACTTTGGGCACCTTGGGCGATTATCAGCGCCGAGATCAGCCGGAGAGATGCAAAGATACGCCAGGCAAAGCAACGGCAGTTCAGTCCCAGTAGAGGGGGCGAAGGGCAGGCGTCGCCCTCCACCATTGACTCCGCTGCCGACTCGGAACAGACCGACTTGAGCGACAGCGAGGAGACGGACCAGGCCGGTGTCATCTTGGGCATCCACAACATGGCCATCGCTGCGCCTCAAATCATTGCCACGGTCGGATCGAGCATCATCTTTAGAATTTGGCAGAAGCCTCGCGGCACTCCAGGCGATCACTCCATTGCTATCGTGCTGGCCCTTGGCGGTATCGCCGTGCTGGTGTCTTCGTTCTTTATTGCCAGCATCAAGGAAAGCGCTTCCTTGCCAGCAGACGCCATGGTAGCGGCAGAGGAGGGCGACAACGCTGCCCCTGGAAGTCGTCCCAGCACGGCTCGCAGCCGCAATAAGAGTTACGAGCATCTCCCGCGAGCCAGTATCAAGCGTGCGACCCTTACGAGGAACAAGAGTTTTGGTGGTGCCGAGTATTAAAATCTTGGAAGACACTCATTTGGCGTTGGGTTTTGCGGCGCCGGAACGACGGGGAACGAGGTCTCCCCTTGGAATTGGATTCGACCTGGGAAACATGCAAGGAGTTTGGGCATATGAAATGACCACCTAGGCGGAAAGGGTTCTGCCACCCACCCTATTTTTCAATTTTCGATTTTCGAGTCAAGATGTTATTGGACATGGAGCACATCAAGGGAATCAAAGCGATGGGATGGAAGGCACAGGTCCTTTTTCATTGTCCTTCACCAACACTCTAGAATGCGAGAGGAGGGTCATGAGGGTGTAGACCACGATACAGAAGAAGCAGCTTTGCCTGCTTAGAATGACACGGCACGCAGCCGGCGCAATAACATTACGAATGCAGCAATCATCTTGATACAAGTGTTCTGGTAGTCACATAGCGACACGTCGAGCAGAGGCGTATCACGATATTGATGAAGTTTTCTTTCTTTCCAATTATACCCACAACTAACCACCTTCTACCTTTGCGTTATTCTTTCGTACAGTCATCCATTCGAGGAGTGCAGTCACCCTTCATACATTGTAAACGGCAACACACGAGACAGATCTAAGTCTCTGCCCCTCTGGTGTGAAAAAAGGCCCCCAACCAGTCATGCCGAGACAAAAAAAAAAAAGACAAAAATGATAACTCCTTTCGGGGGTCTAACTTGAGCCCCCTACCCAATGCATTTCTCTCATTTCGTGTTTCTTTGGTTTTTCATTTCTTCTTCTTTCCATTCGCCTGATAGCTGTGCTTGTTTGCTGTTCCGCAATCAGATCATACATACTTACCCAACCCCATATGCTAGAGAAGGGAGCTTCCAACATCGACGTCGTCTCGGTCGTAATAGAGGAGGAGGTATGGTAAAGGTGAGGGCTGGTTTTACTCGTCGTGTAGAAATCGTTCGTCGTTTACGGGGGTTTTCTGTTCTTTCAAAACTCCTTACTTAATCAAACATGTCGGCGCCCGTGGGGCGGCTCGCGCTGCTCCGTCTACGCTCCTGCCTGCGCCTGCGACGATTATCGGCTGCTGCGGTTTCGACGAGGTTAGTCTTCTGGGCTGCTGCGGCACTGGGCGAGGGGCTGCTCATTTGGCTCCATGTACCGTGGGTGTTCTCGCTGCCTATGCTCGAGACGTTTCCTTCGCCCATCATTCCCGGCGGAGGTGGCGGCGGGCCACCCGAGTAATATGCCGAGTCCTTTGGTTGTCGGCCCGCGGCGAAGGCAGGGTTCGGCGGCGGGAGGCTACCGTCTCTTGCTCCTCCTGCTCCCGTCTCCGCCATTCGTTCGGCTGCCGATTCTGCCCTCCTCTGGCTCGAGTCGCGGCGGTATCGTCGCCCGCTGCCAACTTCGCTCCCGTATAGGCTGCTCACGGACTCGGCGCGCCTCCGCCTTTCGCCGCGCCTGCTGGCGGCGGCTTCCTCTTCCGTCAGCCTCCGCAGCGTGATGTTCCTGTCCTTGTCATCGTGGACCTTGACCTTGACGCTCACGGGTTGCGAGCGCTCAGACTGGGCGCGGTGGCGGCGCGCGTTCTCCTCCGCCGCGAGCACGCTCGCCGAGGCGACGGCCGCGGCGGCTGCCTCTTCGCCGGCCCGCCTGCGCTTGGAGGAGTCTCGTCGTCGGGGCCGGCCGCTAGGCGAGCCGCCGTAGGCGTCGCTCTCGGATTCGCGGTGGAGGACACCTGCTGGGTCGGGAGGCATCGCTGGCATGCTGATGCCGGACTCGACGACATCGTGCCTGGAGAAGGTTGTTCGGGAGTGGTCACCGACGGGGTAAATTCCTGGCCCGCCGGGTGGCGGTGGGGGACCGGCGGAGAGGGGTGGCATCGGCGGGCCTCCGTAGCCTGTGCCGGGAGGGCGGGGTTCCAATTCGGAGGATTCGGTCATTTGTGTGATTTCGGTGCTCAATGCAGACATGGGAGGTCTCGGTCGCCGCCCACTCATGCGGCGGGAGCCTCTCCGGTCGCGAGATGGGGAATGGAAGCCGTCTCCCGTATACCTCGATCCGGTGATGCCGGACCTCATGTCCTCTTCTTCTCGGATCCTGTGCTCCTCTGCGCGCTTGGACTTGCGGTCGGCCAGCTTCTTAGCGAACCATCCCAGACCCAGGCCCGCGAGGATGCCCTTTCCGGCCCCACCGGCGGGGCCGGCGGGTGGGTCGTCCCTCCGTCTGGACGGGCTGACGTACGATGAATATTCCGAGTCCTCGAAGCTATACTGAGATCGGGTCCTGGCGTGCGGGGGACGGTGGGTTCGCGGTTCAGCGGCGCTCAGGGCCGCGGCTGCGGCTGTCGGTCCTCCAGGTGGCGGTAGGATGGAACCGTCGCGGGGTCCACGCCTGGGTGGTGGGGTGTCCTCAGTCCAGTCTGTGTAGTCGGTATACTCACTCGTAGCGGGGTAGCTCCGGCTCGGGCGACGTCTCGGTGTCTCTACTGATACGGCAGAGTATTCTTCGTCGTACGTCTGCTTCTCCTTGCGCTTCATCAGATTGGACACAAGTTTGCCAGCACCCAAGACGGCGCCGACGCCGGCCAGCTTGGACAGGAAACCTCCCGATTTTTTATCGTCCCGTCGAGAATCGACTTCGGTGAACTTTTCGTCTTCGAGGTATGTGCCTGAGCCCCTTCGGGACGTGAGATAGCTGGCGGATCCACGCCGTGAACCAATCACCTCCGGCCCCCGGCTGTGACTTCTCGATCGCGATCGCTCTCGGCTGAGTTCCTTCTCCTTCTCCTTGTGCTTCTTGCGACTGAACAAAGCGGCGATTGTCGCCCCCGCCGCGAGGGGAGCCAGCCACTTCCGGTCCTTTTTGGGTTTCTCGGTGTAGACATCGCTGTAGTACTCCGACTCGGTGATGCCGCTCGGGCCTTCAGAGCGGCCTCCGCTGATGTAAGTCTCGCGACCACGGTGGTCTGCGCCCTCGGCACGGTAGCTGAGGATGAAGTAGACGAGTAACAGGAAGGCTAGCCATAGGGAGAAGATGACGAAAGTCCACTTGGGCGAGCCGTAGAGAGTCAGACCGAGAGGGACTTGGATGATGCCGAGGAGCGCAATGAGCCGCCCGCTCCAGCGGTGAAACATTTTGCGAAGCGAACGTCCCCTGATGTGTCTCACAAGCCGGCCACCGATGATCTGGAGGAGGAACATGATGAAGATGGCCAGGCCGATTGCGTGGTGCGGATTGGTCCAGCTTCGTTCGGGGCCGACTGCGAACCAGCCCAGGACAAAGACGGCAACGAGCATGAGCGCGGCGAGGATGTTGAGTTGAGCGTGGTAGGGTATCGCGTAGCCTGGTTTCGCCGTGTAGAACCGGGCTGTGAAGACGGCCAACGGGACGATTAGGAGGAAGATGATGGCGGCCATGACACCATGGGCGAGTACTAGAGTATGATACTGGGCGACTGTGGAGAAGCGATTGCCCATGCCTGTGGGTGTCGCGTGTTAGTCGGGCTGCCGGCACAGGTGAAGGTCGAGTTGGAGAGGATGCTCACCATTGTACTGCATCGTCTCGAAATTGAGGCCGACGAGGTTGGGCAATAGGAAAGTGTTCTTGCTAAAGTCCCAGGTGCCATCGCCAACCGTCATTGTGTTGGAGTCGTAGGAAGCGACGCCCGGCGCCGAGTACCCATCTGCCGGCGCCATGATGGCGACGACGGGCAAAGCGGTCCTTCAGTCGGCGTCGGTAGAGTTGAGGAATGCGGGATGTCAGGTGGGTGGGCTGGTCTCTATCGTGGGCGACTCGACTCGAAAAAGGGACCCCCGAGGAATGTGTTTGTCTTGGAGGGGTTGGGAGGGTCCCTATGAGCCGGTCGGTGAGACGTCCGGAGGTAAGTGTGGGTGGGATCTCGGTGTTGGTAAATGAGTGAAGCAGAGAAGACGGTGTTTCTTCTACTCCAACTCAAAAGAGTGAGGTTGAACAAAGAAATCTCTCGATATAGACCACGAGGTACTAGTAATCTTTAGGTAGTGAAGAGAGACTACTACCTAAGGCAGGCTGTCGCAAGAAAAAGAGAGGGTGAGTGTGGGTTGGCCAAGTCTGTGAGCTCACCAGCAGCAGGGGCAGGTCTTCCGCTGACGGCTGGAACTGGAACCCGACCCGACCTTGCAGACGTGGTTGCGCGGGGTAACGAGGTCCTGCTTGGCGCCACACTCCTGGCTTGACGACGGTGAGCAGCTTATCGATAGGCAGAAGCTCTTATCGCACGTGATAGAACCCACTTCTTTAGCTGGGGTTCCCCATTCAATCGAGCAAACGGGTGGCTGGGGACTAATTAAATTTTGGATGAACCTGGCAGGCGCGGCGCGCAGCTTTACTTGCACCTTGCGGTCTTGAGCGACCTTTTTTCTCGTCGACTTTGGGGATCACAGTTCGGATACGCAGTGGCAGTGAAACGGCGAGGAAAAGGCAGCAGAGAAAAAGGTCTCGGATCTGATAATGAGTCACCCGTACAGACCTGCATGCCACACAGGGCAAACTGTTTCTTGACGGGACCCAGCGACCAGCAAACAGGTGCAGCCTGGATGCTTCAGCATCAAAGCGCTGTCCCACCGTCGAACACGTCAAGCTGCACAAGCGCAAGTGGCTTTGCAACGTCACCCAACCTCGACCGACTCCGTTTTCCCAGCCATTCAATAAGCGTTCGTTTATTTTTTTCCAACGTCTTTTTCTTGGCCTTGAGGCTGACAACAATACCCCTGAATACAAGAGCCGCAAACATGCATTACTTGAGGTAGCATCACTTTTTCCCCTTTTCTATGCATAGTCACCGCCTTTTGATCAGTTTGCGGCTTGCGGCTTGCCTCGAAAGCGTTCCCCATCTTCAACGGGCCGGTCCGCTTCTTCACCTTGCGTTTCCAAGGCCTTCGTCTTCCTTCTGGTCTCCGTCGAGCTGAGTTTGTTTCAGGAACAGACCGCGACTCTGAAATCATGAGGCTCGCCGCCGTCGCCGCCGCCACCACCCCAAGCTGTGGAGGCCTCGGGGCCAGTTTGCCTGGAGAAAAGAAACCCACACTTGGGCACGAACAACGTTTGTCATCTCGGAGTCATGGACCTTTTGAGAATCCCGTCGTCTTTGCAAAGTTCAGTTCGGAAACACGGCGAATGCAGAGGAAAAGAGTCATCCACTCTCAACATGATTCGGGCTCAGATATCACCTACAGAGTACAGACAAGAGCATGACCTAATCCAATCAATGCTGCCCGTTCGAAGTCCCATTCGAGCCCTGCCCGGGCGCCCTCGCCAACACACTCCCATATCTGGAGTAGTCATCCTTCGGCGACGGCACAAAGTGCTCAGGCGTCAACCTGGCACGCGGCTCAAACACGCAGATAATGTCCGACCCGCCAAATAGGAAAGTCGAGATCTCGTCGCCCTTCTTGAGCTTCTGCCCCGCGCGGACCGATAGCTTGACCGACGAGACCATGGCCATGCCAATCGGCAGCACGGCCACTTTTCCAAGGATCGGATTGTCGATGACGATCAGGCCCCTCGTCTGGAGGAACTGGTACCCCGGGGAGTCGGGCGCCTCGGGCCGGCAGGCCGGGTCGTCCTCGATGTCCTTGGCCGTCAGGAAGAGCTTCCGGATCGGACGACACTTTTGGTCAACCTCAAGGTAGGCCGCGCCCTGGATGTTCTTGGCCTCGATGACCATTCCAGAGACGGGCGCGTGCTGCCGGTGGTAGTTGAACGTGTTGAGGAAGGCGTGCATCCAGACGCCCCCGTGGAAGCAGTCTGCGTATTTGCTGCCCTGGAGCAGGGTTCCGATCGTCCAGGGGAGGCCCTTGATTTCAATGATACCTGTGTCCTGAATGTTGACGATGCTCTGGTTGTGAAGCGAGTTGTCGTAGGTGCAGTCCGCCGGGTAGGTGATGACCCTGTCATCGTCAAGGTCCGCGATGGGTCTCACGCCCGGCTTGAGGTGTCGGGAAAAGAAGTCGTTGAACGTGCGGAAACCGCCCTCGGGGATGAGCGCCTCCTCCTTAATCATGTACTTTGGCGAGTCGACAAACGTCTGGAACGTTGCCTCGCTGATAGACGCGGGGGTGTCCATGAAGAGGCCGATAAGCTGCGCAAACACCACGATCCAGCTCGAGAGCGGGGTCAGGGGCAGCCCGACCGAGCTCGGGTGGATGGGTGTTTGGTCCTGGAGCAGCGGCTGCTGGTCGAGAATGAAGTAGAAGAGGCACAGGATATCATAAATGTCCTTGGCATCGACGTTCTCGGTAGGCGTCCACTTGAGCATCTTGTTCGCAAAGATGTAGAAGGTCTGCGCGTCCTCAATCTCCATGATTCTCATAAAGTCCGGGACCTTTTCCATGGCCGAGCGGATGGCCTCAGTCAGGTCCTCTTTCTTGATGAGGGATATGAAGACCATGATGATAGGGTTGAAGTGAATGATCCCTTCATTTCCGATGGGCTCATAGGCGGTCGGCGACATGAAGGCACCCCACGACTTGCCTTTGGAAGCCCATCCTGGGATAGAACCGGGTTGCTTGAGAAAGGGGTTCGACGGGATCGGCTGGAAGCCGACTTCCTCATCCGTAGCGGTAGGAAGGCCTGGCATGGTGATGTTGCAGTAATTGGGGCGGGTGGAAAAGTAATGTGGAATGAAAAGTCTTGCTTGGTTCTCAATTTGAATCTGAAGCTTGATGGCCAAGAAGAGCCTGATTCTCCTCATCTCCGTCCGAGGTCTATGGGTCATTTATAGACGAGCCAGACTGCCTCTCGACAAGGACATGGAGATGAACTGTCAACGGAGGCAGGGAGCTGGCGCAGGCAACGGCTCGTTGCTTTACCGTTGCCGGAGACTGAGACGGGCTTCGGGAGAGCTGCTTGCTGTCTCACAACCCTCCTACTGATCAACGACACCCCGCGCAGGTGTCTTGTTACTCCCGTCCTGACGCGCACTCGTACGATGCCAGACCCGGACACAAGATACTCATGTCAGGTAAGCTCGGTAGGGTGTCACGATGTATCCTGCATGGGATGATGTTGATGCTATGTGATATGCGAAATTTCGTTTCCTCGGCTCTCCGTACAGAGCGTAATGTCTGGACAAGCGATGCATCACCCACGACGCGTCCACGGGTGTAAACGGAACCTGTCAAACGGTTGTGTAAGTCGGGGCGAGAAGGCCAGCGTAGCAAGAGCTGTGATCTGCTGCGACGTGTCATCGTTCTGCAGAGTGGTGTTGTTGGACTGATTGGTCCTGCTACTGCCCGCAATCGCGTTTAAATATCAGTAAACGGGGAGACATCTAGATGCAGGTTTCACTTCACCACACCCTTTACTACGACTCTCCATCCATCCCTTGACCGCGTGGTATAGAAACAACCAGGAGTAGATCTGAATTTCCTGATCCACTCATCTAATTCCTTAGCATAATGAAGCAGAATGTTAGAGCCAGGAGGTGAGAGTGTAGGTGAGGATCAAGACGATAGATTACTATTCCTGTGTTGAACGCAGCTTAAATAGAAGCATTGGAGCCAAGGGCCGACCCGAGAAAGAGAGGGAGAGAGAGACTTGCTGGGTCTTGCGTTCACTTATTCGCATACTCACGAGCCCCGGGACAATGTGTCGTTGGATTGACGTCGCATGGAACAAATGGGAGATGGCCGTCCTTCGTTTACCAACACAATTGAGATTAATTGAAGCTCTGAAGCAACCATGCCGTTGTCTTTATTGCCCGACGGCGTGCCTGCGATGTAAATCCTTCTATATCTTAAGCCTTTGGCCCAGTGATTGCTTGTGACTCCTTTAGGAAACCAGGCCGATACTCGATATGGCGATGAAGTATGGCCTAAACAACGGACACATGTATATGCCTCTACACTTAAGGATTGAAATAAGACGAATGAGATGCAGCTGACTTGATCCACTCAGCTCAGAGACTCTTCCTGCCGCGCCTAGGAGTTCAGCCGCTCGAAACGACGAGCTGCCAGGCTACCGCTACTGCCTGTGTCACCGTCATCATCTTTTGTGGCGGCATTGGGACTAGCAATGTGGCAGAAGCTGCTTGGATAAACCTCGGGGGAAGTCCACAAGCGCAGAGGGTGGCAGCAACTTATGTCAGATCAGTCACACTTCCAGCACAATTTCGTTCTCGGTGGTAGAATATAAAAAAGAAGATCCAGGCGCGGTCTATGAAAGGGTAATGGTGTCCAGAAGGACGATCAGAAGGACCAGACTAACTCAAAAACATTGGTGGTAGCAAGAGAAGTGTCAGCATGAGAAGTGATACCAGACTACACTCAACATCCCCCCACATGAACCATATCTAAAGCGCTAGAATGCAACATTCGAGAGAGTGACGATGTCATTGCTATAGTCTTTCCAGGATCTGTTCATGACCTTACAATTTGTCCCAAAATGGCACCAAGTCCTCTCCTTCAACAATGATGTGGTAGCTATGATTTTCAAAAGAATTAGATGGGAAGTCACCAAGGGAGCCTAGAAGTCACGGAACTTGCAACCTAGATACAGCAAGCCTCGCCTTCCCAGACCTGCCAGCGTTTTCCACAGCCTTACCGTCACCCACGACTTCCCCCATGCAAGTGGCGCAAGCGACATGCAGTCAGCAGCCCAGAGTGGAAATAGCCTCGTGATCGATATTCGCGAGCGCAACCCAAAGATACGGCGAACCAAGGATGGAAGGACTACATTGGGAAATGCCTTCCACATCCTTGTCTACAACATGGACCAGGCTTGGCAACATGCATATAATTACGGCTTGGCCCCGCCCAGGCTCTCATAGCAGATGCGGCCAACCAAGTGAGCAGGCTACGAGTTGGAGCAACTCTAGAGGACGCAAACATGTCGGAACGCGAGAGCGGGCGTCCAGCATCGATGATGGGAACACATGGCGTGGAACAACAGCCCTTCTGGAAGGCGTACAATGTTCCTAAAGAGGATGACGATGTCTTTCAGAGCTACATCAATCGTGAGTTAGCGAAGACTACCCAAATTAACCAACTAACTCCGTGCAGGCCATAACAGAAAGTTCCCCATAGCACTTGACGCATTCCAACCCAAAGAAGACCAAATTAGTAATTGGGTCAAACCGCCAAACCCAGAGTGTTTTGCTTCGTTTGGAGATAATGGAGTCACGGCGACCGTTAATGCGTACGGCGACCTGATGCAATTCAGCAACTATCTGGGTGTTAGTGATTCCGGAATATTTTCTGCAGATCATCGCGACATAGACGAGCCATATTGGGTGGGTGACAGAGCTGAGCAACTGCTCGAGATGCGGCGAGATCGACGTCGAATGAGAGTTTCGTACGGCCTGCGGATTCCCATCATAAATCTTGAACAATGCCGTCTTCTAGGCTATGTCCACGACAGATGGCCGCGGTATGAAGTTGAAGACGAACCACTGGGACCCAAACTCACTACGCAGTGGATGGTTCATGAGAAAACAATCCTGCAGCAATGTCTGATTACCAACATCGGGGTAGCCGAGGCGGCTGTTCCGATCGAATTTGCGAGGGGCATGCGCCTCCAAGACTTGAACTTTTTGAAAGTTTTTGACGAATTCGACAGCCTTCCTAGAAGGATCACCCGATTTCAAACCTTGAGCCCAAACGGTTATGGGTGGGCTTTGGTTCATCCTTTCTTGCGCAAGGAGGTGGAAGAAGCAAATTTACCACCAGTCGACCAAACCGGAACGAACCCCGAGGACCCACCAGTCGAGCTTTCGGATGCCATTGCAGTCGTGGTATCTGTGTTCATAGATGGTCAAGCAGTCATGTGGAATTCCAACAGCCTGAATGGCCCGGATGACACCAGACTGTTGGTCCAATCTTTGAAGGAGAAGGCCACGATGGAGGTTGTCACCGCCTACAAGATGGTACATCTAACCAAGGCTAGTGCCACATGGGAAGAATTCCTTATTCCGCCGGCCTGGGCGGATGTTAACAAGCATCTTGCGTCAGTGTCATTCACCGCCTTCCACCCTTCAGATTACGGCAAGCCCGTCGCAGAAATCGAGGAAGAGAAATCCGGAGGAGTCTTTGCTCGCTGGATGAGATCTTCTTTATCGGCCAATGATACACAACCACATGGGCTACCAACGGACAGCCTGGTCAACCACATTGACTTTGTTGTTCGTCGGAACCTAGAGCACATTCTGTCCACTTGTGCTCTGCCCATCGAAAAACCTTTGGTGGAGGGAGAAATTGCGGCAGTTGCTTTAACATGTGGCGACGTATCAGGGCATCGAGTGTGTTCTTCAGCAAGTTTGTAAGATAGCACCCCTCCCCCTTTTGGCCCTTCAGGCGTCTTCATTTGTCTTTGTTCAACACGTCCTAATCTCCTTAGCTTTGCATTCTCATTTCTACTTGAAATTGCAAAACGTTTGAATGCCATCGAGAAATCCTATCCTGAGCATCCTTACAAGCCGTTGCAACGAAGAATCGACTTGGTCTGTCGTGGCCATTTGAAGTGGCTTTTAAAAGCTCATCTGACGGAAGAAAATGTCTTCGCGGCGAACTATTGGGCAACAGGCCGAACCATGGTCGCCGAGGCTTATTCCGAATCTTTCATTCCAAGTAACTCTTTCACCGACACACCATTCCAACTTATGAAGGCGTCCGAGTTTTCGAGTCTCTATAACAGCAAAGACGACAGGGACTTGGCACGACAGGTTATCCGGAAGGTTGGCAAAGCTTGGGTTGATACACTTCACAAGTCTGACAAGCGTACTTCCCACGTTTGGCCTCATGCACAAGATGAAGGGTGCAACAAGTACAGACTGAATGAACATGTCTGGATCTGGAGAGCTTTGAGAGCGATCGAAGATGACCGGCAGAGATCTTCCGACACGAAGAAATTTCCGGGTCATGGTCAGATGGCTCTTATAGAGGACCCTGAGAACGGTCAAGAAAACGGAAAAGAAAATGGCATGGGTCAGCGGGACAGAACCAACGGTTATGAAGAGAAGCTTTTCCGACATTTCGACTCTGATGTTGTCCAACGAGACATCCTACGGCGGTTCACAGTCGAGAACGACGTGTCGAAGAAACGCATGCTGGCAACGACACGATCTTCTCGAGAGACGCGCTTTTTGCTTCATGCCAGTGACACCGCCCTATTCTACGGCATTGAGCGGGACTTCTTCTTGCCAACATTGATTGATGAGGTGTGGGACAACACGATTGAGGCCCAGGTGCATCACAACGAGAACTCAGAGACAGGGTGGGACAATTCGATGCGCTATGCGCTGGCAATTATGATGGGGGCCAGAAAAATGCGCCTTAATAAAAGATCACCAAAAGGCTTGGTCAAAACTGCATTCGATGTTCTGTTTCGGACCACCAGTCCAAACGGACTCTTTTATGGGCAGCTTGACGGAACAACCAAAGAGCCAAGGCTGTTTGCTAGGGCGGAAGATCGGGATTTTTATTTTCACGCCAGTTTCGAAATTCCCTACATTCTTCTGACGCATTGTTGGAAAATCAGCTCTACACTGAAAGATGTTTCTGAGAAAGGTCCCGAGTTGTCGCCAGGATTCACAGCAACGAAAACGACACCACAACACCCTTTCAATGAGGTCGCAGAGATGATCACACAACAGCCAAAAAGGCAAGAGCACAGGTCGCCTACAATCCAAGTACCTGCCGCCGAGACAGTTGAAGCCCAAAGCCTCTCTCCCAGCAACTACCTTGGAGTCAAGCCTAAAAAGCCAAAGGTAACGGCTATGAAAAAGAGTACCCCGTTCAACAGCCTCATTGACCAGAGCAGCATCGTCGATTTGGAGGAAGAATGGCTCTACAACTTTCCATCTTTTTATGGTACCAATGAATACACTATTTACGACTTCCATGCCGAGGTGCAGAACTGTCGACACCGATAGAGAGCAGCCATGGAGGCACCGTTGTTACCAAAGCTGCCGAAGCATACATCAGGGAATTTCCAGAGTCGGAGAAATTTCAAGGTGTAAATCCCGATTCATTCTTCAAATACTTGGACAATCTGGCGTTGGTAGGAAATATCCGAAAGCAAAAGAATCTCAGTAAGCAGCAGAGAGCGTCCGGTGACGACGTTCGGTACACCAAGGGCAACTTTGACCTTTTCTCCGCCTGTAAGCTGCCTCGCACAGCTGAGAAGGCCAAAAAAAGGCTCATATGGCTACCGAAAGCGGTTGACGAAAGTGCTCTAGTCTGCTACGTCAATAGTTCACCAGATGAGCAAGCAGCAATGTCCCGTTTCTTTGACTCCCATTTCCACTACGAAAACCAGTTCCTCGAAGAAACAACAATGGTCCTCAACATTTGGAACAGTGAACTCCATCTCAGCTTTCATCGGCTGGTCGAAAAGAATTATGAGCCGCATCGGGGAATCCCCCCGTTGAGCTGTGAGGAGCTCCCGGGCAACGCCAAGTGGAAGCTCGCGCAAGCCTCGATGGGATTTCGGATTTCTGGAGACTTCTTTGACCGGTACTGGACCTGCCACTTTATAGAATACATTCCAGGTTATGGGATGCGGGAAGACGCACGTGATAATGAACCATGGGACGAACAAGGTTGGCGGCAAAGGAAAGTGCTCGAGCTGCTTCTTTTTGACAGGATCATGAAGCAGATTTTGCGAAGCACTAAAGGGATCTTCGAAATGGTCAAACATGAGCTGGGCGACAAACGCGGCGTCATCTCATTCTCGGCTCTCAACAGTGTCGAATACCTTTCATCCAGCACCAAGTGGCAGACCTACCAGCAGATACTTGAGGTAGTAGAGGAAGAGCTCTCTGACGTACTGTCGACCGTCTCTAAATGGGAGACGCGCGAGCAAGATAGGGGCCAAGAGCGACCACGTTGGACACGTAACGACGAGCGGAAGTACCGCGGCTTCATCGGAAAGATGCAAGCGGCGACCGGCCGCCGCATCAGAGATTTGCAGAAACAGCGCAGCGACATCCGGTCACTGAAGGATCAGATCATTCGAGAACAGCAACAGAGCCGCGACAACGTCTCGGTAATTGACGCAGAAAACGTTCGACTCTTTACGTACGTTACTGTCGTCTTTCTGCCTCTCGGCTTCGCGGCCAGCATATTTAGCATGAGCGAAACGCCGCCACATGATGTTCTGAAGCCCATGGTTGTATGTTCCGCCGTTGCGCTTGCCCTCACGTTTGTAGCGCTGGGGAACGCAAAGAAAGTTTCGACGGCGATAAACAACTACTCTCATGCGAAGATGAACAGCAGCTCAATGAACCCTGCACACGCGATACGGAGAAACGACGTGCGGAGGTCGCCCAAGCACCATGAGGAGGAGGCCAAGGTCGACGAGGAGTCCGAAAAGGACCGCAAACGTGGTGGTCCTGGTTCAAGCCATCAAATCAACCACAAAATTAGCTTTTCGGGGCACATATGGTTCTGGGTAGCCTACATTTTTATTGATCTTCCTGCTCGGAGGGTCTTGGTGGCATACTCCGACTTGAAGGCCCCAAAGCTTAAACGATGGATCACGTACGTTCATGTCATTATAGGCGTCATTGTTTTGCCTGTGCTACTTATCTCTCGTCTACTCCAATTCTTCGTTTGCATCGCTATGGACTTGGTTCAGCTTGCTTGGGGTAGGTCTATTCTCCCTCAATCCGGACTGCTCGAAGGATTGTTTTTCAAAGTAATCAACCACAGGGTTCGTCACTATTCTCGTCACACCAGACACAGCAGATGAGTATCAAGACTTGGGGTCCCATATGTACTGGTTGACAAACCCCACGTCTATTTATCGACCACTCAGCGACAGAGTTGCAGATATGAATACACATTTATCAAAGCTACGAACTAAGAAACAGCAACGCGGTACGGAAGAACATTCCCGTGTGGGAGAGACATGACAACGTGGCATGTCTGGTGGATCTCGCCTATACTGTCAACCACATCTTGGGCATCTTACCACTCACATAACGATGATTCTCAAGAACAGCAAAGGACGGACTCATCCACACTGTTATTTGCTGAAATTGGAGTTGCCTTCTTATTTTGCTAGCGCTATTTTCAGCTCACACTTTCGTTTGATGCGGTGCTAAGTTCGTTAAAAAGACAGTGGACAGTATTCGGCAGCAATCGGACGATTGAGACTTCTAACATCGTGGAAAAGAAAACCACAAGCTCAGTTTCCAACCTCAATGGTCTCCGTCTCCCACTCCCCAATCAAGGATCCTGCGCCAGCACCGACGGACCGCAACGTTTCCGGACTTTGCAATACCTCCTCCGTGGTCATGCCGGGCCAGACGGCCATCCATCTCCCCTTCATCGCCACTTTGGCCTTGCCAGCCTCCAACACATATCCCGGTACCCTCGGCTCGCGCAGTTCGACAACCTGGTCCGCGCTCTCGCCAGGCCGCAGCGTCACGAGCGACTCGGCGCCGGGTGGCATCTTGCGCTTGATCATGATGGCGTGGGCCTCGATCGGCTTGAAGGCCCCAGCCGGTTGTATGGACACCTGACCCAGGGCGAGGGCCGCAGGGTCAAGCGGGGAGTTCCATTTCAGGAACGTCACGGGCGTGTCCGGGTGGGTGTTCTTGACGAGCACTGAGATTTTTGGGGGCGACGTGCCGGACTGGGAGAGGCTCAGCTCGAGATTGTCGAGGAAGGACGAGGATTCAGAGGACATTGTCAAGAATTGCAGTGGAGAGTAAAAGTAGAGTGTAAGGACGATGACGGCGCCTAATGTCAGGGCGGCCGTGAATGAGAGAGGCCCTCGGCTACGGCTACGGTGATGAGAGCGCATGTATGATGACTCGTTTCTGACTAGGGATGGTAGTTGAATAAAGAGAAGCAATGTCAAAAGAATCTCTCTTCAGACACAAAGGCTTCAATGAGTCGATGGTATAGAGGCGATGTCAGGCTGCGTGGGTGCTGCAGGAATAATAATGATCTCACTGGGCCAAGCGAAGAGACAGAGAGAAAGTGTCATGAAGATGACGATGTTGTGCCACGACAGTCTCCTGACAGTCTCCAGGAGGAGGCGAATTGAAGTTCCTCATTGGGTCGTCCCCGGCTTTAACGCTCAGTTAGGCAGGTCGAAGACTCAATGAATGGACGGACGTTTGTAGGATATGGGGGCTAGACCGAGCATGAATGCGGGGCAAACAATTGTCATGTACGGATACACGCGCGTACGATGTTGTCGCTGCCGAGATTAGGTAGCCCTGAACTAGCCCAGTGCCACCCCTGGCGCGATTGTTCCGTAAATCAAGACGGCACGCAGCCAAGCCTTGCCGAGAACGCATTTTCGTCGATGGCGGTCGGTAGTGAGAATAAACAGCTAACCAGAGTCGAGCCGGCCCACAACTCTATTTACTTTAAACTCCGAACCCGGCACACTCATTCACCAAATCGACGTCTTGTTAAGCTACTAAGGAAGGGGGTGTTTTGCCTCTTCCCAACCATGGTTCCATTTGTACACCAAAGCAGCCGGGGATAGCTTCAGTTGCAGTAAGATATGTCGATCCGTTACGAGATGCCCCCCCCTGTACGAATCCGTCCGCGGCTGCGCGCCTCGGTTAGTGATTAGGTTGGCGTTTTCCTTCCTGTTCGTATCCATCTTGGATATTGTCGGATAGTTTCCATCCTTCACACCCGCATCCCGAACCACTGGGAAACAACCGTGGTGGAATGCCCGTGGCCTCACACTCGCATCCTTCAAGTTTCTTCTCTGTCATGCAACTTACTACTGGTTTGAGGCCCGAGAAGGGCTCTCTCCAGGGGGGTAGGCTTCTCTTCCAGGAGTCAGGAAGTAGCCATAAAGCCTTCGTCTCTCGTCGTCTGCCTCCATCTTGCTTGAGAAGAATTCGGCATCTTATACAGCTACTTATGGCGTTACTGCCGTAAACATTGTCTGACATCATCGACAGTTAGCAAGGTTGCCCTGACTGGCGAACGAGTCTACATCCACGCTGCCTTCCACGAGTCCCTAAACGCTAAGCGCGTCATCATCCAGTCCCATTGCACGGGCACCAAGAAGACGGCCGCCAACGTCGGCACCCGGCTGCAGCAGTACTTCAAGTCGACGTCGTCGAGCACAAAGACCACCGTCGCCGGCGTCTTTGGCTATGCCACCGCCCTCCTCGGCAGCACGTCGAGCGGCGCCGGCCGGATCTCCACCTCTTGTGGAGCTGTAGTCTACCCTAGGTATATTCAACGCTGGCTATACCGCCAGGTAAGGTAGGGACGGGATGAGAAGACAAGGCTCTAGATTCGGATTCGAACCCCTGCGGGTGTTGCACCAAGAGCCTCATCGCAGCTGCACCTCTCAGCTCGCACTCGGCAGCGTTCCGGCGCCCACGACGAGAAGCAGAAGCAAAACTTCCTTCTCCGAGAAGTCCATTTGGGCCGTCTAGACCTACACTGATGATTCATATTCCCTTTTGTAATGCGCTGAAAAAGCTGCTCGGGATGAGGAAAGGCGAAATCACTTATCTCCCGCCTTTTACCTCTTCGGTTTTTCCGTGCTGCTGTTGAAAGGACTACCTCAGCAAGGACTCTCGGCATTCCTGGATATACGACAGCTACAACGACATATGCAATATTGTTCTGTACCAAATTGACCTCGAATCGCTCAGCCATAGGTCGTCGTATCGTACACATTAATGGCAAGCAAAGACTCTCTCCTCCAAACGCAAACTCCAGCATCCCCATTCGAACCCGCACCCACCCGGCCCCGATCATCATCATCATCATCGTCGTCGTCATCAAGGAGGCACCCACCCAAGCTCCTCAATAGGCCACTGAATCCAAAGCCGATGATCCTGATCAAGCACAGCCCACGCCCTCGAAATAAGATGCGTAGCCCACCCCTGAAGCCACCACTCATTCTCCAATCTCTTGAGCAGTATACAAAAATGCGCAAAAATGGCAACAGCCTCCTGCGTCGCGCCGGGGCTCTTCAACAACGGCAAGAAATCCTCCGCCATCAGGTACTTCCACACAAAGGCATCAGTGATATCCATGCCCCGCCCGCCGTCCCACAGAAACCCGCTCAGCGTCCGCCGCAGCTCGTCAATGGCGCGGTTGTACACGGGCAGCAAGGCCGCGTCGCCGCACGTCTTGTTGACGAGGCGCTGTAGGTCCGCGAGGAGGTCCGAGTGGACCTTGGCATGGTCGCGCGTGTGCAAGTAGCGCTCGCGGCCGTGGTTGAACATGGGGGTCAGCGGACCGGCGTAGGTGTGCGGGTCGAGTTCCTCCAGGAGGGAGCGGGTGCCGCGCAGGAGGAAGAGCCAGTCTGGGAAGGAGGACTCGCCCATGATCAGCGAGTCGGAGGACTTGCGTGGGCAGGCGAGAGCTTTTTGTGATGGGGTGTTAGGTCTGGTTCCTGCAGAAAATCGTACTTTTCGTGCTCCGTTGAGAAGCTGAAAAAGGGGGGAGGGTGGGGCAGGCAAACATACCAAAAAAGATGGTCAACACCGAAAACAGATACAACTTTTCGCAATTCTCCCCGTCCAGCGCGCCCATCAACCCAATGGCCGTCCGGCTCGCCATTTGGTGATACGTCAAGGCCCGACTGATAAAAAAATCCCGCCTCTCGGGCCTGTGGTGCGCGAGGTGCAGCGCTGACACGCTCAGGAGGGCCCTCATGACGTAGTCGCACTCGAGCGCCAGCCGGACGACGGGCACCTTCCACATCTGCCTTACGACGGGGTCCGTCGAGAGCGTGTTGAAGGCAAAGGTCGTAAAGTTGTGCATGAGCTCCAGGTCGATGAGGTTCAGGGAGAGGTCGATGCTGCTGCTGCCGCCGCCGCCACCGCCGGCCCCACCGCTACCGCCGTTGCCGAGGTCCAGGGGGTCACCGCCCGCTCCATTGATCGGCCCCGGAGTCGGAGCACTCCCCGGCGAGCGCGGGACCGACGAGGAGTGGCGCTGGGACTGGAGAAAGTCGCAGGGGACGGCGTGTTTGATACAATTCCTGCAGGAGGGTTTGTGTTCGTCGCACTGTGGGGGGTTTTTGTTATTGTTTGTCTCAGTTCTCGTGGGAAGGGGGGGGGGAGGGGGGAGGTTTGGTGTAACGGTAAGAACGGGAGGTGAGAGGGTTTGAAATGGAACCTAGTCAAGACATGGGATTGAGAGGCATAGAATGACATATGATAATGGCATGAAGGGGGGAGAGAGAGAGAAAGGGGTATGCGAAAGGTTAACTCATGCAAGACAACTCTCGCTCAACCACCTAAATTATACTCTCGCAGCAGGACAACACGCAGAAACGATAGAAAAAAGCCCAAAAAAACCCACCTTGATCTTCCGATTCTTACAGGTCCTACAACCCGTCCTCGACTTGGGATGCGACCGCCTCGAAATGACAGCCGCTCCAGTATTCGCAGTAGCAGCGCCAGGCGTAGTAGCGCCAGGCGTGCCGCCCCTCCCAGCCGAAGCCGAGGCCGTCGTACTCGTCGTCGTTGTCGTCGTCGTAGATGAACCAACCGCGCTCGCCGCAGACATACTTCCTAACGGCATAGCAACACTAGGCGTCTTGGCAACACTACCACCACCACCACCACCGCTACCACTGTGAGGCGTCGTCGCCGTACCCGTCGGCGTCGAGCCCGGCGCCGAGGACGAGCCCCCGGACCTATCTATCGGGCTGTCCATGGTTCTCAGCCGGGTTACGCGGCAGTCAGGCGGCACACACACACACACATACACACACACACAAGCACGTGACAACCAACCAGAGCTACCAGCCCCCTTGAACGCTTAAGCCGCCCGAGGCAAGTAAAAAAGGAGGGGCCGTTACGACCCGCAGGTCTGCTGCGTTGGGATAGGCGGCGCGCGGCGATGGCGTGCACCGGTCGGCAGGCACGAAAATGCAAGATATGACCGAATCTCGCGCAAATTCGGCAAAGACTGTATGTACCTCAGGCGCGGGGCGGGTTTGGAAAAAAAGGTGGCATGAAGAAAGAAACCAGTTCCGGGGGACGTGGTTGGCGGCCATCTCGTTTTTCTCGGATGCAAGGGCTACGGGGGTCCGAATACGAGGACGTAGTGCGGTTTCGGGTTTTATGTTGCAAAGGTGTTCGTTCAATAAGGAGCGGCGATTGGCCGAGCCTGTGCGGGCCGAGATCCTCTGCCGCTATATAATGGGGGACGTTCCCGTCTGTATGTCACGGCAAGACAGAGGCGACGATGGACCTAGCGATTATGCGCTGTTCAAAGACCGCAGAGAGGTCTCCGACTCGAGGATTTGTTCGTCTGATTTTGGGATTGTCGGCTTGCACGTCATTCCAGAAGCGATATCCGTTGATCCATTCCATTGAGACTATCTATCAGCGCTATCTGGCTCGCCCTCTTACTCAGGCTTTCTGTTGAGACCAAGGCAACACGCTCGTCTCTCTGGCCCTGCCCCATCTCTTCCGTTGCCTCTCCCCACTGTGAGCCACCGAGATGTCGCGGGCCATACCTTGCATCTAAATTACCATTCTTCCCCAGCGGTGACTAAACAACTATGCAATGTGACCGAGACCATTAGCAAAAAAATTCCCATGCCGCCGCGATGATGGGATGAACGAAGCATTTTCTCGTCCCGCGTAAGTCAGAAGGGGGTGTCAAGGATATCCGCGTCGATTGAATTTGGAATTTTCATGAGTACGTCGTGTGAATGGTTGATGAGGTGTATAGAGTTTCATCCGAGGTCGAACGAGAGGTCTCTATGCTTTCTTTCGCGCATGTTGGGGGGGAGGGGGGGTGTTGCACGATACCACCGGCTCCAAGACAAACGCCACTAATCACCAGAAGTAGCCGCTCCTCAGCGCCGATCGTTGCACCGCGTTGTGTTGCGCTCGCCAGTTTATTTGGCATGCTTCTTGAAAGCAAGAAGTTCGGACAGGCTGCCCAGCGGGCATCCGTGCTTGAGGAAGTCGTGCTGAAGAAGCTCGTCGGCGGAGGCTCTGCTCTTAACGTCTACACACAAGCAGACCGACAGGAAAGCCTTGAGCTCCTTGCTCAGCTTCTCGGGCTTCTTCAGGCGCGGGGTTCCATTGGTGGCGATCAGGTAAAGAGCCTTGAGGGGCTCCTCGTTCAGGTAAGGCGGCTCAGACTCAATCATCTCAATGGCCATGATACCCAAAGACCAAATATCGACCTTGGGACCGTACTCCTTCTGCTTAACAACCTCAGGAGCCATCCAGTAGGGTGTTCCAACCATGGTCGCACGCTTCGACTTGGTCTCGGTGAGCTTGGCGCAGAAGCCGAAATCGGCTGTACAATCCGGTTAGTAGCTGGGCAGTGACGCACATTGCAGCTCACTTACTAATCTTGACGTTGCCACGAGCGTCCAGAAGAACGTTGTCACTCTTGATATCGCGGTGAATAATGTTTTGGGAGTGAAGGTGTTGAAGACCACGGCATGTCTACATCGTGTTAGTGTCCCGCGCGGGTTTCACGTGTCGGCGTGTCTCTTACCTCCAAGCAAATTGTGGAAATCTGCTCCTCGGTGATGCTGGGGTTGTTATCAATCACATCAGTCAGGGCACCACCCTCCATGTACTCCATGACAACCCAGAGCTCGGCGTTGTTGTTTCGCAAGAAGGCGTCCAAGAAGTTGACAATGTTGCGATGCCTGCTGTCCTTCATGACCATGATCTCGTTCACAATCAGCTCTTTCCTGGGCTGGTGAGCAAGATCCATCTGCTTAATGGCAACTTGAGCCTTGATACCCTGGGCACGTAGGACATCACGAGCAATAGGCGAGACAGCGCTCTCCTTGACCTTGGCAACGTAGACTGAACCGGAAGCACCCTGTCCAATCTTCTTTTGCTTGGAGTAGGAGAGGTTCGGGTCGTCCTTGGAAACGGCCTCCTTGAGCTTGGCCATGACCTCGCCTTCGGACATGGTGGACATGCGCACATCCTGCTTGCGTTCTTGCGCAGGCGGCTTGGCAGTGAGGGCAGCCTCGGCAGCCTTGACAGCCTCGCTTTGCGGGGCGGCGGGTTGGGCCTTGGACACATTCAAAGGCTTGACAGGAGCGGGCAGGCGAGACGGTGGCGGCGCCTGAGCCTGAGGGGGTTGCCTCGACTGCTGGGGGCTGCCGTTAGGATACCGTTGCTGCTGGCTCGAGGGCTGGTCTTGCCGGGGCATGCGCTGGCCCTGGTTGGGATCCCGAATGGAACTTGAGCTCTGTTGCGAAGTCATTGGCGGGCGTGTTGGCGTGCCCGCGGTGGTGGGCGGCGAGGGTGCTGGGCGCTGCGCACGAAGGCCGTTGGCCTGCTGCTGTTGTGAAGTTTTGGGTGCCGGGGGTGCCGCCCTTGAAGGATTGTATCTGTCTGTTTGTGGGATAGATGAGCTGCCTCCGTACCCACCAATCTCCTGCTGAGCCATGGGCGTCTTGGTCTTGGGGATGGAAGCGTTGAACACTTCCAGGTCCCGCCGGTTCTGCTCCTCGATCTCTCTTTCCCGAGCACGCTGTGCCTCCAGCTGCTTCATGCGCTGCTCCTCGCGAGGATCCGGCTGATAGTTGGGAGCCATGCCCTGCATCTGCTGGCGCTGCTGCTGCTGCTCCGTGGGTGAAGGCCGGCGTTGTTGGCCTTGTGATGAGGACTGCGTGTTATAGCTGGGTTGACGCTGGGCCTGAGAGGGCGGCATAGGCCGAGGCGGGGCAACTGCTGTGCCGCCGCCGCCATAACCAAGCTGCTTGTTCTGCTGACTGCTAACTGGAGGCGTAGGAGTGAGGCTGGAGTATTGCTGGGGGTTCTCGGCGCGCTTGGTTAGGTCGGAGTAGAAGTCGAGGACCTCGAAGACGGCCTGGGGGTTGCGCTCATAATCCTCCTTTGTGATGGCGGACGAGTTGAGGAGCTTAGACCATTCGGGTGGCAAGCCGACAAACTCGCCGGTCTGGGGGTCGAAACCAACGTGGACAGCGTGGGAGAAGTTGGTGGGGTTGCTGACACCGCCCATTCCAGGGCAGGCGCCGTAAATAAGATCAATCCATTCGTACAAGTCGTCGTCGCTCTTGACGCGAATCTGCAGCGTCTTGGTCTGGCCGTCATCCTCGCCAGGGCTGTTCGAGGACCCGCTGGGGTTTCTCTTAATCTCGAAAATGGTGCCGGCGGCCTCGACTCGGCCGACGTTGACAACGTCTTTCAGAAAGAGGGTATACGAGACCTTGCCACCCTCGGTCTTGTGAAAGTCGAGCGACTCTTTTCGCAGGATGAGATATTTCTGCTTCCACGGGTTGATAAAGTTCTTGGACTCCTTCACGGAAGCCCATCCCTCCTTCTTGACAGCGACGCCTCCCATGCCATCGTTCTGGTTGCTCTGCTGGCGGGCAATGGGAAGGGAAATTGTGGAGCCTGTGTAGGTCGATGTCGCCGTGCTCCGGATGGGAGAAATGGCCATGTTCGCCATACTGCCAGGTAGGGTATTGCTTGGGGTGAGGGCGAGGCGAGGTCGATCGGTGGGTGGTCGTGGCGCCGGGCCTGGGTTCATGAACTGGCCGGACGAGTACACACTGCGTTCGTTAGCCATGATTGCTGCGCAGCGTGGGCGGCGGCGGCGGCGGGTGGCGAGGTCTGCATGCGACGAAGGAGAGGGAAAGAAAAAAGAGACAGAGAGAGTTGTGGGGGAGGAGGTGGTGATGGTGGTGGCAGTCAAACAACGCCGAATAATAACAGAACGGTCGAATGATGATGATGACGGAAAAGGGGGGTTTTTTGCCGGGAAACAAAGCACGGGATGGAGGAGGAGAGGATGTGGAATGGGAAGGACAGCGCAATTAGGAGGCTGTTGGCGGTTGACAACCGGTGAGGTGCGCCATGACAGATCGAGACGAAATGAACCCCACTTCTAGCCTCGCTGAAGGAGTCGAGTCGCAGCGCTGGGAACTGAGTTGCGCAGCGTGTGTTGGCTGATTGATGCACCTCCTACGCACACACGCATGGGGACAATACTTGGTTGGATTGCTTGTGCTTGTGCTTGAGCTTGAGCTGGCAAGGTATTGTTGCCGGGACTGGTGGTGCTGCTTCTGCTTCTACCGCTGCCGCTGCCGCCGCTTGCTGCGAATTGCCTTGCAGAGGGCTAAATTGCGGGTGCAGACTGCAGTAGTGGAGGGTGGAGGAGGGTATGGATGGATGAGCGACTTGGGATGGGACGGATGGGGAATGCGTGTGCGGTGCAGAAGGCAGAAGCATGAGGCAGAAAAAAAAGGCAGACGGACCAAGGAAGCAGGTAGTACATACAATGCAGGGCAAGACCACGAGGATGATAAGGTAAAGATGCCAACAATGGTGACGCCGGACGACGATGAAGAAGGAAGCCAGAAACCGAGCAAGACCAAGCAAGGCAAGGAGAAGCAGAGATGGGAGAGAGGAAGATGCTTACCGATTCTGCGTCGCCATTTCTCTCTCTCTCTCTCTCAGTCTCACACAAACACTCCTCGCTCTCTCTCTCTTCCGTCCGGGATGGGCAGGGAAAAGAGTAGAGGATTACAGTTTTAATAAGAGGCGAGTGTTTCTGTGGCTGTCCTCGGATGCGAGCCCCCGGGCAATGGCTTAAGGTATGGAACACGCGATGTTTCGTAGATTTGGGCGGTACTCTGGACTCGTGCGGCGTACCTCCTGGGTGCTCCGCTCCTGTGCTTGAGGTTGCTTGTCTGCTGC